CTCTCTCTCTCTCTCTCTCTCCGTCTCTTCGCTTGCTGCCCGCGCGCCACATCACTGATACACAATTACGAGTTTTGGCAGCGCCGCCTTGTCCCGCTTTAATCGGTTCGTTTGGAAAATCTCCATATGTTGTTTAAAGGCAGAATTATGACCTGGCGGTGGCTGGCATAAATCAAAAAAGCGACGACAATACACGTCGCGTCTTCGCGTAATGTTCCTTCCCCCGGGGGAGAGAGAGAGGAGAAAGAAGTCCATTATCTCTCTCATAACAAACTCTCTGGCACGAGTATATATATATGCAGAAAAAGCGGACCCTCGTTAAGGAACAAGTGCAAAGGAATCGACACGCTCGCGCGGAGTGCTAATGAGGAAATTTAGAGCGAGCGAGCTAGGAAAAGAAAAAAAAGAAGGCAAACTCGAGCCGGTCCCGGTCGACGAGCAGAGAGAGAGAGAGAAAAAAAGGAGCAGGACGTTTCAGGGTTCGTCGCGGAAGCGGCCGAGAACAGTAAACTCGCGCAATACGTCCCGCCGACGTGCTTTTGACCGGCATACGCGCGCGCCATAACGTATATACCTACACGCGGGGATGTTATTTGCAGCCCGCGAGGCAACCGTTTTCTGGTCCTCGTCGAATGATTGATCGTTTTCACCGTTATACATCTTCTTCCGTCTCTCATACTCTGTTTCAACATTTCGCCCTTTCAACCCCGCATCGTAATTTCATCCCGTTTTTACAGTTATTCGCGTGCCTCTCTCGTAACTTTCCTGCACGTGTTAATTATATAGGCACACGATCCTGTCCCGTGACATTAATGACTATCATTCTTGCGCCGAAGTGTCAATATATACGAGGGCAAACAATCCGTTATGCGAAAAACGAAATATTCTTCGTAATTGCCGCGTGTCGACAAAAAGATGAGATCTTTAAGCGGCGTTAATTAGCATCCATCCTGCACGTGGCCGGTTGCACCAGCCCTGCAGCCCACATAAATTTTCTCGCACTCGAGCGAGAGTCTCTCACCCACGCCTCGTGCTAACACGACTGTATATTCTTATCGGGCCTGCACTCGTTTTCCCACGCGCGCACGAACGTCCGACCGACTCCACTATCTCGGGATGGCTATTTCTGTTTTTTTGCACTTCAACTTCGCAACTCGAGCGCGGGGGATATTTTCGGAAGTACTGCCGCGCGCGACACATTGTACGTATACGCGTTCAGGTGTTGCAACATTTTATCTTGGGCGCTATCGGGCACGACACACGACGTTTGCGGCGCTCGCAAGCGACACGCGAATGCCTAACAAGTAACCGGGAGAGACACACCACAACGCGGGGGCAGAGATGGTGCTAGTAGATATTCCGAATAACATGTAGGGACGTACATACGTGCGATCGTGAACCTCGCGACGGAGGATGTGTATATATGCATTATGCACGGGAACGAGCTCATATAATCGACAATGTTACGAAATGATTTATAAGATATCCCGTCACAGGCGTCGTCGCCCCCCCCCCTCTCTCTCTACTCGGAGAAAAATTGAAATTCGCGCGGGTATTGTTTTAAACGATATTGTTACTCCGGCGACATGCGACGGCGCGACGTTTCCACGCTAAATATATAAAATCTCTCACACCGCGATATCTATTGTCCACGTGAAATATGAATATACTTTTTTTCTTTCACCGTTGTCACTGGTACGTGTTACACCTTACACGCTAATCGCATTCCGTTTCACGCGGGAAAACGGGAAATCCGCGGGGGATCTCACGGTGAACCTATATATATATTATACGACATGACAATCATCATTTGTATACCGCGATAGAGAGGCTTATCGCGATAATAATTCAACCGCGATTTCGCGGGCCCTACACCGGAGACGAGTTATTTTGAGAAAACGGGCGATTATGACGTGGATGCCTTTGAATAATATATTTTGTGCCAAAGCTCCCCGAGAGCGAGACGTCCTCGCACGCAGAGAGCGGAAAGCAATCAGGTATTAAAGCGTTTGTGTAGAGCATGGTATCGGTCTTTGCTGCATCCAAACGAGAGAGAGAGAGGGAACGCACCAGAATCCCTCTTGCGACTGATGAAAGAAAAATGTGGAGCGGAATAATTTAATCCGCCGCCGTGTGATCGACCGTAAAGTCGTGCTTTAAAATCGTCCCCGCCCGTCCTTTCTTTTTTCTCGTTCCTCGTTTCGTAACCGCGACCGACATCGGCCAAAAAGCCAATCCAAAGGCTTCCCCACGGCGGTCCCACGACAATTGCTAACACGTACCTACGCTATAGGCTACTTTATTTGCTTAAATACGTTATAACGTCGCGCATTTTTCACGCCTCTCGCGCAACTTTTAGGTCACGCATGCCAATTCGCGTTTGATCGAGCAAATCTCGCAAGTAACACGAACGTGCAAAAACGTTTTAACCTTGCGTTACAATGTAAATGATTTTCATTAGATTAATATGCGAGCACATGCAGCAGATTGCTCGGTACATCAATCTAGATTAGAATCTAGATTAGACGTATCCAAACAAACCGGTTTTCAATTATATTCCGCCGTTATATATATAGCAGTCTGAGAGAAAGAGCGCGTTTTAAAATTCTTGCGAAATAGAACATTTGATATAATTAACTATATGTGTACGATAAAATAATTTCAGCTTACGCATCGCGGAAACGAGAGAAGCAATTTAAATATAATGAAAATTTGCCGGGAAAATAAAGTAATCGCGATAAAGTAGAGACAACATACAAAATATTCCATCGAATATTTGCCGAGAAAATAAAGTAATCGCGATAAAGTAGAGACAACATATACAAAATATTACATTCAATATTTTGATACCAATTCGATAATTAACAAGTTAAAATTATAATTTTAACCGAGTTTTGTGTCCACGAAAAATGCTAATAACGGTACTTTTTAGTCCGCAAACGAAACCGGGAGGTTACCGACTCGTTACGGGAATTACATGTCGCCGTAATAAATTACACATGTGTAACAAATTACACGTTATTTCCCCGGGATGTTGTAACTTGAACGAAACGCAATCTTTTTTTTTATACGGAGGTATTATTTGACCGGATACGATTGCGATACTCCGGCAGTATTCGGAAAAATATATAACCGGCTTTTGCGACTAAATATTTGCGAATAATAATCTTTGTATAATCTCGTCGAACCACCGTGTGGAAGTTACGCGAAAATCTACGAATGAACATTGCACTCACCTCCTCGTCGGAGGGCGGCTCCTCGTAATCCGAGAGCGTGCTCTTGAAGACGAAAATGCAGTCCGATGGATCGAGTTGACGCGTGTTACCGAATTGCGTTTGTCCATCGACGGATTGCGTCGGTGTGGTCATCTCCACCATGTCGCGAGATGTGTCCGTTAACGTTGACTTCGTGTGCTTCCACGCGGCTCTGATGATCGTCTCGACTCGGTACGGCAGTTCGGGCATACGATTGCGGAAAACTGTAAAAAAAAGCAGAGAAAATTGAACTTTTAGCATCATTTTCAATACTTCGAATACCTTCGATCTTTTATTAATCCATCAAATGTCGTAGAGTAACCGAACGAACAAACACGTATCAAAAAGTACTCGCGAATAAATATTCATTTCTGTACTCGTCAAATTGTTCATTCGTGTTCACCCGCGCTCATTCGTGCTTAGTTCGGATCAAGCTTTCGTTAAGCTAACTTTTATCCTCAATCACTTTTTAATTTCGTATACAATTTTCTTCTTGTTTCTAAGCTTTCTCAAACGAAAACTATAATTTCAGAAACGAAAAGAAAATTGTATGAAATTTAAGTAATTTGAATTAGTCTTCAAAACTATATTATAGGAATGCTCTTAAGGGGGTTACGCTACCTTTGAAGTTTTAGAACGATACCTAAAGTTTGGGATTTTTTTGTGAGTAAGTGTATAACTTTATTTAAAGTCTGTTTAGAGGACATTATTGTACATATCGCGGCATTGCTACAATAGTGTCATATCTCAAAAAATGACAATTTTGTTATTCATTGGAAAAGATGGATTTTGGCGTGTACTTTAATCTGGTGATGAATAACTCAAAATTGTCAATTTTCGAGATATGACATTATTGCAGCAATGCCGCGATATATAAGAAACTAAAAAAATATTTTTTTATTTTTCTTATGTCCACAATGGCAGCGCATTGGTCTACACTTGCGAAATCCCTTTTTTTCTGTCGGGTGTACAAGATTCCAGATACACGGTTTGACCTTGAACAAAACACAAAGAATTTTCATTATCTACATATTAAAGACTAATAAAGAACGTAGGGGTTTTTCAAAATATTGATTTTTCTCAAAATGGCAGTTATTTTAAGAAAGACTTGTACTGGCGAAAAATACATTTTTCGTAAAATATAGTTGCCACTTTGAGAAAAATCAATATTTTATAAAACCCCTACGTACTTCATTAGTTTTTCATATATAAATAATGAAATAGAAAAAATTCTTTGTATTTTGTTCAAGATCAAACCGTGTGCCTGGAATCTTGTACCCCGATTTGAAAATACAGAAAAAAAGGATTCCGCAAGTAGGCCAGTGCGCCGCCATTTTGGACATTAAAAAAATAAAAATATATTTTTTTGCTTTCTTATATATATATATATATATATAAGCAAAAAAATTTATTTTTATTTTTTTAATAGAATTTTTTTTAATAATATATATATATATACAATAATGCCCTCTAAATATATTTTTAATAAAGTTATCTATTTACTCACAAAAAAATCCCAAACTTAGGTATCTTTTAAGGCCTCAAAGGTGGCCTAACCCCTTAACTTTTTTACTGTGAATATGCTATCTTTAATAGACTTTGCAAAGTTAATCGGAATCCGTGCTCGATGTGTCAAGGACGAGAAATGCGCGAATGCCGAGGATCGCAACAGATTTAACCGTCTTTTTATTTTGAAGCTGTGTTCCCCCCTGGGGGACAGACACAGAGCCGGAGAAGCGCAAGTCGAGGATCATACAATAGATATTACACGTAACTCGGCGCCGTGACATTCGACTCACACGCCGAATCTCGGTCGCCGCGCAAAACACGAGAGGACCCCGTCATTTTTGTTATGTCGCCCGCCTTACGTCATGAATATGCATCGCGTCCGTGCTCCGCGCGATACATCACGAGTACGCGGCCGCGTTTAGCTCACTGCCAACAACAGCTCGCTCCCTCCCTACCCCACCAACCCTTCCGCCCCGTCGCCTCCTCGCCAACGCGCGCCCGCGATTAATCACCGCGCCTCAATATCAAAGCGTGACGGCGGCGGCGCGGTTTTATCTAGCTCGACGACGGAAAACGCGATTAATCATTAGCGGGTCGAGAGAGAGAGAGAGACGATGAGCGGAGAGACTCGCGAGAGAATCGGCGTGCCCAGATCGATGCGGTCGGGCGCGTTGCCGCGCGCGAATGACGTTTCATTCATACGTACCGAGCCGCACGTGTCAACGCGCGCGCGATCACATGGCCGGTGGCAGCGAGCGAGAGAAGGGAGGCGGGGGTGTCGAAGGGGAAAAGGGAGGAGAAGGGAACGGTATACAAGTACCTTGCGGCGTGATGCTTGATGAATAATGGACCGGGCTGAGAGAGGAGGCGCGCGTGAATTATACAATTACGATTCGCGTTATGCCCCCCGCGGCCCTTTCCCCTGTCACGCGCGAAAGACACGCAGCACGCATGCGAATCCACATGCCGTGCTTCGCGAAGCGAGGAGTTCGAACGTTCCCCCGAGATTGCACGCGCGGCCCCGGTCGCGGAAGTTCCGTAAACATCCGGTGCGGACGTCGAGGGGAGGGCGAGATTCGACGGGCGATTTTGTCGGTACGGCGAAAGGATACTCACGTTCGTCAACGCGAGTGTGCAGCGCACGATTCGACCACGGTCCGTGGATGAGGTTATGGTGCGGATCGGTGCACGCGCGAACCACCGCCGAATTCCGCCTCGGAGCGAGCGAGTGCGAGCAGAGCGGAGTTAACGCGAACGCGCTGCCAAGCGCGTAACGAGGTACCTTTTTTCGAAATTCGCGATCGCAGAATTGTCATGCCCAGCGAACTACCCCCGAGACACGTATCTCTCAACGCACCGCTCCGAGGTAACCACGCGCACTGAGCCGGCGAATTTTTTCATGGTGGCGACATCTGTTGCGAAACACAATGAGCTTACAGCGCATGATGAGGCAGGTTGAAACCGTCGATACGTTACCTCGGATTACAATCGAATAGAGAATCAAGCACCGACCGGTTCAATTTGTGCAAATAAAAAATTGTCCCGGAATTTCACGGGCAAAATGCAAAATTATTCGCATTAGGTTTTTTTTCTTAACCATATTATATTTCCGTAAAAAAATATTCGAAAGTTTATAAAATACGTTTTTATAAATATACCAATAAGTTTGCACTTGTATCAAAAGGGTAATAACGAGTCTAAGGGAAATTTATAATTGTGTGACGGATTAAACGTGAAACTCATAATTCCATGGCTTCTTCCTTACAGGCTCGCACCTCCGCCGTAGAATCAATGTGTCTCTGCGTGAGAGCAGTGGTGTCTTTCGGTCTCAGTGTGACGCTCCCTTTGTCATCGTTAAAAAATTTACATTCGTTTAAAGAGACGTTTTTAAGAGACACGCTGCTATGCTCGTTTCCCAACTCTACGGTCTCCGAGCGAGTCACTTTCTCGGTTTCCATCACTATTGCCTGTCCGTTCTCGATGCACTCGAAGGAGGATTTGGTCGCGGTAAAACGGGCGTTGTCGTTGAGCTGGAAAAAAAAAACAAGACGATATGCATTTGCATACATTCGAGTCACGGTTGCGATCAAGATTAAAGCCGTAATCACACTAGCTATTTTTTTTTTAAGTTTTGGGTGCTTCCAGCTCAAAAAAGCTATTTAGCACATTTACACTAGACTTTTCTTGATCACACTAGCGGTTGAGGTTAAGGTTGGATTGAGATTTGACCAATCAAAGCAAGATTTACTGAACTTGATATTGGTTTTGTTCTGATTCCTGGTCAAATTTCAATCCACTCACAATTTAAATCGTTAGTACGTGCGATTACAGCTTAATGTGAAGTAAACCTTACCCGTACACCCTCGCAACAGCCATCGAACTGGCAATCATTCATAACAACTTCACCGGTTCCGTAAATAATGACGGCGGTCCCTAGTCCTTGGAACACCGTGTTCTCAAGTACTAACTTCGCCCCCGGCATAACGACCGCACCCCATTTGGCGCTACTACTTGCACTGACATTAGACACACGTATTCTGCAACCAGTTACAAGTACAGTACAGTCCTTTCTCACAATTATGCCTGCCTGAAGTGCTCCGAAGTCGACGCAGATATTCCTCAACAATATCTGTTGGGTTTCACAAAATAAATCAATAGCAGACAACGTCAGGAAATTTATTATACCGGAGACCGGAGACATTTGATACCCACGTACCTCGTTGCCGGAAAAGTCGAACAGAGATGACGACATATCCGGCTCGAGTGGAGAAATTGCGGTGTTGTCCGCGCAAGAAATTCCTATAATTGAACCTCCCTCTTGCAATCCGTTGGAGCCTTTAATCGAATAGTTTCCTTCGCCTAGTAAAACAGTGTCGCCCGTCTCGAACACCTCCATAACATCGTCCAGATACCCACTAATTCTGAAATACAAACACAGAAATTACAATCTCATTATTTAACCTTCCCCCTCGACTTTTTTTCGCTTAATAAAAATTGACGTGTACTTAATGGGCGCGTCCTCGGGCAGCATTGTTTGAATTTTATTAGAAAGTTCCTGCATCTCTTTAACAACACCACCCGGCCACACAAAGTAGTACGCGCTTCTCCGATTTTCGTTATCGCCGCGCTTTTTTCTTCTGTTATACGACTGATTCTTTCCAAGCAGTCCTCTCAGCGAGGGATTCTCCAGCAGGTCCATTTCCGCTTTAATCTGCCGGAGTCTAAAGTGAAGCTTCATCAGGGTGCACGTCTCCTGTGCCAGCTCTTCGGGCAAGTCGTCCTCCTGAAAGTCTTCGGGCAGCAACGATTCGTACGTGGAGATCTTCTTCTGTATCTCTCTTGCCTCGCTGGTGAGCGATCTGATAATCTCGCACGTCTCCTTACCGATGACCCCGTTGTTCATGTCGAAGAACAGTCTGATCCTACGCTCCAGGTGCTGCGCCACCCAATCGACATTGTCATCCTCGTCCTCGTCCCATGGCATCCACAGGTAATTGTAGAAGAACCGCAGCCGGTCCACGCAGTGCGCGGTGCCGACTATGTCCAGGCTGGGGTTCGTCTGATCGATGGTGGGATACAGCTCGATCAGCGACACCTCGTGCTTCTCGGGCAGGTGTATGTCGTCCTGAACGGCCGTGATCTTCACCAGGGCGTTCAACACGGGAAAGTCCATCCCCAGCACCTCCACCAGGACGATGGTCGGATAGCGGATGCCGTAGTTCTCGCACGTTCCACGGGGTATCTTCCACAGGGCCTGCCAGCCGACCGGCTCGATGACGACCTCCACGTCGCAGACCCATTCCGCCCGGATGCTCGAGGCGGGGACTATTTTCCCTTGCGCGGACAGTATGTTGGTGTATTCCTCCAATCTCTCGGCGAGGGTTTTATCGTGAAAGCTATATACATTCGTGTAGTCGCCCATTTTTACATATAAGTTCACACTCGGCGGCGAAAAATTCCTCCAACTACGTATAAATTGTATATACACACGGGCGTTACGTTTCAAAATCTTATTCACCACGTTTCGAAAATCACACGCGGTCGGAAGCGACACCGTAGAGCAGTGTTGTTATGCGAGTCACCTTTTCGCGCATGCGCACTGCAGCGCTAACGAAACCCAGTAATGGATACGAGTATACGACAGAGTGGAAACGAGAGGCCCTATTGTTTTGGCGGGAAGGCGGGATCTAGTCGAGAAGAAGGTTAAAGAGTTAATGAGGTACGTAAAATAACATTTATACGTATAAATATTGTGCATTATGGATTCCAGCGTCGTTAAAGGAGCTATTAAACAAAGTAATAGATCTTTTCAAAATTCTTGGTTAGACGAAAATGTTTTTAAAGGATGGTTGGCTCCCCATTCAGAATCAAATAAAGCTTTTTGTACGGCGTGTAATGTCAGTATTGCTTTGGTTCTTTTTTAAATTTCTGCATTATTTTATAATCCTAATTAATTTTCTTGAAAAGTGACATAATTTTTATACAAACACTACAATAGGGTCCTTACAGAACCTTCGTAAGTTTGACATTAGTACAGCGTTGATGCCGTACTCGAATACGCATGCGCGCAAAGGTGACTCGCCTAACAACACTGCCGTAGAGACGCCGTCGAAAACGAACGTTCTCATCCAGCGACTCCAACGCCGGCAAGGCCTGTCGACTTGCCCGATGGATAATCGTGAAACGTCGATCGAGCATCGGTATAACTATATAATCGCATCGACGAGACCGACAGCCCTGGGCAAATTTTCGTGCCAGCAAATGGGCCCGGTGGGCCCGGAGGTAATTGCAGAGTGTCGATGTTATCAACTTTTGACATAAATTTGCGATTTATTTGAATAATACATTATTAAGATCATAATTTTTATATAAATGCTTTACAAATAAGTATGAATACTTATAATGCTATAATATCAAATATATTGCCGCAAAATTACATTTTTTTTCCAACTGTTTTACCATCTCTCTGGATAATCGAACTCGTGTGGTAACTATAAAAATGCAGTTTTAAATAAAATTAAAACTATTTTAGCAAGATATAATACATATGAATTACAATGTCTAAAAAACATTGATCTATTAATAAATCATAAAATGAATGTTATATTATTAACTAATTGCTTAAATTTTAGCAATATTACTATAAACATGCCACGCTAAGTCCCGTAAGGATGTCGGTCTTTAAGATCTTAATCGATCAATTAGTTAATAATATAACATTAATTTTATGATTTATTAATAGTACGGACACGCACCATAAGTTGTGCAGAAAACTGGATTTTGCTATATAATTTAGATCCACTTCTTCAGAGGGCGCTAGTGCACGAGCGCATTTTAGCGCTACAGCCAAAACGCCGTCATCACGTGTCCTCTCTCGGCTCCTCTCGTCTAGTGATTCAATCCACTCTCAAGTTTCTCCATAACCTTAAACAAATTTTTAAACAGAAATCTTAACATTTTTGTTTGAAAATGTCGATAAAACGAAATTGAGCTCCACGCAAATAAATTATTCGTGCGTCTCAAATAATTCATACGCTTCGCCCAGACGTATCTTCAAAAAATTTCCATTTCCGACGCGAGAAAGGAAAAAGTTTAATTTATCTTGAACACGCTCGCAAAGCGAAGCGTACATACATAATCTGTCGCATTGAAACGAAATAGAACGTTTGCGTTATGAATAAAATGTAGCGTCAATAAATCATCAACGATTTAAATTCGAACTTTCGCGATCGACGATTATTGAACTACAGCCAGTGGATCGGATGCATCATATTGTGCCTATATTTAACCCAATGCTTCTATTTACGTCGAAGATGGTTCGCTGAAAATAAACGTTCGCGAATATACGTTGCGTTGCGTCTATAAGGCGATGAACAAGCGGCTTCTGGATCATTCTGTGAACGAACGCGAGCTGAGCCGCAAACTACAATTTTAAATTGCAGTGACAAAAAAGCTTGAGAGAATCGTTCATCGTCACTCTTGGCAGCTTGTTGTAGAAACCCCGTAAGTTGATCAATTTATGATGAATTGAACACCAAACGAAAGATGTGACATTTGAATTGAGGAATCCGTTTCCTCGTCTGTTGTTGAACTCAACTTTCTAACAAAAATTATTGCAACAATTGCTTAAATTGTATTGTTATTTAATTGTGTATATTTTTTATTCATTAATGTTTTAAATATTATTTAACCTTCGCTTGTCACACCTTTCTCTCAATCAAATTTATAATTTGGGGTCAATTTATCAAATCAATTTTTAAAAGGGAGCTGCCATTCAAAAACTAACAGTTTAATTGGATCGCAAAAATTCTTAAATTGAGTTCAAACATTGTAGAATGTATTCTGATTGTATAGAATTTAAAATTAAAGTGGCATATTGAAAAAATTCTTAAAAAAGAGTTTTGAAAGAATCCATTACCCAAAGTAAAAAGCTGTCATTTTGTCAAAAAAATGTGACAACCGAAGATTAATAATTACATCTACTTTTTGCATTTAAAATGATGCACATAAGATATCATCAAAGTAGAGGAATCTTTCTACAAGAATACATTGAAATTTAATGCATTATCATATATTTTGTGTTACAGAGTTATTTCACCATGACGAAGTCAGATATTACTGCACAGGAGTGGAAAGAGAAGGGTAACGAGGAGTTCAACAAGGGCAATTGGTCGGAAGCCTTGAGTCACTACACAAACGCGCTGAAATTAGTGAAGGAGGATAACGCTGAGACAGCAGTGTACTACAAAAATCGAGCTGCCGTTTACTTAAAACTATGCGATTACGAGAGAGTGATTAAAGACTGCGACGACGCGCTGAAGATATGTTTCAACGATCCCAAGGCGTTGTTTCGTAGGTGTCAAGCATTAGAAGCGTTAGGAAGATTCGAGGAGGCGTACCGGGATGCGAGGAATATTCTTTTATCTGACCCCGGTAACAAAATTATTCAACCCATAGCGGCACGCTTACACGAAATTGTACAGGAACGTCATAAGGAAAATTCACGTATTAGTGCCAAGGTAAATATGAAGTGTTATTACAAAATTTTCAAGTTGCTGCACATGATAATTTGGTCTAAATAATATAAGAATTAATACTTTTTGCATATATTATTAAGAGTTTTTGTTTCACTCAATATTACCTATTTAACAGATTTAAGTTTATATTTATATTTTTTTATTATATAAGAATTATTATCGAGTAATAATATACTCTGTACGGATAAAAATTACATTACATAAATACAATCTAGCACAATTAATCTATATTTTTACTACAAATCATTGCAATTTAAGTATATAATTAATTTTGTTTTGTACTAGGTATCACAAATGCTGGATCTAGCATTTAATGCGAGCGGAGATAAGGAGAAACGTGAAATCGCGTTGAATAATCTGCTCGTGCTCGCGCGTGAGAGAGCTGGTGCCGAGGAGATCTTTAAGCAAGAAGGTGTACTCAAAATAGCGCAACTTGTGAAAGTCGAAAAGAACGTGGAAATGGTCTGCAGCGCGATTCGTATTGTAGGCGAATTATGCAAAAACAATATTGGTCGAACCGAGTCTATTATAAAAGATATTGGTTTACCTTGGTTTCTAGAAACGATGAATAGCACATCTACAGAGAGAGTCAACGCGTCTCAGTATTGCATACAGGTAGATATCGAGTGAAATGTGTGCTCAGTTATACACGTAACTGAAAGAATTCATTGTACACTTCAATTTCAGAATATACTGAACGCTTACAGCGGTATGGACAATAAACCCGATTCGAAGCCCGACAAGGCTTTGTGCGAGGCGCATAAGAAGGAAATAGATACGATTCTGTCGTGCTTGTTGTACAGTATAACGAATAGAACGATAACGGGTATTGCGAGGGACGCGATAATAGAGCTTGTTATGCGTAACATTCATTACACTGCGTTAGACTGGGCCGAGCGATTGGTCGAGCTTCGTGGTTTGCAAAGATTGATGGAAGTCGCCAGCGAAATGGAGGAATACAAATACGAGTCCTCGATGGACGTCACGCCGTCCACGCGAACGATAACCAGCGTGTGCTTAGCTAAGATATATGAGAACATGTATTACGACGCTGCCAAGGAGAAATTCAGCAACGCCATTGATGAATTTATCAAAGATAAATTGCTTTCGCCTGACATAGAATCCAAGGTATGAATTTTGTAGCTTCTGAGCTTTTCTAATTATCTGAACTGTTCCAAAATAAAAGGCCGAACTTTCGATCTTTTTGACTAGTCTCTTCGAGCAATTTGAAGTTTACTTTTTAAATCGGCAGTTTAGAAGAAGATTACCTTTTCAACTGTCAATGTATATTATAATATATTCCAGCAAATTTTAAATTAAAGTATAACAAAGTTTAATCAAAATTTATTGAAGAATATTATTTTGCCATCTATTGTATTTTTTAAAACTTAATTTATATACCAGAAATTTCTTCAATTTTCAATTAATATTAAGTAAATAATATAATTGCCTAAATATTTTTGTGGAGAGAAAAATGTCACAAAGCGTAGCTTTTTAAATAGTCTCTTCGGGCAATTTGAAGTCTACTTTTTAAAGCAGCGGTGTCGTAGATCACTTTTTCAACTGTCAATATATATTGTAATATATTCTAAGTAAGTTTTAAATTAAAGTACAACAAAGTTTAATCAAAATTTATTGAAGAATATGATTTTGTTATCTTTTGTATTTTCTAAAACTTATATACCAGAAATTTCTGTGATTTTCATTCAATATTAAGTAAAACTATAATTTCCTAGATATTTTTGTGGAGAAAGAAATTTCACAAAGCGTAAAAGCTTAGTGATCATTAATTACTCATTTATTGATTATCGATTGTTTCACAGGTGCGTATAGTAGTTGCGATAACAACTTTATTACTGGGCCCATTAGACGTTGGAAATGCAATTGTGGCTAAAGAAGGAATCTTGGAGATGATTCTCGTTATGGCGGGAACGGATGACGTGTTGCAGCAGAAAGTGGCCTGCGAGTGTATCGTCGCCGCTGCGACCAAAAAGGATAAAGCCAACGCGATCATAAGTCAAGGTGTAAATATATTGAAGAAGTTGTATCTGTCCAAGGATGATTCGATTCGGGTCCGAGCTTTAGTGGGCCTGTGCAAGTTGGGCAGTTCCGGCGGCACGGACGCGACTATTAGACCGTTTGCGGACGGAGCGACGAAGAAGTTGGCCGAGGCCTGCAGACGATTCCTGATCAATCCCAAGAAAGAGAAGGACATGAGGAAATGGGCCGTGGAAGGCCTGTCGTATCTCACTTTCGACGCCGAAGTCAAGGAGAAATTGGTCGAAGACAAGCAAGCCGTTCAGGCGATGATCGAGCTCGCCAAGACTGGCGATCAGTCGGTTCTCTACGGCGTGGTCACGACGTTGGTGAACCTGTGCAACGCTTACGACAAGCAGGAGCTCATCCCCGAGATGATAGAATTGGCGAAGTTCGCCAAACATCATATTCCCGAGGAGCACGAGCTGGACGACGTCGATTTCGTGAACAGGAGACTGTGCGTGTTAGCGAACGCCGGTGTGACCAGCGCTCTGGTGAGCCTCGCCAAAACGGACAGTCCGAACAGCAGGGAATTGATAGCCCGCGTCTTCAACGCGATATGCAGTCAGCTGGAGGTGAGGGGAATAGTCGTTCAACAGGGTGGCGCGAAGGCGTTGCTGCCGCTGGCGCTGGACGGCACGGACAAGGGAAGGAAGCAGGCCTCGCAAGCTCTGGCGCGGCTGGGGATCACGATAAATCCGGAGGTCGCGTTTCCCGGCCAGAGGATCATGGAGGTCGTGCGGCCGTTCGTAAACCTCCTGAACCCGGAGTGCTCCGCCCTCGAGAACTTCGAGGGCCTGATGGCCCTGTGCAATCTCGCCAGTGTCAGCGACAGCGTGCGGAAGCGTATACTGAAGGAGGGGGGCTTCCAGAAGATCGAGGCCTACATGTATGAGGACCACGACATGCTGAGACGCGCGTCCGCGCAGGTTGTGAACAATCTGATAATGTGCGAGGAGGTGATTCAGTACTTCGAGAAAGAGAACGATCGGGTCAAGTATCTCGTGATACTGTGCGCGGACGAGGATCAGGACACCGGCATCGCGGCGGCCGGAGCTCTGGCGATGCTGACGTCGGCCAGCCAGAAGGCCTGCGAGAAGGTCTTCGACTCGAAGGACTGGCTGGAATCGCTGCGCTTCCTGCTCGCCAATCCGAACAGCGACGTGCAGCACAGGGGTGTCGTGATCGTGCTGAATATGATGAGAAGCACGAAGGACGTCGCCGCGAAGCTCATCGAGACGGACATAATGGAACTGCTGATGGCGCTGAGCAAGAACGAGACCGTGCAAAACGAGATGATCAGGGAGTTGGCGTCCACTGCTTTGGAGGCTGCCGCGGAGTGGAAACTGATCAAGAAAAACGTCGAAGAGGACGAACCGACACAGAGTAATACAGAACACGTTGATTAAGAAGAAATTACACGAGAACATTTAGGCAACATCAAGTAAGATTTAAAGGTCGTATGTGTTCCTATTTCAAATCAAGTGCCTTAAACGACGAGAATGTTAAGATTCAATTTCTGTCTATTTGTCGTTTCAAAAGTATTCATACAATGTACAATTATATATTCATGTTTTATATCTTTAAATATACAATCTCCGTGCAGAATACAGTTTATTTGTTATATAATTTTGCTGAAGTGCGATATTAATATATTGTGTGAAATAATACATGCACGGAGATAATATTGTATAAAATGTTACTTAATGAGCCATAAATATATTTATAGCATCATGAAATCATATGTCATTAGGATAGAAAATCATTATCGCATTTATTTATATAAGAACAATATATTTAAATACAATATTATATACATATGTATTTGTCGTTAACATAGTTATGCTATAGCAAAGTCGTCCATTTAACAACCACAGATACATTTACAAGTCTTCTATAAAAATTAAATATATGTCAGAAATCTCCTTCGAGAAGCAGTGAATTTTAAATAATATATTTGAATAATAAATCATTTATATAAAATACTATGAAATAGATAATAATATATCATGAGATCATTACTTTTCATAACTTTTTCTTAATTTCAACAGTATATATTAACATATCTCGAAATTATATATTATATATTTTGCCAAAATAAATTTTTCTTTTGAGAAAATATAAGAAATTAATAACAATTAAACAGTTCGAAAAAAATTTATTTTAATAAAGAGACGCAATTTAAAATAACAAATTTAAATAAATTAAGGCAGTAATTTTAAGAAACAATCATTAAATTGTTCCTGTGAAGTATTTGAAAACGTATTAACACATCTGAAACATGTATCAATACGTCACGAACGCAAAAATGGATGAGTCAACGCTTGCTCTGCGGTAATACGCGTCTTGTAATCGAGATCTAGAAGTCTCATCAAAAGATGGTAGGCTTCCTTGGGATATTCGATATCTGGCGGTACCTTAAAGTTTTATAGTAATTTTGAGATGCGAGATAAAGACATTGTATATTGCTGAAGCAATAGAGAGGGAAATTAGATATATAGATTTTGCTTTCGCGCTAAAAATAATTCTAGTTGACAACTAAATGAAATTATATCATTAACGAAATCATTCTGCTGCTCACAATGATTCTGATATATTTTAATGCATGAAAATTAAAGAATCAATGATCATATCTACTTTCTCCTGCTGTATTGCTTCATTAAATAAAAAAAAAACATTTAAAATATAAACGAAATGTATACCTTATGTATACTATTCTCTGTATCATACATCATATTTTTGTTTCTTTGTTTTAATTTTAAGCACAAAGACATAATGTCCATTCCTGGCAAATTTTCACTAAAGATAACTCTTTTACCTAAATTAAATAAAAGAAAAACAAAATAAAATAAATATAATATACAAAATTAATAGAAATATAATAATAAATATAATATACAAAATTAATAGAAATATAGTAATAAATATAATATACAAAATTAATAGAAATTAATGAAACAAAACTAAACACTTGAATAAATAAGTCATTTGTCATGGATTTGTTTGAAATACCTAATTTTTGTGCACACTTTTGTACTTCTTTAGAGCCAAATAACGTTGTAATTTCTGCTAAAGCCGTACAGTCGTCGGGTGAACGGAAGAACGATTGCGAACCACTGAGTATGCATAGCATTATTATACCGCAAGCCCAGATGTCGATCGCTGTAATTTTGCATTTATCTTTTAGCTTCTAGAAACACAAGTTTTCCACATTTCGTGCCAGCATTTCTAAATACCTGATGTTTGTAAAACATGTTTCAGTAAAACCTCTGGAGCACGAAAGCCAGGCGTGCCCGCACGAGGTGCCATTTGCTGCGGTTGCTTCAAACATATCAGGCACACTTTGGGTCTCCCAAAACAATGGCATTTATTAATCACGTTTCTCCTGGCGGAAAACTCAGATTGGCTGACATTATTCTGAAACAAATTGCAACGAAAGATAAGAAAAACATGTGACATCCTTTCGATACACAAAAAAAGTCGTATAAATCGTCACTGTACTTCATTAGATCTCTTCCGCTTTGTACCGTGTGCTTCAGTGCTTGGTTGCTTGGTGCTCTCTTCACTTAGTTTTCTCATACTATTAAATTTCTCCGCATAACATTCTTGCGCAAGACCAAAGTCCACTAACAAATATCTAAACACAAAATTGTGTTAAATCGTAATTCTTCAAAAAAAAGTTTCCTTTCGCACATTTTACCTTCTATTTATACGATCATAGAGAAAGTTGGTCGGTTTCACGTCTCTGTGTATGATATGAAATTTGTGAACCCTCCGTAAAGCAGTTAGCAGCGCTCTCATGTAATCCTTCGTTTCCTCAACAGTCATATCTTGAACGTATTCCTAGTCGTAATCGTTACTGAGTATTTTTTTTATCTTGCTGAACACACAGACTTGATTGTAATATGTGTAAGACTTACCGAGAACCTATCGTGCCTCATATATGGCATTACAAATATCACAGAGCCGCGGTGCCTCAGACACAATTCTAATCCAACGATGTAGTCTTCCCCTCTAAAACATTCAATATATTCGCATAAACGTGTAGCTAACTTGTATAAAAAATAACCGTGCCATCTTTTGAACTAAAAATTTATTCCACATACCCTATCTGCTGCAAATATTGCAATTCGCGTTTGATTCTGTTGGGATGGCAGGTAGGAATCAATTGTTTCAATGCAAACTTCTTGACCGAAGAACTGCTCCGTCCATCGGAAGACTTCAGAGTAGCCAAAAAGACAGAGCTAAATGCACCTTTCCCAACTTTGCAATGCACATCGAATAGCTTATTCACTATTGGAATTTCCGTGAGATTTACATCGCCGTCTTTTGCTGAAATAGTTCAGTGTGTCATTATCAAACTTGCACATTTTTATTTCAGAAAGAACATTGAAATATAAACATCGGCAAGACCGATATATTACTCTGGACAGCTAATCGAGTGAAAGATGATATTCCATAAGTACGCTTGAATCTTAAATAAATTTTAATTTTCGTAATTTAATGTAGTTATTTATACAAGTCATTTAACAACAAAATAATGTACAAAATAGTTAACATAATGTGCAAAAAACGGCATGACAAAAATACTTGAGAATTATTCTAAAATAATAACAGAACCCGACGGCTTAATTTTAAAGCAAATGACATAATGGAAACGGCGTATATACTTTTATACAGTATAATATAAACGTATCTAATAAGAAACAAATTTTAGAAAATAGCGAATTTTTTCCAAGAACAAAAGTACCCTCGTTGTCGCTCTCCTCTTGATATGTGTCGTTAGATTCCATTCTGTCCCGTATTTTCCGGAATAGCCTTAGCTCGCGGTGTCAATCACATCAATGTGTCATCGAATTCACTTTCTTCCGCATTCGTGTCATTCACCGCCACTGATTACTTTCTACTTTAAATTATTAACGTGCTACAGCTGAGCATAACCTGAACATAACCTGAACCTTGGAAATTGGCGCCATTCGCTGATCAGCCAGCAGGTGTGATAAAACCCAATTCTCATGAGATTAAGCTGTCATTTCATTTGTCGCACAACACAAGTTTTTCAAGTCTATTGATTGGCTGCAAGACAGAGAATTTCTGAAAATTCGAGAACTTTTTATCCTACAGCGCTAATCAACAAAAATTTAAATTGCCGTACGAATACAAATAATATATTGGCTTAATCCTTTTTTCCATATTAAAGAACAAAAATATATTTATATAATTTTATAAACTGTAATTCTATTAAAAAATGTGTACATATATTAATATTTTGTCAATTATTACTGCTTACGGCTATTGTAGAGTAGATTTAAAGCAAATTTTCAAACTTATAAAGTGATCCCTAATCTAATCTTTTTATTTTATATTTTAAAATACAAAAAATTAATAATTTTGTTTATATAATTGATTGATCTGCTAAATTTTTCCAAATAAAAAATAATAATTTCATGTCAGTAAAATATTAGTATTATTATTGCTTGATAAATTATAATTACCGATTTGTTAAATCGGCAGAATTGCTCGAGGCAAAATTTCGGACTATAAAATTCCTAATTTAATCCTTTCTTTATATTAAAAAACAAAATAAAAAATCAATAATTCCACAAAACAATTATTCAGATATTTATTACATTATAATATTAATGCCGTTTTTAAATTGATTACAGTTTCAAGCGAAATTAAGACTCATAAGGACTTTATGATGATATTTTGGACAAAATACGAAATTCCTTTATTATACATGCGATTGGTTGATTTCTCCGCACGCCTATCTTAATTGCAATTACATACACGATTATTCAAATTTATCGCTCATATTTTTTGAAATTACGAAAGAGCCTGAACGGCAAACAATTGAAATTATTTATCGCGATGAAAAAATCCCATATAAAGTTTATACGTTTTATAATTTACGAAACCCATAAAAATTTAGTTTCTAACAGACTCGTCGCAGGATATGTTTCCCCCACGTATACGTATAGCAGATATAACGAAGAAAAAAAGAAAAAGTCGTACGAAACTGCAGATCAGTTCATTAGGACTTCCGATAATCGTATGGTCCAGGACGAGAGATGATTCCGATCCGGTTGAGCCGGACGCATCGAGCGTTGCAAAGAATTACCGGAGGTCGCCACGCTCGACGACCTTGCTTTGACTTTGGGACAGCGACTTGTCGCGGCTTGTTGAACTCGTCCTCGTCGAGCGGCGATCGTCGGCTGCGCGACGTTACGTCACGTCTCGTTGGTAAAGGGTTAACGAGGCTCGTCACGCCCGGCGGTACTCGCCTCTTCTCCAGGTACACCGCGGCAAACGGACCCACGAGGGAGAGCACCATCGCGATGGCGCTCAACAAGCTCAGCATCGACAAGGTGGAGTTGGCGGATAAGAGGGTGCTTATACGGTACGTGTACACGCGGTCCTCGTCGACGAGATCTCGTTGGCGAAGGAAGGAAGGCAGCGAGGAGCCAGGCGGAAACGCACACGCACGAAGTGTAACGGGACGAAATGACGTCTTTTTCAGGGTTGACTTCAACGTGCCGCTGAAGGAGGGGAGGATAACGAACAATCAGAGGATCGTCGCCGCCCTGGATACGGTGAGGCACGCCGTCGACAAGAAGGCCAAGTCGGTCGTGCTGATGTCCCACCTGGGCCGTCCGGACGGCCGTAGGGACGAGAAGTACACGTTGAAACCCGTGGCCGAGGAGCTGAAGACTCTGCTGGGAAGGGAGATCCTGTTTCTGAACGACTGCATCGGACCCGACGTGGAGGCTGCTTGCGCCAACCCGGCGCCCGGCACCATCATCTTGTTGGAAAACCTGAGATTTTACGTCGAGGAGGAGGGCAAAGGAGTAGGTCCCGATGGAAGTAAGGTACGTAAGACTGCATCTTCGTCACGCGAGCCTTTAATCTCATTCGTATATAAATTTTTATATGTTTAAATAATGTGTCGAAATTTTATATGCAAAAGTATGAATACTTAGGAAAGCTATCAATTTATTCTAGATTAAAGCCGACAAAGACAAAGTCACCAAATTTAGAGCGTCTCTGAGAAAGCTGGGAGATGTGTACATCAATGATGCCTTCGGTACGGCCCATCGTGCCCACAGTTCTATGATGGGAGATGGTTTCGACGTAAGAGCAAGCGGTTTTCTCCTGAAGAAGGAACTCGCGTACTTTGCGAAAGCTCTGGACAATCCGGAGAGACCGTTCCTGGCTATACTCGGAGGGGCCAAGATCGCCGACAAGATCCAGTTGATTAATAACCTCCTGGACAAGGTGAACGGAATGATTATCGGAGGTGGTATGGCCTACACGTTCTTAAAAGTGTCCAAAGGCATGAAGGTACGTGATATTTGGTAAGAATTGCAAAGTGATATTCGCAATTAAATATTCCTAATTCTTTTTACATTTACGCTACGATTCTAGATCGGAAATTCGCTGTTTGACGAGGAAGGAGCGAAAATTGTGAACGACCTGTTGGATAAAGCGAAAAAGAATAACGTCCAGATTCACTTGCCGGTGGATTTCGTGACCGCCGATAAATTTGCGGAGAATGCAGCGGTGGGGGCCGCGGATGTTGAGAGTGGTATACCCGATGGGTGGATGGGTCTCGACGTCGGCCCAAAATCAAGAGATTTGTTTGCAGGTGAGCACATTTTCTTCGTTACTCGTGGCGATTCACCAAAAATTTTTCAAAAATAATTATGTAATAATGCAATGACCTAGTTTACACCGAGCGTTTGTAATAATTTTTTGTATTTTAAAATATAAAAAGAAGATTAGGAATAACTTATTAATTTGAAAATTTGTCATTAAGTCTGCAATAGTCATAAGCAGTAAAAATTGACAAAATATTAATATGTAAATATTTGATACTAACTTATAGTAACTTTCTATTAAATTTTTTTTAATTTCGACGATGCATGTAAACGCGTATACATAATATGTGTATTTAATTAATCATCTTAATGTCTATTTTATCAGCTCAATACATCATTAAATGTTTAAATGCATTGCAGAAATTGAGATAATTTAATAGAAAGTTTCTAGTCAGTACACGTACCAAGTGCTTGATGTAAACTAAGTCAATAAGCGTCAGCTTTGACATTAAGAGGCATTACTATAATAATTGTTATACTGTCTCGGTACAAGAACCAATCAAGAGAGCAAAGGTCATCGTGTGGAACGGCCCGGCGGGAGTGTTCGAGTTTGAGAACTTCAGCAAGGGTACGAAGAGCCTGATGGACAACGTCGTCGAGGCCACGACCCGGGGAACGATTACCATCATCGGCGGCGGCGACACGGCGACGTGCGCGGCCAAGTGGAAGACGGAGGATAAGGTGAGCCACGTGAGCACCGGCGGTGGCGCGAGCTTGGAACTGCTGGAGGGTAAAGTATTGCCCGGAGTCGCCGCTCTCTCGTCGTAAACCTGTCTTCGAAAACATTGATGTAAAGACAAATCGTTCTGTGACGTTTTATATAACGTTCGCCGGTTCTGTAGAAATTTAACGTTGTAGCGTTCGAATGTTGGGGTGACCGGGTATTCGGCGTTGGTGAGATTAACGTAGAGATTAACAAGAACATATCCATTCTTTATCTCTTGAGTTGTGTCAGCGTAATCGCGTTGCTTCGTTTTTTTTGTCTCGCGAACCCCAGCATTCTTTCACGAGAAACATTGAAATTGTACGTAGATCACTTAGATCTCTATAGTACAATTATATTAGTGTACAGCTGTAGGTGTGAGCTACAAACGCGTGAAATGTGTATATTATGTGCAGAATGTAATGTACTAAGACAATATATAAATCCATGTAAAATCTTGTATATTAGCTACTAAGGAAGTAATTGTAAGGAGAGAGAGACAGTCGCCGTTATACTAAATGTAATCGTCCCTGCACGGTAAAAAGTTCGCTCATAGTTTGAACACAGACTCTTCGGATTACTCTGCATCGTAAAATGTAAATATTACCTTTTATTTTAAGAAAGAGAGTAATTATACATACTTTCGGTCGTCTGTAATGTCGAAAATAAATACCTATAGTGTATATAATTTTATGCCTTTTTCTCTAAACGATTTAACATATATATGTAATCGTAAAATTACATTTTTTTAAACAATTTTTTTTAAATAATTATATGTATATACTTATGTATAAAATACATTTTATGTTTAATGTAAAATTATATATATATGTATATAAATATTCGACTAGGAATAATAACGGAAAAATAATAAAGATTGAAAAAACATAAGCTTGAATTAGAGAAACAGAGATTTCTAAAATAAATAAAATTTGGGTTAAAATGAAAAGGTTTAATATAAAGATATTTGAGATTGATTGACCAGAAGATCCTAGAAGAGATAGAAGTAAATGTCCTGCAATTATGTTGGCAGTTAGTCGAATAGCTAAAATGAATGGTCGGATAATTAATCTGATAGATTCAATAATTACTATAAATGGTACTAAGATGAATGGTTAATTAATTAATAATAATAATAATAAATAATAATATAATAATAAATTATTAATAATTATTATTAACAATAATTAATAATTTTTACTCATTAATTCATTAAAATAATTAGTAATTCTGTAAATTATTATTCCTAGTTGACATCCAAATATCCAACAGGAATATTGGACGAATTATTAATTAAAGTTCTTAAGAAACAAATTCTATTGGACACTGACGCAGACAGGCGTAATGTGTACCACGGAGTGCAAAAGGTGCAGTACAGCGCAACTGAAAGGAGCCGACTAGCCGAAGTGACATCTCTCGTGTTCATTGATATTCGCGTCATCATCAAGCATGGCGGCGACCGTGGTAGCGAAGGATCTTAATACTTTTCTCAGTCAAAAGCAAAATGTTGCCGACAAGGAGCTGGCCGCGGAGTGGGCGCAGCTCGAGGAGCTGTACAGCAAACGGTAATAAATTAATATACGGTATTTCGCGCGACGGAATTTCACGAGTTGATAATAAACCGCCCCGGTCTCCGGTGACTTGCAGGCTTTGGCATCAGCTGACGTTGAAGCTGGAGACGTTTGTGAAGCATCCGGTGCTCCAGCAGGAGGATAATCTCGTGCAGCTCTACTCCAACTTCCTGTCGACCTTCGAGAACAAGTAAGTATTGCCGATTAGAGGTTATTTTTTTTCGTATTTAAATTCATAATTAAATATAAGACCTTATACGGGATGCAATACACATTCTGAGTCACAATCCTCAATCTCTATGTATTTACATGAATTCACGTGCTGCTCTTTGTTTAACTCATTCGCTATTAAGATTGTTTGCTATGTTTTTGAAGAATAAATCCATTGTCGTTGGTGGAGATACTGGCGCATGTGGTGCAACAGTTGCAAGATAATCACGAGGCGATTAAATTCTTGGAGAAGACAGAGACGAAGGTTCAGAGCAACAATGAAGCTGTCGCGCTTTGTAAGGTTCTCAAGGGGCAGATCCTGTTGGACAAGCTGAACAATCAGGAGCAAGCGAAGAAGATCATAGAGGAAGTGGAGGCTATGCTGGACAACGCCGACGGCGTTACGACGGTACATGGACGTTTTTACCTTCTCGCCAGCCGGTTGTACAGATTACAGGGCAAACACGCGGAATATTATCGCACAGCATTAAGGTACCTTAATAAACGCATATGAATTCATCGAAGAGACAAGTCTGCAAATTGTAATTGAAATTACAATTGAAGCTAATTCTTCCTCTTTATGATTAAGATATCTAGGTTGCATCGAATTAAGTAGCCTGAGCAGACAAGAGCAAGAACAGCACGCCTTCTTCCTGGGCCTCGCGGCGCTCCTGGGCGAGGGCGTCTACAATCTCGGGGAATTGCTCGCGCATCCAGTCTTGGAGTCGTTGAAGGGCACGCCGAACAACTGGCTCGTCGACTTGCTGCAAGCCTTCAACGCCGGCGACATCGTCGCGCTGGAGAGACTGAAGCCGCAGTGGAGCAAAGTGGCCGATCTTGCGGCGCAGGAGTTGAAATTGAGACAAAAGATCTCGTTGCTGTGCCTAATGGAGATGACCTTCAAGCGGCAGGCTAACAATCGGTGCGTATAATTCAGCGCGCGATACCTCAGATCTCTGAAAAATCGAACGGTTCACACTTGACGATAATGTTTCCCCCACTTCTAGACAATTGACGTTCATGGAGATCTCTCAGGAGACGCGTCTACCTCTCGGCGAAGTGGAATTGCTGGTGATGAAAGCTCTCGCCCAGGGCCTCGTGCGCGGCGCCATAGATCAGGTGGCGGGCACCGTCAATATGACCTGGGTGCAACCGCGTGTCCTGGACCGCAGCCAGATCGCCGGGATGGTCCAACGCCTCGACGGATGGTGCAAGGATGTCAGCTCGATGGAGAAGCTCTTGGAGTCGAGGGCGTCTGAGATCCTCACTCTCTGAGAACGCGGGCCACTTTCAAACTTGCTCGTTTGTCGTGTCAGCGGAACGTTGGTTCGCGTTAACTAACAATTATAAAACCAGTTTCTTAACATGTCGCCAATAAATACGAACGATTATTTCTTACGTGTGCACTTGTAAGACATAAATCCTCTGCGTCTCGCTTTTCTTTGGATTTAAAAAAAAAAAGGTTGGTATCGATTATAATTTTTTGTTAAGAAAATACAAAGTAAAAACAAGAAGTAAATGTTTTATTTGGAAACTCGTGAAAATACATTTTTATAGATGTCGGTGCACTTTATGTTGGTAAATATCAGTAATGAATGCTAAATGCTGTCCTCTTTTGTATAATATTAAGTACTCATACTCAATATTAAGTACTTATACTTAAATTACAGTACATGAGTTATACAATTTTAAGTAAAAATAGCATGTTATAGCAAATATCACTAGTCTTATTTACAATTAACGTATTACGTATTACAACCATGTAACAAGTAAACAATCAAGCACGTGAATTGGATTTAAAATACAATTGGCAACGATTTAGGGGGGGGGGGGCAATCTTATAATAAATATATATATATATATATATATAAAAGCTAAAAAGAGAGATTAAATGTACAATGTCCTCGGAAATTACGAACTCTTTCACAATTTGAGCATATGATTCTGTACACTCGGAAGCTCTTTCTCAGATTTTTTTTTGTTCAACTTCAATCCCTTATTAAAAAAGAACGAAGTGTCTAAAATCTCATCATTTATTTAAAAGTTTTTTGAATAAAAATTAATTAAGTACACTTAAGTACTGTCTAAAATCTCGTCATCATTTTTTTAAAAGTTTTTTGAATAAAAATTAATTAAGTACACTTAAGTACTGCTTTTGAATGTTTTTAGAAATTAATTGCGAACGCGATTAAAAGTACTAAACGAAGATCGATTTACGTTTAAGTACACGATTCTATATCATCTTATTCTATATCACATGATTGACTTTCCCATTTACTCTCGATCCGCTCTTCTCGCTTGCAGTGTGTTATCGCTTACGAACGATACACCTATCGCGCATCAGTTAGAAAGCAGCGGGCCCTACGCTATTTCGCGTCATTATTTACAAAATAATGACTACTCTGCCTACTCCGTTAAGAGTTTGTTCGCTGTTCACCGGAGCTCGTTAATGCCATCAGTTAGGATCGATGGACCAAAGCTGGCTACTCTACGTAGCGAAATGTTATATGAATTTGCGAATGCGTCTTCCCCGTCTCTGTTCAAACTTCGTTCTTTCAGTCTATATCCATGGTTTTTCTCTTCAGGCTGCCATCCGGGGATGGCAGTCCAGAGGTAAGAAACTTCTCCTTCAGATACAGATAATTCTTCAATCTGGAGGCAGCGTAATCCTGAAACAAGTAACGATGTCCGTGTATTTAAACAGATCCAACTGGACGTGCAGTCAAAAAGCGAGAACGAATACGAGAGCCGAGAGACAAAAATACACACCCAGTAGCCAAACGGAATCTGTGAAAGTTTCGCGTTTACGACGCTCCAGAGACCCCAGAATAAGTGACTAGCTAGCGAAAATATCCTCACTTCCATCATAATACGCTCCTCCTCCAGAGATCCTTCTTTGCCCAATGTTCTTAGGTAGGCTCTTATGAAGTTGAGCTGTCGAGAGAAAAATCACTTTGCAAAAATTGCGTATTAAAGAGAGGGCGATAGAGAGTTATTCCTACGCTCTTGTACTTTGATTTATTTAATAATTTTATACGTATGTAAATCTTTTAACAGATTCATCAAACGATCTCTTAAGAGATTCATTCGTATATTAAAAATATGACATATGAAAACTATATTGGTAACTAGTTTGTTGCCGAAAAAAATAGCTTTTTACAACACATTGAGAGAACATCAGTACAGTAATACTTGAACAAATTAGACATACACAGAACTTGAAATACTAACAAATAATATAAATATCAGGCATTTAAAAAAACAAGGAATAATTTAAGAAGCATGACAATATAAAATATATATCAAAAGATGTATCAGTTTTATAGACATCAATATAAGAAAAACAAAAAAAATGATTGATATGAATTGTTCACGCCTATCTATTTAAATATCAGAAGATAAATATTTCCTATTTATGTAAAGATTTTTTTTTTCCATTCAATAGTTCACGACAAATTATTATATACCGTCAGTAGCCTGAACTGTTTGAAAAACCGTTTGCAAACTCAGATATAAATTCGGCACGTATTAATTACGCATACAGAACCGTGTTCAATTAAAGTGCTCCAAGTGGAAGATAATGCACTCTTTGTAATAAAGCACAGCTATCCCGAAAAGATACGTTTTTCGAAAGGGTACGCAGGCTATGAATTGACTAGTGAGGAGAAGGTACTCTAGAATCGTGGATGAGCGGTTTGGTGCTGCCAGGTTGGTGGTACCGGTGGCACCCTGGTTCCAAAAATGTAGAGCACCCCACAAGTCGGGATCCATCACAGCACAGATTGTTTCACATTGCCGGCCGATTTTTTCTCTGTTTGCAGGCATCTCAGCCTTGTCTTGACGGATTGCGGTCCTGTGAAACTAATATATACACACGCAGCACACGCCAAGCCGACACCCTACCCTACTGTGCCCTGGTACAGTACCAAATAGTACTTAGTCAGCCGAAATGCTGCCTCATCGCGATAATTACAATATCGTACAAATTTTGACCGAAACAATTTGACATTACATTTTTTTTTACGACGATTCGCACGAAATTGTGCGCATTAAAATTTACGTTTATACTTCTGAATGTGAATGTTGAATAAATATTGTAATTGTGAAAAACAAAACGCAAAAAAAATAATTTCTTACCTACGATTGCAAGAAATAATCAAATTGTCGATAATAATGGCTATCGAAGCGAATTTCGATATGTTGCTTTTTACAATTTCTCTTATCGATTTCACGATACGTTCATTGTACAAGCTTTTAATTTAGCCATACTTAACAATTTTTTTTTGTGAACATTATATTTATCAATGATTTAATCCGCTCACGAAAGAACTCATGATATGATAACACTGGATGAAACATACTGAACAGATATCTTACCCGCATCACTTCATCGTTTCCAAGCCCTTCTTTAATTCGTGCCTTACCTTTTGCTCCTTCGTGGGGCCAGCGGCCGGACGTTCGTGAAAGAAAGGATATTCTGGCGCTGTGTAGTCGTATTGCCATTCGGCGAAGTGATTGGCGACATCGAATCCTCGGTAGTTGTAGGAACAGTACTCGAAGTCAATGAGTACCAGCTTGGGGTTTCGCGTATTTTGCATTAGGAGTATATTTCCCTCTTGCATGTCATTGTGGCAGAACGTAACCGGGTACTTTTGCTGCATCACAATTGTCCTGAAAGTGGAAGATTGAAAAATAAGTTGAATCTCCAACGCGCGATGCCTTCTTTATAAACTCCAAGCTACCTAAGTATCTTTGTAAACTCCTATTTTTACCTGAGCCAATCGATCTCGTGCTCCAAGTCTATGCACTTTATTGCACTGACGTTCTTCAATTGCCGGCTGTCAATGTCCTCGCTGCTCTCGAGAATGTCCGCCGCTGTGATGAGCCAGTTGTTCATCGTGTCCCATATCCACGTGGGCTCCTTGCTGATCGGTATCTGCATCGTGTGTATCTGCCCCATCTTCTCGGCGATCAGCAGACTCAGGGTCGTGTCCGCCAGTTCCTTCGTGAGCAACGGTCGGGCCGGTATGTACTCCTCTATACGGCCGCCGGGGAACACGCCGTGCAGCTTGGGACCGAGTCTCCTCTCGGACAGCAAGGTGAAGATGACGGACTCGGTGATGAGTCCCTCCAGGGCTCTCTCCCCGTGCACCTGCCCGTAAAGACGTAACAAAACCTGACGAGGTTCGCCCCTGACCGGGACCGTTTCTTCGGGCAGCTGGACGTTGTACAGCCAATTGCTTAGACCACCACTGAAAGTAATTGTACGTTTTATCGCCTGACTGTGTTGTTTTTTTTTTGCCGTAACACGTATGACAGAGAATACGATTGAAATGTCACACAGATATTCTCGGTACAAAAATTTCACAAACCTAATGCGCTTGAGAATGATGTTCTCCGCCGTGATATGTTTCCATACGCCGTGCAAGTAATCTCGACAGATTCTCGCTGCGGTTTCCCTCATCTCCGGATTCTTCTCAGACATCTGTCACATAAAAGAAGACATCGCGATTAATCGCTGTGGAACGCTTACAGGTGCACAAGAGGAATCGTATCGCTTGTCTCTTAGAGCACAATTTTCTCTCACCGGCTACTGATAAATCATCTAAACAAATTTACTTGACGATGGGAGGGTACTACGAGGTGACACAAGAGCGTAACCGAGGGGGAACCGAGGCGTGCGACACGGCACCCCAAGATTGTTTGTCTGTTTGCTTGCTCAACGAGGCACGAGATCGGATCCGTTTGATAAGTATAAGTTATAAATGAGGCAAATAACGTGGGAGCATCATGCCAAAAGACGCGATCGTGCATACGCAATCGGGATCATCTGCTGTTGACAGGAGAAGCGCATACCAACGCATGCGTCATGACGTCACGTCAGTGGGTCTCAATCTCGAGTGCTGCAACGCGAGTGTTGCAACCTTGAGCTTCCAGCCTTGGATGGATTCGTACGAGCGCTTCCTGGTGGACTGAGAATTCAAAATTCAAAATCTCTCGCCTCGTACAGGCGCGAGAGACGAATAAAGAATTCGCGCGGAGAAACGATTTTGTCGATCTCTCTTATGTGATGAACGCGAAAATCGAATCCTTTTTCAACCCTTATAGCCGCACGTGACGCATATTGGTGGTACGTAGAGTCCTGGGGATCGACTCCTATATTTATAGACGTGAAAAAAGGGAGACGAAAATAATTGCTCTCCACCCTGTGTACTTGCTGCGCGCCCTTCTTGTATTTTCCAGCATCAATTTGCATAGATAAAGTTCGTTTTTTTTTTGACAAAGGAAAAAAAATTATATTATAATTATTATACAGTCAATTAATTACATTATTAATATTAGTTATTGCAGTTAATTAATTACGAAATTACAAAAAGTATAAGCGGCAGGATCGATCAGTCTCTTATTAAGTCCTTCAGCTATAAGGATCATGCGAGCACCCAAGGTTTATTTAGACAAACTTTCACATGAAGGGATCCCTATTTATATAAGCCACTATTGGCGCTATTTTCCTCGCCTGTTTGCGCGGTTTTGCAAAACCGCCCCGACAAGGATCGTCACGAGGCTGCTAGGATAGCGAGTCTTTATGATTCTGTATAAAAATCTCCCTGAAGAATTGCGAATAGTCGTGCAGTCGATGCTAATGACAATCTCTATTTATACGACATTAAGCACTCCTTGACCGCATTTTCGACTTGATCGTGACAAACATTTTTCGTAACAATGCCTCGTTTACGGGCGGGGAAGGAATTCGCACTTTCCGCAATTTCATTATTGCGTCTCGAAGAAATATAAAGAATAACGCATGGAAATAAGTCATTAACCTTCTTAACGGCCGAATTGTTTTTGCTTGTGGGAAAAAAAGGATTACGCAACTGATAATTGGAGCACGTTAACTAAATTATCAAGACTAGAAATATATATAGATACACGAGCATGTAACCTCCGGATCGAGTGACGTTGTATAGGTATAGAGAGTTAAAACGAACCGGCGATATCTCTGCCTTTCCGCTGCGCCGCATATACTTACGTATGCATCGTGTAACATTTCGCGATTTTTTCTTTCTTTTTTTTACCTTCTGCAAACGCGCGACACCTGAGTATACCGGGTGTCCCGTTCCCGGCGAACCGATCGTTTTCTTATCTACGAATTCTTATTATCTCTCCGATTTTTTTAATCTACATTTTTTAAGTCAACAATTTGATTAATTTACATAAGAAGTATTATCAACGGAATTTGCGTAGAACAATATACTTCGCGTAACTTTTTTTACATTTTTTATTGTTTTTTTTTTAGGTCTGTATTAATTTTAAGTCTCAATGATTTTATCAATATACCTTCCGCTTACCGGTTGCACAATTTTTTTTTCATACAAAAATTCCGGTTGTAAAGGATTAAAACAAGGTTGTGCAGACTTATTTGCGTTATTATTTAATTTGGATCTTTTCCCTTTTTTTTCCCCTAGAAAATACTTACATCAAAGAATCGACGATATTTTTTCGATAAGCGGTTACAAAATGGAAAATGTTTCAGGTTCGCGCTTTACTTTTTCGTTTCTAAAAATCTCTATCAAATACGTTTACGTAACATTAAATTTGTCGCGTATGTAATTAAACTCGGCGTATTTCTGACCGATATTAGGTTTCACAGATCGCGTTTCAATTCGGGATATACAGCGATAGGATTAAAGTACGTTTCATCATACACGTCACACATATGCAACTTTGGCTTTGCATCACGCGTTGAAATGATAACACAGATATATTAATACAATTATACTGCGCACACATTAATGCGCGTCATTAATCCGTCTCTCGCCCAGATAAACAAAGTTAGTCTATGCGCAGTTCCGGGAGTTGCAACGTCTATGAATGGATGTATGGTCCCTCGCTGGTCTGTTTTTATGACCTTCGATGTCTATCTCGGTGTGCGTGCGTTGCCGAGCTAGACGTAAAAAAAACGCTACGGCACCGCTGGTATTAGATACGAGAGAGTTCCAGAGGAATATTTGTGTCTATCGGACGACAGATAACGCGAAAATTGATAAGCGACAACATTTCTGCGACAGCGCAAAATTTATTAGTTAAGCTCCTCCACGCGACACGTGTTGTTGCAGGCAAATAAATATGTAAACCATATTTCATCAGAAATTTTCGCGTTTCCGCGAAAGGCCGAATTCTTGCGAATCGAAAGACCAGAGAGAGAGAGAGAGAGACGGCGTGAACGGGAATTGGAATGCAGACTTCTCTCGCGCGTGTGGAGCTCTCTGTTCTTCTGCACCTATGAAATTAGATACGCCGACGAGAGAGGAGAGAAGGAAAGAGGACAGAGAAAGCGCAACAACTAAAAGGATCGGAAAACAGCATTAAATTCCAACGAATCAATATTAATTTCATCAGCATTTTGCTTTTAACGTCGGGGATTGAGCGGATTAAAAAAAACTGAGATGGAAAAGCGCGGCGCCTTAAAAAAAATCAGAGAACACCGTTAATTTCAATATGTATTTTTTATTTTATTTTTTCTTATTTTTTAGCTTCGGAAAAATCGAGATTACAAATGAGATGGAAAAGCGCCTTAAAAAATCAGAGAACAGCATTAATTCCAATGAGTAAACATGTAGTATTTTTTACTTTTTATTTTTTTAGCCTCGGGGAAATCGAGCGGATTAAAAACGAGGTGGAAAAGTGCCGCCGTCTTAAAGAATCGGAAAACAGCATTAATTCCGATGGATAAACATGCATTTTTTTTCTTCTCAGCTTCGGGGAAACCGAGCGGAATGGAAACGAGGCGGAAAAGCGCAGTGTCTTTAGAGGGACGGAAAATAACGTCGGTTTCAAACGGATGAGCGCGTCTTTTTTCTTTTACGGCTTTCAGAAGGGAAACCGGGCAGATTAAAAGTGAAGCGGAAGAGCGCGGCATCTTTCAAAAGGCTCTTTTAAGCGAATTAAAACGCGGCATCGGTTTCAAACGTATGTTTTTCCTTTTTTCAACTCCGGGAAAAAACGAGCGGCGTAAAAAGAAAATGCGACGGAAGAGGAGGCGTCGCAAGGTCGGAGCGTTTTTCCGGGAAGCGATTAGAGCTAGGTGATTAAGTCCCCGTTTGTGGGCCGTGTGCGCGATTAGACGTCCGTGCATGGCGTGTTACGTGAATCTTTGACGGAAAAAAGTTCAGCTGTGTTTTCGTGCGACGGAAAGGAATTTCGAGATACAACACGAGTGCAAGATAAAAAAAAGTGTCAGACACACGATAATCATATATAGTATATATAAGTATACCTTGTCCTCGATGCCCATGTCGAAATCTCGTTGTCGGACGGACTGCGAGGCGAACTGAAACAACTGGCTCGTCGCCTCAGCGAGAGGAAGAGAGATAATAAAACGACAGGCGAGTGTCGGCGGCACTCGGCAATCCCCAGACGTGGCGCACACCTAAGCGCTAATTACTATTACACCGGGCGGCGCGATCGCGAGAGCTGCAGTGCGTGTCGTCACGATACCCGGCGCCGGATAAGATAACGATACGTGGACAATCACAGGGTATATATAATTCTCGCGTCCCGGTACTCTCTAAGCTTCTCGCGGCCGTTGCTGTTAACGACGTATACGGCACGTACAGGTCGAAGGAATCGAGACGAGAAATGGGAAGGGACGGAGATTGCGAAGGGTCGACGCGCCGTCAGGTATCTCCGGTGTGTCATACACCGTCGACGTGAAAGTCCGTTGACACACACACATACACACTCGGCGGCGATCAACTCTCCTCGCGAGAAGTAATTTCGTGATATATATAATATGCAGATATATTTGAGCGAAGTTTCGTGGAGAGTGAGAGAGAGAGAGACAGACGGAAGGAAAATGGATATGACTCGGGGGACGACACCGCTCAGCTTCGATAGAGCTTCCTCGGGACTTTTTTCCTACAGACTCGAGATTACTCGGAAAGACACGTAACACCGGTTCGCTCGACGCGCACGGAATGACGCATAGGTATCAGCCGTCCGCTCCGCAAGGCAGGCAGGGCAGGCAGGGCAGGCTCCGCTCGGATACCCGCCGCTTGTTTTTGTCGCCGCTCGCTCGCGAACGCCAATCGGAAGGCGCGCAGCCGATCAGCCGGTGGGGTTAAAAACGATAGCGTGATGCGGCGTGCGCCGCGCCGCGCCGCGCGGCAACGCGACGCCTCGTCCGTCGGCAGCTCTTATCGCGCGTGCCGTCGCGCGTGCCTTTTAACGCGCGATAAGGGAGAAAGGAGAGAAAAGTGGTTGAACCGGCCACAACGCGAGAGAGAGTGGTGGAGAAGAGTATAATGCACCCGTTGTCGCCCGCGCGCGGAATCGACGTGAGATTCTCTTTCTTTCTCTTTTTTACTTTTTAATTCCTTTTTGCGCGGATCACAGCTAGCGCTTAGGTCCAAAGTGCGCGATAAAGCGCGAGGATCGAACACGCCGTGGTTTTATTCTTTATCTAAATTCTAAGTATAGCGCGCCCGAGCGGTCGAACGTATCGAGAGGTCTGTCCGTCTGTTTGTCCCTTGCAGAGCCGCCGGTACGTTGCACTTTCATTTGAAGCAGGACGGTATATAATTAGACGTCGGGGAGAGAAAACGAGAGAAGAGCGAGGAAGCGCCGAGGCGCGCCCGAATGAAGTTCGGCTAACGAGGGGAATCTTAAAAACGGTACGCGAGGCGACATCCTTTCGGATAACGAGGAACTGCGTCACCGAATCAGGTCGGTAAAGAAATGCGGTAAAACAGGGCGCTTCTTAAACGGTAGGATATCCATTCTTTCTACATTATCTTCCATCTCGTCTTTCAGATCGTCCAGACGTACTAACCTAACCTAGATGATGATCAAAACATCGCTGTGTTTATACCTGACGATATAGCGGTTCGAAATGACGGAGACTCCCGGCACGAGTTCGGCCACTAATATCTGCGAATTGTAAGTTCGACGTGTTGTATTTTGAATATTAGATTGTGACATTTTGTAAGAAGTATTCGCACAAAATTGCAATTGTTACCGTAGGGCCAAAAAAGATCATGCGAAAAAATGTTGCTCCGGGCATCGTTGACCGTTGATTTTTTGTATATTATATATTATTTTTATATATTATTGGGTTTTTATATATATATTATATATTATTTTATATATTATGTTGTTTATAGCTGAACTGCTGCACTAGTTCACAGTTTTATCTTTCTCTTTCTACATTGGAAGAAAAGAAGGATAAACTAGCGCAGCCCTAGTTTCAGCTCTGAGGAACAGGCCTTTTTTATGTCAGCGTATTTTCTCCCTGTGTCAGATGCAGCAAGCGCAAACGCTTGTACACCTGTCCGCGATGCGGCACAGGCTACTGCGGGGCCGAGTGCTACAAGTCGGACGCGCACACCGACTGCTCCGAGAGCTTTTACAGGCAGTGCGTCGAGGACGAGTTGAAGTCTCAGGAGAACGATCCGGTCGCCAGGCAAAAAATGATGGAAATCCTCAAGAGAGTGCACGAGGCGGACATGGGAGACGGCGTCTTGGAGGATAATTCGGACGAGAAGAGCAGCGACGAGGACTATCCGCTGGATTCAGACGACGAGCAGGAGGTAAGGCCAATTACTTTCCGGAGGGTGACGATTCGATGAACGCTCATTCTTGAACTTATCTTTCAGCTTCTCGACTTGGAAACCAGATTGCAGAATGTCAACTTCGAAGATCCGAACGAGCTCTGGTCAGCCTTGTCCGAGGCGGAGAAGCAGGAATTTGAGGCGCTGATAAAAAACGGGGAGGCGGAAAAGTTGCTGCCCAAGTGGGTGCCATGGTGGACCTGCCGTGTGGAGAAGAAATTAATCCAGCCCGTCGAGAAGGATATTATGGATGCTTATAGAGACTCAAAATATCCTGCTCTGATAGACGTACCATTATTCAACGAGCTGCAGGTTGGTAATAATGTTTAATGAGTTTACATGCTCAAGACAGTGTAATTAGAGTAGTCATTACCTGTGTTCAGAGAGCGTCCCCCTGCGTGCTCTTTAATGTGACGAACGTGATATACGCTTATGCGTACGTCGCTCTTTATTACGTCGGAGATTATTTGAACTGTGCCGAGGAAGCTGCCAATGTTTTTCTGGTCATCTGTGGAAACATGAGAAACAATGAGGTCTTCAAAGATTCGGATTCGGCAGTCGAGTCTGTTATAGAAAACGTAAAAAGCGTGAGTAGCTTGTACACATGTATATATTGATGTATACACAAATATATGCTTCATAATATATTTTTAAATATACACGTCTAGGTTGACTGGCTGCCACGAGATGAACAAACTGTAGCTGCGCTGAGAGAAGCTGGCGCTTCCATTTTGCAAGGACCAGGCGCTGAGATGAGGACCGTTTATACGTCCGCGGCGCTCTCCGAGCTCCATCGGTTACTGACAGCGGCGAAGAAGGAAGTTTCAACCTGTAAGAGCGGCAATCAGGAATTTACGAAGAGATTTTCGCAGAAATGTAGCAACGACCCAAATCTGTCGAAGAAGAGTATACTTCTGTGCCTGAAGAAGCTAGAGTATTATTTATCGTGGGTGAGAAGCACTGGGGCAGAAAGTTTGTAAACGTTAAGGATTCTATTATTTATTAAAACTGTATGCTGTTATCATTTTTTTATTATAGCAAAACAATATTTTTCAATAAATCTGAAATTTTTATTTGGATAAATATTTATTAATAGATAAATTGGATGGATAATTTTTGGATTTTCTCTTTATTGTCTAAAATAAACGATGTGGCCTTTGTAAAGGTCTATTCATATTGACGTGCACAGCCACATAAAGCGTATGCGCAACAAAATCATCAACAATAGATGTAAAATAAAAAATATTTTAGCTCTACGTTTTATAACATGTTATTGATCGACCTTTATTCGTATATATCCTGATGAAATAGCCCGATAGGTTCTTATAAATCAATTCTTCAATTATCGGTTCTGATTTCAAGACTGGCTTTTAAGTAATGCCTTAATACGTTAATTTATTATAAAAAATTTTTTAATGAAGGTCTTGATCTTCGGTATTTCGATGCATCATTTAAAGTGGACCACTCTATATATAAAAAAAATTATTCTGAAAAAGATGTATATTTTTTCAACACTTCTGAATAGTTCTAAACTTGTATGAAAGATCTGAAAAAATTTTCTAAAAATTTATACAATTATACAGAAATTTAGAAAAATTTTGCAATTGCTATATATATAAAAATTCTGAAAAATTTTGAAAAAAATTGTAGCCAGGATACATTTTCTATCAATCAAATCCGTCTGAATGAACCTGTGTACCCTCTTTACGTATGCTTCTTACGAACGCACCTTAGCAGACGACGTTACTGCCGTGACGTTTGTTGCAAGTATTCCCAGGCTGCCAGTCACTCCAGTCAGTGCCGCCGTCAGTGGCGATCGGTTCAGTCGGCTGCAAAATGATGGCGGACGAGAGGTTGTTTTTCTCGAACGCCGTCCAACAATTGGCGAGGTGTTTGGCCGCTATCAAGCCCACGCCGTGGGAGAAAGTAAGTTGGAACCTTCGCGAAAGAATTCTCCGTTCGAACGTCGATTCTTCGGCCACGGACACCTCTCGCGCTTCGCGTTTTTTTCATCGATTTCATCGGAAGTTAACCACAGGAAATGTCAGCTGACGTCCCGACGTTTTCGCGTTATGACACAATCCAAATAAGGATTATCATGTCACTTCGCGGAGTATTACAGTTTTTGCGGTGCACAATAATTAACGCTGCTGCCTTGTGCAAAAATTATAATTGCATCTTGCGTAGTGACTTTGGAAAAAATCTTGGAAAAATAATAACATAATATTTTTGCAGTGGCGTACAAAAATATACACGCAGAAATTACGCAGTATAACGTACTTAAAATTACATTGATAAATATTTGTAAAATATTGTGTACAGAAGAGAAATTGACATTTTATAAAACTACGATTATTTAACATATTAATAGAAAATTTGAAATTGTTTTATTTTTGTATTTTTTATTATAATATACATATAATATTTAATATTAATTAGAATACAAATTATCATTAAAATATATAATCTTTTAAAACATTTTATACAATTTTCACTCTTTTTTAAGAAAACTTATTTTAATTTTTATATTTATACTAAGGAAATTCATAATCAATGCAACTTTTATCAGGATGTAAAAGTAACACTTTTTCACGGTTAATTATAGGTAGCCAAACTGTACAAGTTATGTCCGCAAGAGTCTGCACAAGGAATATTTCGCTTGGATCAGAGGGGTCAGGATGCGACCATTGCATTGGGGATTTATTTTCTGGAGTCCGGTCTGCAGCACCGGGATAAAATTTTGCCGTATTTATTGAGATTGTTGCGCGGTCTTCCGAAGGCGGTATGGCGGGACGAGGTGAGGTGTTCGCTTGCCGAGCGGGTCCCGGTAGCGGAACGTTTCAGCTTCTGCCTGAACACACTGTTGAGCGACGTGGCGGCCAGGTGCGAGCCGACGCGAGAAGAAATCATCTCGACGCAGGTCGAGATACTCGCCGTCCTGACCAATCTGATACGCGGGTACAAGGAACAGAATAGCAATAGAGGCTTGCAAGCAAAGAGTAAGTATTGGATAGACATATTAAGATACAGCTGACGATGTGTTATGACCAGGGCTGGGCATATTTCAAATACTTGTATTTGAAATACAGTGTTTGAAATACAATTTGTATTTTGTATTCTGTATTTTAGCGGAACACATAAAAGTATTTTGTATTTTGTATTTCAAAAGAATTGTTCAATGTATTTTGTATTTGAAATACTAAAAAAATTATTGATAAAAATTCTTGACAACAATTAATAGTAACTTAAATTTTTTTCATATGACACTAATTATTTTCGTCAAGTTTCAAGCAATATCAAATCATTAGAGTCAAATTTCATAATCTCATATTAGTAAATAGATTTCTCTCGTGTGATTGATACAGGACTGTTAAAGAGTGTAAGAGAGTAAAACAATTTTTCTTTCTCTCTCTCTAAAAGTGGAAAGGGTCCTGTTGAAGCGGGGAGTTTAATATTATATATTATTGTAATTGAAAGATTAAATTAAAAAGTATTTTGTATTTCAAAGAAGTATTTTGCATTTCAAATAAAAACTTAAAAATATTTTGTATTTTGTATTTCAAATCGAAAGCTTCAAAGTATTTTGTATTTTGTATTTCAAATCAAAACATTGAAAGTATTTTATATTTTGTATTTCAAATCAAAACATTGAAAGTATTTTATATTTTGTATTTTAAATACTTTAATGTGTATATTTTGTCCAGCCCTGGTTATGACATTGTAAGCAATGGAAAGTGAAAGTATATAAATAATAACTTTTAAAAGAATAAAGAGGTATCATTTGAATAATTTAAAAGATAGATTTATAAATAAACTCATTGTTAGAAGAGGAATTAAAAACTTGATAAAATAACGCCTAAAGAGTGCCTATGAATGGTAGCTATTAATTTAAATCATTTAAAAGCTAAATTATAAATAAACTAATTGTTAGAAGATGAATTAAAAACTTGATAAAGTAACGCCTAAAGAGTGCCTATAGTAGCCTTAGTTCTGTAATTTAAATTGATTTAAAAACTTGAATCAATTAATTTTAATTTATTATAAATATTCTACTTTTTGCTGTCGTTTAAGGCACGTTTTATGTCTAATAAAAGTACGAAATTTTTCGTTTTGACATCACACATTGTTTCAGTATCGCTATGCAAATGTCTGGTTCCGGTGCTGATTGGCCTGGCGAGATCGATGGGTCGCTTCGCGTGCACGGACCCGCCGTTGCTCTGCCGCATCTTCCCACGGCGGGAGACACCCTCGCCGGCGGGCAGCACGGAAAATCGTTTGATGCCCGACAAGAAGCAGCACAGCTTCTCGAACTTCAGGCCCATCATCCCGCGGTCTCTGAGCGGCAACTTCAATTCCTGCATCGACAACGCGTTCCCGGGCTTCGACAGTCACGATTATAACTGCGGCAAGAGACCGTCGTTACAGTCCTTCCTGTCGGTGCCGTACGATCCGACGACGTATTTCTTCAGCCGTTACGGCTCGAGCTTCAATCAGTTCCCGCAGATGCGTTGTAACGAGAGCCCCGAGAGAAGGGCAGGGATGCAGTTTACCGTGGTGCATCTGCAGAGCGTGCTAGCCTTGGCCAAGAAATTGCTTACCAAGGAGATCCTGACGTTTCTAGACGAAGAGGCGCAGCAAGTAAGTTTCACGTTACACACGATTATTTTTTTAAAATTATATTTGTATCTGTATCTTCCGCATATTACGCCAATTGGTTTTGCAATTATTTTCAGGTGTACAGCTCCGGCCAAGTGCACATTTTCCCATATCGTACGTTCAGCGAGACGATGAATCTGGTGATGGTGGCCTTGTTGCGCGAGCTGTTGCAAAATCAGCGCGACTTACCGGCCCCGTTCACGCGGGACGTGCAGGAGTTCGTGAAGGGCCTGTTTCTCTCGGGTCAGACGGAGCTGCAGTCGCGGCAGCACGACGCGAGCGAGCGCGAGGACATCGACACGAATTTCCGGACCGTGAATCGCTTCAAGGTGAACGTGATGGCCAACTCCGCGTGCGTGGACTTACTGGTCTGGGCGATCGGCGACGAGACAGGTGAGGTGATGACGTCTGCTCGTCGCTGAAACAGAGATCGAAAGAGTCGCGGAAGCGTCTTCTACTAAAAAATTAAGAGCACCGCACTCACGAGAGTAATTAATAATCTGTACATACCGTGTAGGAGTTTCGTCTCACTGTGCTGTGTAACTCGTTAAGTGCATGGACGGTGTGACCGCGAGATATCAATGTCTGTTTCGATCACGCGTGATATCCGTCCCCCAGCACAGATGTTTTAAAGCTCTCACGTTATTTTTCCAGTATCCGGCGAGTATGATTTGTCCGCGCTGTTCGCAGATATCAGTTCGATGCTAATTGGCAAGGGTATATTGATTTACCCGTGTGTATGTGTGTGTGTGTGTACGTGTGTGTGTGTGTGTGTGTGAATATGTGTGTTACGTTCTCGTCTTTAATAAATTTATTATTAATTATTACTAACAATTATTGGGTCTTCGCTTAGTTAGCACGATAACAATTCGCTAACCGCAGTATTTCTTCTCGCAGTACGTTTGATTGACTTTAAATTGGTGTGTAGAAGATAAATTATTAATCTAAGATTTGCGAATGTTGTTCTTAGGAAATTTTGTAGGAAAAACTTCTTCATATTAACTTTTCGGAATACATTTTTTACATACCTATACAGACTTTTACGCACGAAGAGACATTTACAAAGCATCTTCCCTTGTCAGAGCATCCAAATAATCAGTCAATAACAACACAGTTGCTGCATATATATTAATTTATATAATTACATTTATATGCAGAGAGTTTGTACGTTAATTCTCAGGTGCGGATAGTTTGTGCGGACGGCTCGTGGAGAAGATAAATTCCAATCACGGGCCGAAACTTGTGCTGGCGCACATGCCACTGCTGATGGTTTGTCTTGAGGGATTGGGAAAATTGGCGCAGAAATTTCCCAACATAGCCAGCACGTCCATATACTACCTACGGGACTTCCTCATCGCGCCGTCGCCAATTCTTTTGAAGCTGTATCGCCAGCACAGCGAATATTTCACGAAGGAACATCAATTTAAAGTGCTGGGTAAAATAATTGCTTTATCACATACATCATTATTTAATTATAAAATTATTATTTGTCATAATATAATAAATACGATGTGTGTATATACATACGCAGTTCAAGGAAAGGAAATAAGCGACACGAAACAGACGACATCGTCGGTCCACACGGCGTTTGAGAAACTTCGCGACGCGGCCATCGGCAATCTCTGCATCGCTCTGGAAGCCGCGCACTCCGTGAACCCGGACTGCGTCCCGGCGCTCGTGGCCAGTGTCTCGAACAGGCTATACACCGCGGACATATCCGACGGGTACACGATTTTCCTTCGAAAAAGTTAACAGTCTTTCTAATCGGCGCAAGTAAAGCAAAATTACAATTTCCGCTTTCAGCGAGAGCGACGAGAAGTTGAAGAACGAAGTGGTGTCGAAGAACATCGTGATCATGCTGGGCCACGTCGCCGTGGCGCTGAAGGACACCCCGAAGACGATGCGCACGATCTTCCCATTTTTCCAGCAGCTCTTCTGCCGCACTCCCAGCGACCTCGACTTCCTCATAGTGGATCAATTGGGCTGCATGATCATCGCCAAGTGCGAACCAAAGGTGCGAATGATGCTCAGAATTTTCAGAATTACTCGTCACACATTTTTGATTATCTGTGAGTTTCTTTTCTTCAGATTTATGAAGGGATAATGCAAATGTTCTCCATGTCGTTGGGATCGAGTACAGCGACGTACGCGGCGAATGACGACCGCAAACAGTATTGTCATGTTTCCAAGGCGGTTACAAACGCCCTGGCGAACATAGCGGCGAATCTGCAGGGTGAGTCGGAATTGGACGACTTGCTGCTTCATCTTCTGGAACTGTTTGTGCAGTTGGGTCTCGAGGGGAAACGCGCCAGCGACAAGATGCCGAACAGTATCGCTGCGACGGTAAAATCACCTTGAACCAGTAATCTTCACGAGACAGAAGTAATTGAATGGAAAATATTATTTTATACGATCTGTACAGAGAGCAGCTAGTAGCGCGGGAAATCTAGGAGTGCTCATCCCCGTGATCGCGATACTGGTGCGACGTCTACCGCCGATCAGGCACCCGCAGAAACGACTTCTGAAGCTGTTCAAGGACTTTTGGCTGTACTGCGTTATAATGGGCTTCGCCGCGGATCATCCCTCGAGATTGTGGCCGCCCGAGTGGTACGAGGGGGTCAAGGAGGTCGCCGTCAAGTCACCCTACCTTATTTCACAGACCAGCGCGCGTCTGGAGATGCGAGAGTTGCAGTACACGTCGGCGGTGCGTAACGACAGTGTCTCGTTGAATGAGCTGCAAGAGCTGCGGAGTCAAGTATTGAAGATAAGCACCCGGTACGATTTACTTTAAATCTTTCGATATTTAATCTGTTATCCAATTAATTAACCACTTGTCCGAAGAATATTTTACATTTTTATATTGTGACATTTTTCTACTTCTAATTAATTATAAAAAAAATTATATATATATTTATTATTACATTACCGAAGTATTTATATATTTTCTCGAATTTTTTGAACCTGCTAAAATTTCTATTTGATTCTTTTTTTCCAGTACAAACGACATATCGGCATATGTGACCAAACTCCAGTTCGCGCAGTGCACATACTTGCTCTCTGTCTACTGGTCGGAGACCTTACGGGTGGCCAACAGTTCTGAACCGAGTCTGCAACCGATAATGGAGTACCTGTGCGACACGGATTTGCAGAAGGACAAGAGCGGCATGTGGCAGTGCATATGCTGCGTGGCGGACTCCGTGTTCGCGAAATTCAAGGACGTGATGCAGCGCAAGCCGAAGGACGAGCAACGCGAGAAGGAGCTCGAGAGCCACGCGCAGTTTCTGCTGGTGCGTTTCAATCACGTGCACAAGCAGATCAGACGGGTGGCGGACAAGTACCTCAGTGCACTGGTGGACGCCTTCCCGCATCTCTTGTGGAACTGCAAGGTCCTTTGGAGTATGTTGGACATATTACAGGTACATTTATCGTTTCTTCGTGCTCTGTACTTTGTCAGATTTCTCTACGACGCGGATCATTGCAGATTTTATCATACTCGTTGCAACTTGATCCAAATGAAGAGACGCCCAGCTTAAGAATACCTGGCACGCCGTATAGCATTGAGTTGATGAATACTCTTGAAGCAAGAGAGGTATAATATTATTATATGTCAAATAAAATAGTTACGTTTGTTAAGTAGAATAGTTTCTATGGCATATCGCGTGAATTGCAGATTATCGTGAAGGATTTTACCGCGAGATGCAAGGGCATAGTGCAGGAAGCCATGAAGTGGGCGCCGCAAGCAACCAGATCGCACTTGCAAGAGTACATCAATCAAATACCGTCTTCTGGCATGCGACATCATTCCGGTTTGTCGCTGGCCATTGACTCGGTCCTCGAATTTGTGGACACCGCGATTCCCACAGTGGTCCCAGCAAATGTATGCAATATTTCAGAGCGTATTATGCATCATTGTACCTTAACTTTTAGAATTGAAATCTTACAGTTAGCCATTCTTTTATTCAATTCGATGCATTGTAAATGACAGCTGTACTCGCTATTAATTATACTAATAGAGAAATGCATTTAACAGACGAATTCCTTGGACAAGAGGCCACGCGGTCCAAAGGGCGCGAGCTCGTGGCTGTTATCGATGATGTCCACGAGGTCGTGGCATGCCGGTGAGGTGGCGGGTATGCTCGCCCTCGCGCGCACCGAATCGCCAACCGCGGAGATGACTCTCGAGGGGTGTAGGGAGAAGGTCGTCGAGAGATTGATCGAGGCCGTTCGCCGCGCTTGTAAGGATCGCGACGATACCGTTCATCGCGGCGCTCTCTGGCGTGCCACCGCTCTTTTAATATCCATGCCTGGTAAATTTTAACTAATCAACTTTATAATCTTAATCGACATTTGAAATATTTTCAGCTAGTGGAAATTATTGGGCGCGGTAATTATAGGCGCAGTATTTTTTAAAAAAGATAAATTAATAATAACTTGTAATTTTTCAACTTTCTACGGAGTCGGGAACGATTAATTAATTTATTATTTATGCAGTTTATTACCTCCTTTTTTTTGCACTTTTAGGTATACACAGACGATTGTTGCACACGGTCGCGTGCTCGCAGATAGAACTGTTCACGATCGCGGCCATGACCACGGCGGTCGAGTGCTGGCAGTGGATCTTGACCGTGCGACCGGATTTGAAGCTGCGATTCTTGCAAGAGATGCTACTCGCGTGGCAGTACACCGTCGACAAGAGGATGGGCCTGTTCGCGCCGAACGAGGAGGAGGTCAGCCCGCTCGCGGTCTACGAGGGCTGCAAGCTCGGGCCTAATCCGCCGCACGTGAAGCCGCACGACATCTGGGTGACCTTCATCGTGGAGCTCGTCGAGACGGCCAAGTACTGTTGCCAGGAGACAGTCGACATGATCGCCCTGCTCCTGCATCGCTCGTTACCCATGACCGTCGGCGCGTCCGGCGAGGAGCCCGGCATCACTCGGCACGTCGCCGCGGTCGGCGTGCGCTTTAAACTTCTCTCGTGCGGCTTGGTACTGCTGCAAGGTGACGTTTTACCGAGGTACTGTATCTTCGTTTATTTTCGCGTCAAACGACGAACGTCGAACGGTAGGGATAAATAGTTGAATCTAAAAATAATTGGGTTCTTTTGTCGCAGAACTTTAAGTAAGAACGTCCTGCGAGAACGCGTCTATTCCAATTGTCTGGATTACTTCTGCCGAGAACGTCAGTTGCCGACCCAAGAGATCGATCAGCTTAGCGAGGACATCGTTACGCTGATACGCTTCTGGCAGGTGAGCGCAGCGCGTTAAGAATTAAGGGGAGGACTCTACAAGACTAAAAAGAACAGTGATTTTTAAGAATTCTTTTTTCAACTAAAATGAAAGTGAATAACTTCAAAAGTATTTTACTGTATATTTGACAAAAAAATTTCATTACTCTGATACGCTTCTGGCAGGTGAGCGCAGCGCGTTAAGAATTAAGGGGGACTCTACTTTACAAGACTAAAAAAACAGTGATTTTTAAGAATTCTTTTTTCAATTAAAATGAAAGTGAATAACTTCAAAAGTTTAACAGTATTTTACTGTATATTTGACCAATGAAAAAAATTTTTTTTATTAATAAATAACATGTTTTTTTAATAAATATTGGAATGTTTTGATAACGTCGCGCCGTTGGAATTGTTCGATTGTGTACAATCTAGGAGACGTATAATTTTTGTTAAAAAAAAAAACAAATTTTTTTTAAATTTTTACAAAATTATCTCCTATATGAACTAACAAAACATTGAAAATTTCAATAATTGGGTAAGTTATGACAATTAAAAAAAAAAAAGTTAAAATTTTCACGAAAAAATTTGAATCTTTTCAAAAAAATTGTTTAATTTAATTTTTTGTAATATTGTTAGTTTATATAGAAGATAATTTTATAAAAATTAAGAAAAAATTTGGTTTTTTCATTTCAGACGAAAATTACGTCTCTTAGATTGTATACAATTCTAGCGACGCGACGTTATAAAAACATTCTATTATTTATTAAAAAAACATGTTATTTATTAATGAAAAAATTTTCTTCCACTGATCAAATATACAGTAAAACATTGTTAAATTTTTGAAATTATTTAGTTTCATGCTAGTTAAAAAAAAAATTCTTAAAGACTGCATTTTTTTTTTTTATAGTTATGTAAAGTCCTCCCTTAAGGGACAAGATTAAGATACTCTGATTCCATTTCCAGAAATTATACGAGATTATCTTTGTTTTTTCTTTACAAAATACTGGAGTTTATTTATGATTAAAGTACTACTTTGTTTTATGTTTTTTTTTTTTTCACAGGTGATGCATAGCGACAAAAAGTACTTAATGATGACAGGAGCCGATAACGAGTTCGAGATAGTGACGTCTCAAACTTACACCACCGCAATGATTCCAAGCGAGACAATCGGTTCGTTGGCCGCCACGCTGGCCCCTACGCCGAACGACTTCTCGAGATCGTCCAGCAACGTGTGGATGAGCACCATGCCTATGTCGACCAGCACGAATACGCTGAGCAAACGCAGCAATCGCAGCAAACGAATTGTAAATGCCAACGTCCTCGTGAAGGATTACATCAAGAAGAGAAATTTGATTCTCGAGTTGTTAGCGGTTGAAATCGAAATGTTACTGGTGAGTTCTCGACGAATATCACGAATGAGCAGAGATTTATGTGATTTCGCATTGATTAAAATCAACTTTTAAACGTCAAAAGCTTTTAAACGTCTCGTCTCTCGTCAAAGGTCTGGCGTAATCCCGGCGGAAGGCCGGAACTCGCGTTGCAAGGAGAAGGGAGTATCGCGGATTGGCGCGCCAAGGGGATGAACGATCGCTGGCGGGAGTACACGCGGCTCGCGTGGGAGATCAGTCCCGTTCTGGCTACCTTCTTGCCGGTGCGCCTGAAGAATCACGAAGTCATCATCAAGGAAATCTGCGGCCTGGTGCGCCTTAAACCCGTGCCGGTCATGCACATATCGGAGGCGTTGCAGTATCTCGTTACGACGGATACGCTTCTCAACGACGTACCTGAAGTGAGCCTTTTAAACTCTACGCTTTGCGCAACAATAATCTACGAATTATTATCTCTACTTTGGAATTCATAATATTAATATAACAAAAAATATTAATTTAACAGTAAGTAGATAATGATTTGTAATCTACGAATTATTCAATCTCTACTTTGGAATTCATAATATTAATATTAAAAATATCAAAAAATATTAATTTAACAATAAGTAGATAATGATTAGTAATTTGGATAAAGACAATTAGAGTTATTAACGCAGTAATTTAGTGCGTGGATAATTTAATTTTCTCACAAACTATTCCTCAATACATTTCTCTATCCCGAACGTTTCTGCCTGATTCATTAACGTCTGTTAAATAAGGGGTTTTTATTGTGATTACCGCTGATGAAGGCCTGAATTAGGCAGAAACGTTCGGGATAGAGGAATGTATTGAGGAATAGTTTGTGAGAAAATTAAATTATCCACGCACTAAATTACTGCGTTAATGACTCTAATTGCCTACCCAAATTACTAATCGTTTTTTTAAAACTAAGAGCCTTATATATTACATATTAATAAGTAGACGTTAGAGATTATATCTCATTTTATAAAATTCCGTTTCAGTTAGTTTATATGTTGACGTGGGCAAGGGTGTCTCCGATTCAAGCGCTGGCGTTCTTCTCGCGGCAGTTCCCGCATCATCCCATCTCGGCGCAGTACGCGGTGCATGTATTGGACAGCTATCCCGCCGACGCCGTGCTCTTCTACATACCTCAGCTGGTGCAAGCCGTCCGTCACGACACGATGGGCTACGTGATCGAATTTATCAAGAAGATTGCCAAACGATCGCAGGTAAAAGTATCGCGAGATTTGAGTTCACGTATCGCACCGAGAGAATTAAACGTAATCGCTTTTCTGGCTCAACTTTTTGGTTTCAGGTGGTGGCGCACCAGTTGATATGGAACATGTACACCAATGTATACATGGACGAGGATAAACAGGTGAGAGATCCGGTGCTGTACGACATCTTGGATTCGTTGTCGAAGAATATACTGAACGCCCTGTCCGGCCCGGCGAAACAGTTCTACGAGAGGGAGTTCGACTTTTTCGAGAAGATCACCAACATCTCGGGCGAGATCCGGCCGTATCCCAAAGGGCCGGAACGCAAATCCGCGTGTTTAGAGGCTTTGGCGAAGGTCAAGGTGCAACCCGGTTGCTACCTACCGTCGAATCCCGAGGCGATGGTCATCGATATAGATTACCAGAGCGGTACTCCCATGCAAAGGTACAAATTAGAATTAGTAATTAAAAAGACAACGATATATGTGAATTATATTATAAAATATTATTTTTTTCTTTTTTTACATTTACAGCGCTGCTAAGGCACCATTCCTAGCGCGCTTCAAAGTGCAGAGGTACGGCATCAACGAGCTCGAGAATATCGCGCTAGCGGTGTCGACCAACGGGAAAGTCGAGAACAAGAAGGAAACGGAAGAGCAGACGTGGCAGGCTGCTATTTTCAAGGTCGGCGACGATGTCAGGCAGGACATGCTCGCCCTGCAGGTGATCAGCATCTTTAAGAACGTATTCCAGAAGGTCGGGCTGAATCTCTTCCTGTTTCCCTACAGAGTGGTTGCCACAGCACCCGGGGTAAGACGGATGCGGATTTCTTTGTAAAGAGTATATTACACTGACAGATAGATATCTCATTTATCATTGTATTGTTATCAGTGCGGCGTGATAGAATGTGTGCCTCACGCAACGTCGAGGGATCAACTCGGCCGCACGACGGACAGCGACATGTATCAATACTTCATCGCGCAGCACGGCGACGAAACGACCAAGGAGTTCCAAAATGTTCGCCGCAACTTCGTCAAGTCGATGGCGGCGTACAGCGTGATCACCTACCTCCTGCAGATAAAGGACCGTCACAACGGCAACATCATGATAGACACCCAGGGCCACATCATACACATTGACTTCGGCTTCATGTTCGAGAGCTCGCCCGGCGGTAATCTCGGCTTCGAGCCCGACATCAAGCTCACCGACGAGATGGTCCTCGTGATGGGCGGCAAAATGGAAGCTGCGCCGTTCCGCTGGTTCATGGAGCTATGCGTGCAGGCCTTCCTCGCAGTCAGGTGGGTATTATTCAATATCATTTCAAGAATCTGCATTTATACTACTTCTAGATATTGAAATATTCAATCAAATCACCAGTTCTAATTTCAATATCTAGATATTGAAATTAGGGCTGGTGATTTGCTTCGAAGGCTTCGACATTCGAACTTTGAAGATACGAAGCTTCGGCATTAAAAATCTTCGAATTCTTTCGAAGCTTCGAGGTTTCGAAAAATCAAAAAATTTGTGCAAATGATAAATTTATTCAAAAAATTTACAAATATTGTAAATAAAAAGAATTAATATATATACGAAATTATTCCTAAAAAAATTTGAAAGTATCATAATCTGAAATATTACAAATTAATAATTAAACTTGATACATGTTTAAATAAGAAAATGATCAATAAATCCAATTAAGAAAATTCAAATTTTAATGTATTTTTCGAAAACTTCGAAAATTCGAGCTTCGAAGGCACATTAAACTTCGAAAGGTCGAAGTTAGCGTCGAAGCTTCGAATATTCGAAGTGAGTAAAAGCTAAAAAGTAACAGCTCTAATTGAAATATTGAAATAACAAAAATAAGATCACATTTAAGAATTGACATATATAAAATCTAAAACTCATAATAACCACTCAAATGCGATATTCTCTATTTTGTAGACCCTACCAGGAGGCCATCATCTCTCTCGTCTCTCTCATGCTCGACACGGGACTGCCGTGCTTCCGCGGGCAAACTATTAAGCTCCTACGCAGCCGGTTCGTGCCGACCGCCACTGACCGCGACGCGGCGATCTTTATGATCAATGTAATACGTAACAGCTACCTCAACTTCCGTACGAAAACTTACGATATGATACAGTATTATCAGAATCAAATCCCATATTGAGCTATCGCTGGGAAATCTACCTTCCGTCTCCTTGCCTTCCTTCTTCCCCGTCCGCGTGTTTTCGTTAAATGGACGGACGCGACTTCGCGCTCGCCACGACTGTTGTTATCGACTTTAGAATCAGGTACTTGGATGTACTCTACACTTGTTAGAAGTATATCGCGGTATAACCATTGACTGTGAAACTGTACAAAATGCAATTTTGGTGTCAATATTATTTTAGTCCCATTTAATGTATTTTACGAAAGCGTTTAGAGCCTTGTATATGTATGTAATAATGTATCATATTTATCTACGAGAGAGATCGCTTATATATCTATATGTATATGTCTACCGTATGCAGCGCATCTGTATACGATCACATTCCTCGTTAGTTATTAATTTATGCGCTGTTAATGGGTAAAAATTAAAAATACTTTAATCACGACGTATTTAGAAATTCTTCATCATCGCGATGCATTTTAATTCTCAACTGCGAGACAGTATTTAATTAGGATTCTAATTAGATATTTTGTAAAATATCAAAAGGAATATGTGTACATTTTTTTTTTACTTCAGTTTACCGTTTACTTCAGTTTCCTGATGTGTTTTAACAATTTTACGTGTGATTCTTTTCTCGACGGTGTAATGAGCAATTAAACGAACAATAAAGTAAGGGTAATTTAATTTATTTTCTATATACAATAGCTAAGCAAACTCATTGAACGACGTTACGTCAATGTGTCTGCAGTGTAACACCGACGGCTAGCTCGACGGTGAGAAATTTAAGAACTCCAATTGTAAGTCTTCCCCGGAGTAATGTATTTCGTTTCGGTAGCAGACTCTTTCCTAAAAGTTTCAAAGAAAATTTAAGAATTTTTTTTCTATGTACAAATCAATTTTTTTAAATTATTCTGATAAATGTGACTGCGCCCAAAAAGATTTTTTACTTGTATATGTATATTGATTTTACATATTGACTGATTTTAATCCTTTCAAATGTAAATTGTTGATATTTATACTTACTCTGTACCAATCTGTTTCGAACCCATAATTAACATCGGCGGCTTAACTTCTCGTCTTGCATCTCGAGGGTAATAGTATATTTGCGACGTTCTGTCATACGGGCCGCCCGGTATTTCCGGCGGAGGTTGAGTCCGCTTGGCCTGTTCGTCAACCCACCTATTGTTCAGCACCACTTCTCTCTGTAGAGAAAATATCAACAATGAAATGTTTTTTATACGTATCGAACCATTATCTAAAAGCAATTGAAGGAGCTTGTACGAAACTTCTGATTATTGACTTAGTGCTTCCAAAAAAGAATATATTATTCTACGGAATTAGGTACTTTTATGTAATTGAGATTTTTAAATTTTTAGAGATTGTCGTAAAGGATGCAAGATCTATAAATGCAACTTCTCATACTCCAACACTTCTGTTACATTTTTACCAGAGATTTTTATCAGACAGACATATGAATATATTGTAAATAAGAAAAGAATAATTTACAAGAACACATTTTCCATTAAATATTGGTTAAATTATAAGGTCAGCTGGTATATCTAGATATAACCTCACATGTAAACATCACAGTTAATGACTCGTTTTCCAGGCAAACGACACGATTTGTTCAGGAAATACGTATTTACATTAACAAATTGAAGCACAACGCGATTCGGAACATAAAAAAAATCGAAAAAGCACAGAGTGTGGGTTATATAATTGTAGAACGAATGTCATCACTTACACCTCGGCTAATGTCCCGAATAAGTTTTATCAGTGGCGAAACACTCCGGTGATCGATTGGGCCCGGCATTCTTCCGTGAATCGGCTGACTTGTTAAGACGCAATTAATTATGCTTGGCACGACATTTACTTCTGCAATTAAAGAGCCAAGAGTTAACCTCAACAAGTAAACATTGGTATCGTGAATTTCTCAGTGCACCGTGTCGATTTGAGGACTGTTCTTCACAGCTGAACTGGCTGCACTAGTTCAGAATTTATCTTTCTTTTTACAATGTAGAAAGAGAAAGATAAACTGTGAATTGGTGCAGCAGTTCAGCTATAAAAGACAGGCCTTTAAATCGATACCGATCGACACGATCGTTTGTGATGTATGTTTTATTATTGTATCTTTTTGTCGAAATGTATCTATCGAAATGGCATTTGCAGCGAACATATATAATTTTGCGACTAATTTTTAAATCAAAATAAAAAAGAAATCAGCCCTATTTTTATATATAGAATTCTAGAATATTCTTTACGCAATAATACGATCTAATCGAAATATCTAAATTTTTCCTTATTTAAAAAAAATATATATAAAATATCTATAAATTTTCCCTTATCTAAGCTGCTTTTTCATATTAATTAAATTAACGGAAAACTGTATCATTGTATCCGTCTAAACAAATTCGATTAAACAAACTTATATTGACATAAGAAAAATAGAAATTATAGATTCGAGAATTAGTAAATTTTACTTCGATAAGTAATTCGCGTATCGGTTGACTTAATTTATTATTGCTGTTTAACTTAAAGAGTTAGATTAAAGAGTTTTAACTTAAAGTTATTAATTTTTTATTATTTAATAAAAAAAAATTAGTTTAAAAAGCAATAAATTGTAGAAATTTGGTCAAGCTATAAAAAATTAACGTTGTTTTAAGTTTATATTAATTTGAAATTTGATCGTAAAAGTCGCCAGCTTTAATTTACGCCCATATTTCTCCGTGAATTAACTTTAATCTCGGTTTAATTCACTTTTTATCTTTCTGTAAAGAATCAGAAAAAGATCAGGATTAAATTAAACCGAGATAAAAATTGCGTTACATCCTTGAAATATATAATTTAGAAATGTACATTATAATACACAATCGCGTGTTCGGTTACGCGGTCGTAAACACGATGACGAACGGCGGCAATGGCGAACGCCGATGGCGTACAAATCACGTTTAATTCGCGTCAATTTATTGACAGAGAAGCGGCTGACGGGTAGAACCGAACCGAACGCGAGTGTCGATAAGGGTAGAGGACGCGGGTGCCGTGGACGCGACGAGCGGTGAACCGGTAATCGGCACGACGCGCATCCGCGCCCAGCGAGCTTGACGCGCGGAGGGGGGGAAGTGGTAGAGGGGAGAGGGAGATCGGCAAGAAAACAACATATGGAAGTGCTCGGCGCGGTGAGGTGGACGAAAGTTCGCAGTTTCGAATGTTAACGGGGGAGGGGGACGAGATACCTCGAAATCAAGCTCGTCACGTCAAACGGGATATGCTGTCGCCTCGATTCGATCTCGATACGCACATTTTTTGAGGAAACGACGCGTTCCGAGTATTGCAGGTTAGAATTGCCCAAAGTTTATAATTATATGGTCTCATTGTCACTGTGATCACCGATGCGCTAATGACGCAGTGTATACGTTACGATGAATGAATTGTTGGATGTTCGGGCTTGTACTGGATTACGCTAGGAATTAATTATCGTTGTAAAATTATTAATTCATTTTAAGATGCAATTGTGGGATGGAATTGATCGAACCTAGAAGTTTGTGTAGTCAAACATTTGAATTTGCATCGGATTGTGTACGTTAAAATCTAACTGTTATTCCAGTCATTAATTTAATGATGCCGCACAGTTGTGTGACAGTAAAAATTACAACCGAATATTTTCGTCAGATTCGGCCTTCGCCAAATTATGTTAATCTAATTATTGTAAATCTAATTATTGTTGTGATCTATGATTAACGTTTGCGACTGTGCATCGTTACAGAGTGAGAACTGTTGAATATTCGGATCTGCGTTGGATTACGTGTACGAGGCGTGAATTTGTTTGTTAAAATCTAATTGTCTAATTATTAATTTAATAATGCTGCACAGTTATGTGACAGTAAAAATTACAACCGAATATTTTCGTCAGATTTGGCCTTCGCCAAATTATGTTAAGATCCAATTATTTGTTGTAGTCCATTAATGCCGCAACTGTGCAATGTTACAGTGGGAACTGTTGAATATTTGGACCTGCGTTGGATTATGTACGAGGCGTGAATTTGTGGCAGCGCTGCATTTATTGTTTGACAATCGCTACTTTCGTAGCGTTAAACGTACGCCAACATGTTGACGGAACAGAATGTGATTATGGAGCTGACCGATTCCAGCGACACAGTGCCGATTGGTTTTATCACTACGGAAGACGGTCATACGATACTGGCAATAGGCGGTAAGAAGATAGAACTAATATATTACATTAAAACATATAAGTGTAATAATTAGAAGGAATCCAGAACTGTGTACACAATTCTACAACCACAACGCACATATTATGTAGCTCTTTATATACAATAATACATAACATCAAAGATTCAACTGTATATTTAGAATTTCATGTTGTTTGCATTAGGCTTTTGTTGAAATTGTAATTTAAATAAACAGAAAGATTATCTCTGCTGAACATGTGTATATTTTGTTTATGGGAAATCACCTGAAGATTTCATTCTTTTTTCAGAACATGAGGACGGCACGCTTGAATTCATGACGACGCCAGTCACATTAATGCCACAAAATAACATGGTATCTCCGGCACTGATAAAGACTGTGGATGGAAATTTTATTTTACAGCCGGTATGTGTAATTAACAGCATCTTAGAAGCTGAACAATAACGAGATGTCTTATTACATTGTTTGTTGGCAACGCTTTTCTCTGTGACACGCTTCTACTGTTTCAGTCTGTTTTCCAATTGAATGTGGAGAATCTGTCAGGAACTGCGACGCAACAGACAAATCTACTACCGTTGATGCAACACTTTGAGAATGGATCCGCAATCACGGAGCAATTAAAAGTACAGGATACTAATGAGTGCTCAGTCACGGAATTTTTACCATCCATCAGAGATAACAGCAGTGTGTTGTCAGACAAAGGGCAGCCGACAGTTGAGAGCCGTGCTAAATGCAAGTCTACGTCCGTATCTACGATACAAAATGCACGCAAAAGATCTCCAGGAAGACCAAAAAAGACTGGAGTAACTTCGCAGGTATGCCAATATCATCGATCAATGCCCACAACTTGAAAATATATCGTCTAAACTGTATAAAATAAATTATTATTGTTGATATTTTGTCAGAATGTGCAGTCTCTGAAGTGTGATATATGCAGGCAGGAGTTCACTAAGCAAACATTGTACCGCAGACACATGGAAAACCATGCCCAAGAGAAGCCACATAGATGTCCCAAATGTCCGGCATCGTTTAATATTCCAGTAAGTCCTTTCGTATCTTTTCTATCAATGGGATCTTAAGAGAAAGAAATCTCGTAATAAGAATCGTATCTTATGGAAACGGAAATATTTGTCAAGAACTCACTGTACTCACATATATCATACATATGTCATTATATTTTAATATAACTTTAATTTTAATTAATATATACAGTATAAGAAACTGTACGTTAAAGAATATAGAAAAAGATTGCTACAATGTATATCTGGGAGAATTTTGATCGAATAAATCTATTCAATCACCCGCGGCTAATCTCTCGTAGAATTAAATTAATAGTTATGAGAGAAAGTTGCTTCTTGATCTTGGATGCAATGGTCGGATTCAGTCTAGTAACTCCGTACAATGGCATCGTTACAGACAAATTTCACGCTTCATATGGCAACGCATAATACCGGTGACCCAAAATGCCCCGAATGCGGTAGGAAATACGCGAGGATGGCGAGTCTCAAGTCTCACATGTTGCTGCACGAGAAGGAGGAGAATCTCTTTTGCACGGAGTGCGAGGACGCCTTTTCGACGAAGGTAAGTTCGAGATTTACGTTCTATTTATCTCTATACGTATGAGGGAAATTTTTTCTTCCTACATGTGAAATAACGGCAATTCAGGATTCAGCATTTTTGTGTACAATTTTAATAAGTATCATAAGGAGGCAAGTCTTGAAATAACAGTCTGATGATTTTGAAACGCTCTATACATAAACACATGAAAGCTGCGTCGCGCTAAGATTGCCTTATCGATGGCTCTATCCTGTCAGCGCACGCTTCTGCTGATCACGCAGACCAACGATAACATTTATCATTGCGAATATACGATATACATAATTATTGCGGCTAAGGTCCAAAGTGTTGGCCTGGCTCTGCCTTCGTTTGTTCGCTCCTCAATTGGTCCACGTGCCCTAATTGACGGGTCATAAACCTCGATTGATAACAGGCTCTAATTACCTGTTTACCACTCGCGAATCTGTTCTCTGAAATTTATCATTGCATTTCTCATTGTTTTATATAGCATTTTGAACGATCGGTGCGAAACTAGTTTGCTATTAACGAATAAGATTTAGTGTGAATGAATTTGACTCTGCTAGTATGAATGAATAACAGCACGGCGTAAAGCGGATCTTGATGTTACTTCATCTAATCAGGGTTGATCTCGGTGACCCACAACGATTTATTTTGCCAGCCAGCCAGCCAGCCGAAATCGAACGATAGAAAATAGGAGCCCGCGATTCTCGTCATGTGTCTCCGTAGCGGGCCAGCGGTCGGATAAATAGAGATGATTTAATAATTCCTCTCAATGCTCTTGATTAAGAGGACATTATCTCATAGCGTCGTCAAAGTGTGCCATAATAATTGTGCCAGCAATAATCGGCCTTGCAGACTTTACAAGCATCAATGATATTTTAGCTTCATCTTTGCTACATATTCATAGAAGTGTCAGCGCTACTAGCAATAATTCCCAGGGAATGGAATTAATGAATCATGCATGCGAGATAACGCGCGTGTCCTCGATTGAGCGTTAATTGATCAGCAGCGGAAGGAACGTGCGTTTTTCAGGAGAAGAGATTACCACGGTACGATCATGCCCCTCCTCCCCGGGGGCAATCTTTCGAGTTTACGAAGAGAATAATAATTGATCGCATCGGGATCGTTGCAGCGATCACGCGTGACCGTGGTAGCGATAGTGGGCTGTAAAACGTGGGCAAGTGGGCGGCGGCGAGCGGCCGTATTAATGGGGCGCGCACGAATTACGCAACCGAATCGCATGATCTCACACAGATCTCGCGCCGATTGCCCTCGCCGTTTGGCCGCCGACACACGCCGTACGCATATACACGCGTGTGTGAGGTCGAAATGTGGAACGAACTTCAGGAAACGTTGCATCGCGCATCATCCGTCTCGGCGAGTGTATTTGAGCGGACACAACTTTTTTTCTTTTTTTTTTTTAGTACAAGAAAACAGGGCCAATGTAAAGAAAAATTTCGTGGAGATATTGAGATAGGATTATTAGCTTAAGAAGTTAAAATAAATTCAAATTCATATTATCTTTATGCCTAGACAATTTGTTCTTTTCCTCTATACTTTATTTAATTTTTCTGTTTCTTCTTAACGTAATTGTCTCTCTTTGATGTGACTACCTTGTATATTTTATTCCCAAATTTTCAATTTTTTTTTCTAAATAAGAGAAGATCAAGGAGAGGAGATTAATTATAAATGTAATTAATAGTCACTATAAAGATGAAGAAATGTAAGTATTTGAAAATGAAAAAGGTTAAGAAAAAAAAAATGAAAATTTGGAAATAAAAAATACAAGGTAGTCACATCAAAGAGAGACAATTACGTTAAGAAGAAACAGAAAAATTAAAGAAAATATAGAGGAAAAGAATAAATTGTCTAGGCTAGATAGATAATATGAATTTGAATTTCCGAACTGTACTAAATTTAATTCGTCTGCCGTAACATTTCTTGTACTTGGAATCTAAAAAAGTATGTGGAGAGAAAGGAGAACCGATAACGATGACGACGAATATGATGATTTCGACGACGACGTAAGCGACATTTACAGTCGTTTCGTCAGTGAGCAGCGGATACTCGCGAAGCGTGCACGTGTTTGCGCTTGTCACCCGCGGACGCGCGTACCCTTCCACGAAACGTGCGGTTCGATCAAAATCAAGGGACGCACTGTCACTTGAGTGCGTTGTTGAGAGTACATTTATTTATTTTGCAAGATTGCGTGGCCGCTACTTCTTAGATTAATTAGAGATTGTGGTTGCGTGATGCGCTTTGATTAAATCATGGTCACGCATTCGAAAGTCATCGCATATTTCGCTTGCACGCATTTCGCCAGCGTTCTGCAACTGTTTGAAATTTGTCACCGAAGGGATAAAGGATTCGTAAAATAATAATGAAAATAATTTACACGCGAATGAACTGTTTCTTTGCGAGATTAACTTACAATTGGCAATGAACACTCAATGCTGTATCATAATCTCGCGCTGATCTTCGCAGCCTAATAAATTGCCTTCTGTCAAACATCGACGAGGAAAAATATCTACTCTTAGAACGAAGCTTATACGATCGTTTCGGCAGTTTTTTACACGTCTCGGTATATTTTTTCTGGCGCCGGACTTGAAAGATCTTCGAGGGGGTCGCCTCGCCTTTCCCCGAAAACTGAAGTTCGTGATAGAAGTCGTGCGGATGGTGTCTCCTTTCAGTACACGGTGTGTGCGACACGTGACACGAAATTTTTTATTAAAAAAAAAAAGAGAAAATCCCGGGCATAAATAATTGACGTGCGTTTTTGTTGCTCAGGTGGAATCGGTGCTCGATGCATTCCGGATTTACGGTGAAACGTGCTGCAGCGATCAAAGATAACGAACAAAATAAATTCGCGCGAGGGAGGCAGAAGTTAGACGGCGAAAAGGAAGGATCGTCGGGCGAAATGAAAGCGCCGATAAAATGCGACCGCCGTTGATAAGAGACGAACCGTTGAACTTTACCGGGAAGAGTGAGGATATACAGCCGTCGTTTCGATGATAACTCACTATCATTAATAGCATTAACCCTGAAAATCGCTCGAGACGATCGCTCGTTCCGTCCTATAAGCAGCGACATTTAAATCGCAATCGGATTAAGATGTAAGAAACGATCGATATATAGGCGTCGCGTTGTACCGCTCTGGGACGTACGGAAGATCAAGTTTTCTTCGCGGAAGAAACCCGACTCCAGGAGGGGGACAGTGTGTGGTCTCTCGCGAAGAAGGCGCGTTTCGTGCTCGTGTTTACGCACGAAGGAATAATAATCTCTGACCGCGCGCGCGGCGTAACGCGCGTTGCGTTGAAGAAAAAGAAGAAGAAGAAGAAGATGGAGACCAGAGCGGGGCGATCAGCGAGATCTGCGACGGCGACTGCGTGCGGCGCGGCGGCGGCGAGGAAGAGAGCGATTTAATACGGGGAAACCGATGACGCTCTTCCTCGAGGCCGTATTTTAGGAACGTCCGTCCCATAAAGAACCCCCGTCGATCTTCTTCTTTACTCTTCTAGTCCCTCGCGAGTCATTCGCGAGTCGTCCGCGTGACACTTGACACGCCAATTGCCCGTCCGATTTGCGCACTGTCTAGATTACTCTAGATCGTCCTCGTTTCCGAAGGAACGAGGGACGATGCGCCGAAAGAACTTCCACGAAGCGCGATTCTTTCGCCCCTCTCCCTCCCCCTCAGTGAAATCCCTCCGACGCTGTAATGTGTTCTCGCAAGAGACTCTTCGTTAGTTCTCTTCGACGTTAATCCGGAATAGAGTGTGTTATTTTACAACGTGAATCTGCGACTATTTTATGGAAAGAAGCGAAATATAAGTGTGTGTTTTGAATAGCGAGGATGCGCTCTCTTCAAAGGTGGGCGTCGTATCGAAGCCGGAGGTCGTTTCCTGATTCGCCACGTCCGACGTGATTAGACGTTCCGTGCTGTGATAATTCAATGTATTTCGCCATGAAGTATCGTCAAAGCGAAATAAATCCGTCGATCCGATCTGTGGATTTTTCTTTCGCAAAAATGCTGCCAGCGCGAGATAAAATTCAGAATTATAAAAACGAGAGAGAGATAGCCTTGATATCATTGCCACATTTTATTAGATTCTTTATTTCTCGATTAATGATTGCGGATGATTATTGCGGCAAACTGCATAATATAAAGTATTCTCTAGATTTGTGGAATATTTTCTGAACCGATTTCACTTTCGATTGAACTTTCAGTTTTTCCACATGTAAGAATTGCAAAGGGACAGAAAGAGCTATCGTCATTCTTTTTTCCGTCACCTTATCTGGAATATTGCCAGTCTTAAAAATCGCCTTCGTCTGTTATAACATTTTTTATGGACTTACGAGTTATGCTCAGGTCTCAGGTTTGCTTAAGCAGATCGCCAGCCCATCCCGTGGCGTTTCTCGGCGGCATCTGAGGAATCCGAGATGCGAGCGGCGAACTGGTCGTTGATGAACCGAAATCTCGTCATCGCGGAGGAAGTGCTGCTGCTGCTGGAAAGGGAAAACGAATCACGAAAGAGGAAAACGCACGAGAGAGAGAGAAGAAGACGAAACGGAAGATCTCGTAAGTCGATCAAGCGGAAGAGGAAGAGGAGTCTCGTGGGCGGAAGGGAGAATAAGGGGAAGAGGAACGACGAGGAATACCGGACGTCTTTGGGAAGATCAAACGGCGAGCGGGGTGGAGGTGGCTGCTGCGGCTGGACCGCTAATAGTATGCGTGCCGGAAAAAGTGCAATGTCCCCTTGCGGATGCGCGATACGGGCGGCGACGCGCGGGAATTAACAGAGCACGGAATAATCTCCTGCACGATCTCGTGATCTTCGTCCTGGAACTGTCGCTGCGCCTTTTCGCGAGGAGAAAAAGGAAGAAGAATTTTGTTATATGTGTGCACCGCGACACGTGAAATTCGCTGCGAAGGAAGATAGAGAGGAGAGATACGGGAGAGAGTGACGGAGAAAAAGAGGAGAGACGAGATACGAAAAGGGAATCGTATATTTTGATACAAAAGTTCTCCTACGAGAGAAGATAGGGGAGAAGGGAGTAGCAGAAGAAAGTGATCGAGAGAGGGGAGAAAGAAAGAGAGAGTGGGACCCGCGAATTTTTGCAGTCGTCCGGTTATCGCACCGCGAATTGCGACCACGTGGACGCGATGCAATAAAGCTCCCGCGTATAAATTAATCGACGAGCAGTCTGATCTCCAAGACGGATAGTCTGATCTTCAGTTTATTTTCTGCATCTTTCGATTCCACGTTCCTTATCGACGAATGTTCTTTTTATCGAGGAGGATGCTGCGGGCGACTTTTGAGTCTGAATTTGTCGCCTGACACGGCTCGTTAGCGGAATCCTGTGCGACGCGCGATTCAATTTTACTGTCGAGAGACGCGCGATAGTAACAGTAAAATTTCGTGTTCAATATTGTGTTCGTCCCTTATCAGCGTTGATACTGCGAAAAAGGCGTTTCATCGAAACGGCCGATCGATAGCCACGATAATTCGGTGGGCCACCGCGTTGTGTTCGTCCTACTTTTTGCACCAAGCACTGCCATATAAGTACCCACTGCCCGCCGGCGCGTATTACTTTATGTATTACACGACACGATAATCCGCGCCACACAGTGCCGTCTTCCGATATGTCGTTCGCCGTAGACTGCCTGAATTTCGCGCTCCTCTTCGTCTGCACGCGCGTGTTCCATCTCGCACTCGGTATCAGCGCACAGTATTATAAGGTACACCCAGACTCAGTAATCCTTAGATTATTACATAGCCGCAGGGATGCTCAAAGATTGTGTATTTTATGAAGAATTTAAGATAATTTTTACAAATCAAAGATAATTTTTACAAATATATAGGATAGAGATAATGCATAATAATTTACAACTATTGTTAAGATTTAAATTATTCTTTCGTGTGTGTTATAACAGGCCCAACTGGACGCGCATTTGAAGCTTCACGGAGAAAAGTGGGCGAGCGAGGATGTGCGAAAGTGCAAATTATGCAACAAACAATTCGTGCAGCCCGCGCTCTACCGGATGCACATTCGCGAGCATTACAGGGTAAATTAAAAAAAAAACTTACCAAGCATCACACGTTTCGAAGAGCGGATCGATAACGCTGGCAATGCTTCATTAGTTTATTTTTTTTTTTATTTACTTTATATATTTTCTTCTATTTTCCACAAAACTGCAACTAGCTTCTCTCTTCGTTTCATCCTTTTTTTTTCTCGCGAGCACTTTTACGCTTCTAGTAAACAGATCGTACCCGCGGGAGTCTTATCGCGTTTATTTCTCTACAGTTACAGACGAAGATAGTAAAGCAGACTAAGAGGGGAACGAAGCATAAAACAATGTACAAATGCACCATATGCTTGAAGACTTTCCAAAAACCGAGCCAACTGATGCGACACATCAGAGTGCATACGGGAGAAAAGCCTTTTAAGGTAAACGCTTTCTGGAAGGAATTTGTCGATGATGATACTTCGAACGGATAGTTTCAAACGTGCGCTTTTCTTTGTTGCAGTGCACCGTCTGCAACCGGGCGTTCACGCAAAAGAGTTCGCTGCAAATCCACGCATGGCAACACAAGGGCATTCGGCCGCACACCTGCAGCCTCTGTAACGCCAAGTTCAGTCAGAAAGGTTTGAGGAATTTATAATTAATTTTTATAATTAATATATATTAAATGACTTTGAATTATTATATTTTAAATTATTATTATTATTAAATTTATATATTACTTATATTTATATATTAAATGACTCTGAATTATTATAATTTAAATTATTAAAAAGTATTAGTTAAGCTTAGAGAAGCGCGAATATATTAATCTTTGCATTCATTTTTCCCAAAGCCTTCTAGAAGAAAAATTTCATTCTGTATTTTTGTATAATTATTTTTTCACGAGAAATTCTTTATTTTTCGGTCCTATCATTAGTTCAGAAAACATCTGTATAATTTGCCAAGAATTTTTAAGTCGAGTTGCGAGTTTCACTGTTTGACTTTTTTTAGGAAACCTAAAGGCGCATATACTCAGAGTGCACAATGCACCAGAAGGCGAACCCACGTACGCGTGTTCATATTGTTCTTGCATCTTTAAGAAGCTAGGCAGTCTAAATGGACACATAAAGCGAATGCACTCTGTTTCCTCGGAGGTAAGTAACGATACTCATTTGTTATGGAAAAACGATTCGGATTTGTTACAAACGTAAAAATCGTTTACTCGTTAGGAATCTGCCGCCAAATCCTTGGAAGCTAATTCTAGTATCTCGTCGGAAGCTGAGATGCGTGCGACCGTCGACAGCGTTATATCGCAACTGGCATCTTTGGAGTCCGCTGTGAATAATACTGTAAATTCCACAAAAACTACGACCTTAAGCGCGGAGCAGAATGATATCTTGCAGCAGGCATTAAAAAACAGCGGTTTGCCGAACAAAAACGAAGTTACTTCGAAAGGTAATTGTCTAACAATAATATTAAATATTCATCATTTATTAGTTAATAAATATTACATCTGTTCAGCGTTCAGTTAATTAAAATCAATTCTTAAATTTATTAAATCTATTAAATTCTTCTATTAAATTATTTTTATATCTAAGTCATTGTTTCTTGATAATTTTAACGATACGACATCTGCAAATGTAATTTTTTTTGTAAGTATTATCGCTTTGCATGATATAATGAATATCTAATATTTGCTCGCAGAAACCATAGAACCGAAGAAGACGGATTCGCCAACGTCGTATGTCACGCTATTGGACAGAACCGCTGGTGGTACTTCGAGGTAATATTTTTCATTCTGAGCGGGAAACGTAAAAATAAATAAATGGGAACGTAAAGTAGTAACGAAAAATAGAACAATTTAAAAATATGTAAAAATATGTGTGACTATCAATCAATATAAACGAAATTTTATATGGTTTGCATAATAAGCAATTATTTACGTTCACAGGAAGTATCTCACTATAAAACAACGCTGCGTAGGAAACGTACGGTGGTATGCATGCTCGTTTTGCCCGAAAGAATTCAAAAAGCCGTCTGATTTGATACGTCATTTGCGCGTACATACCCAAGAGAAACCCTTCAAGGTAATTCAAATTTTATTTTGTTCGAAAATAGTAGGTCACGATGTGTCATACTAAGTTCACTCTGCATTTTTCAGTGTATGTATTGCGTGCGTTCTTTCGCGCTAAAATCGACAATGATAGCGCATGAGCGGACTCATACCGGAGTGAAGAAATACGCCTGCGATTCCTGCGACAAAACCTTTGCGTGCCACAGCAGTCTTACCGCTCATACGAGGCAAGTTTTAATATATTCTTTTATGTCATTTAATTCATCGTTTAATTTATATTTTGTGCATATTTTAGCCTTACTTTATTTCTTTTATGAATATTTGCATATTTTTACCTCTAAGTTGTTCTCAGTTCTGTATCTCTAAACGTTTATTTTAAACTTTGTATGTTCTAAACTTTTGATCCTTTATTATTTATTATTTTGATTAATTATTTGATTTATTTTGATTATTGCCCTTTCGAGTTTTTTTTTGTACAAGGCATAACAAGACGGTATCTAAATGTTCGTTAATAGAAACTTATTCCTCATTTCAGATTACACACAAAACCGCACAAGTGCAACATATGCGACAAGTCATTTAGTGCGAGCACCATCCTGAAAAATCATATGAAGAGCCACACCCGGGAGAAGCCCAAGATATCGCCCGAGGCGGAGAGCCTGGTGCCGCAGGTGGTGCTGCAAGAGCCGCTCGTCATCAGCGACGCCGGTAATAAAATCAGCGTGGCGCAGGTGCAGTCGAAGCAGAAACAATTGTACGAGAGCGTCGGCGTGGCCAGGCCGCACAAGTGTTGGGTCTGTCACGCGGCGTTCCGGAAAATCAGCCACTTGAAGCAACATTATCGTAGGCACACGGGCGAGCGTCCTTACAAGTGCTCCAAGTGCGACAGGTTCGAGATTTGACATCTGATATCTCTGTAAATCTTAGTATTAAATTGATTCAGATTTTAAAGACAGATTAAAAAGTCTCTTCAGCAGAAGAACCATATAGGGAACAAAAATGAGAATAGATCTTTTGAACAATATAAGAATAACAATACCAGATCAAATTAAACGAACGAAAATTAGAGCACAAATTAAAATAATATTTATAAGAATTAATTACATTAATCTTAGAGATCTTGATAAAACAAAATCTTATGATCTGGTTTGTTATTTTTATTGCTTGCAAAAATACGAGCTGTCCCATTTATTATTTTGAACAATCTATAAATTATAATTAGCTATTTAACTTCGCAACTATTCAACCTTTGATGTACTTTGCATTACGTCTCAATTAGAAAGCTTACGTTTCTCAATTTTCAGGAGATTTACATCGAACAGTGTCCTGAAATCCCATCTGCACACGCACGACGACGCGAGACCGTACAGTTGTTCGGTATGCGACACGAAATTCTCCACGCAGAGCAGCATGAAGAGGCACTTGGTCACGCATAGCAATAAAAGGCCGTACATGTGTCCGTACTGCCACAAGACGTTTAAGACGTACGTCAATTGCCGAAAGCACATGAAAAGACACAAGCACGAGCTGGCGCAGCGGGTTGGTATATTTAAACGTAAAAGCTGTTGTGAAAGTATTAAAAGGTACTAAAATCTCTCTCGTACGCGCAGCAATTGGATGAACAAAAGACGCAAGTGCAGAAGGATCAACAGCCCTTGAGCGAGAATAAAGAAGCTACCTCGACGTTACCGGAGAGCATCGCTCTCGCCGAAGATATGGAGGTGTCGTTCCAACCGCAAATGGCGCCGGATTTCACGCAGGCTTTCTCCGACCAGTTTCAAAATATCAGTGCGGAAAAAGAAAAGTCCTTTTTACTGCCGGACAACGCAACGTCGATAGTGAATCGTATGTGTTCTCCAAAAATTATATGCAAAATTTGACTAGAAATTAAGATCAATGAAGCATGTAGAATCGACGAGAGTTAAAGCTGGATCTTATATATATTTATATATTCATGATGATGATTTCAGAAAATTTATCTGTCGACGCAACTAACTTAGGAACGTCGCAAACTCTACACGCCGATGAAACCGGTACTATCACGCTACCTCATTACTCAGGAGATCAAACTCTCACGCCGGTAAGTAATCTTTAATATTCATAAGAGGTGCATAAACGCGTTGTAAAACGAAGAGAGACGAGTGAGACGTTTGGAAAATCTTGCAGGAAAGCATACGAGAGATCGAGGAGACTCTGAATCAGCAGCTGTTTAACATCGGCATGAATCTCGGGCTGGGAGCGAACGGTCTGCCGAGGCAGATGGACGAGGCGAACGCGAGTTCTCTCGACACATCCAGGGAACAACCGATGCTCAATATTATATATGAGCATAACAAGACTCTGGACTCGTCAGGCAATACCATATTCATGTCTCAATTCGATTCATTCGATATGAATCAAATTACGTTACAGGTAAATGCATTTTCTATGCAAAAGCGTGTATTTTTTAAATAAAAATTATTAACATTTTATAAGCATGAAATGATTAACCTTTTAACGGCGGGAGTGGTCGATATATCGACCTCCTAGGGGACACATAATTTTTGATGTTTTTTTCAGGGAAAATTTTATGCGTTGAATATGGAAAAAATAGTGTAAAAATTCCTGGAAGCATCCTTGACCTTGAAAATCGCTATTTCTTTTATTTAAAAGAAAAATTTAACCTTGAAATGGCGATTTTCAAGGTCAAGGATGCCACCAGGATTTTTTTCACTATTTTTTCCGTATTCAGCGCATCAAATTACGTAGGAAAATACTCTCAAACCTTCGCGCTAAATTTTTACATTGGATTTTATCTTTGCGGGCGGGGTTGGTCGATATTTCGACCAGCAGTCAGGTGGGGGACTCAATATAAGAAATTCATTGAATTTATTTATAAATTTCACGTCTAATAAGAAGTCGATTTTAACTCATATTTCCCCGCCCTTAAAAGGTTAATTTATTAATAATTTTTAATTAATTTTAATTAATCATTTTTAAATTAATTAATTTTCCAGGCGGATAACGATATAGACATCGGTTTAAATCCGAGCAACTCCACGAGTATATCCAGTATCTTGCCCAGATCCGTGGGAAGCAACCAGCAAGATGAGCAACGAGCTGCTCCAGCAACCACCGCCAGCAATATAGACGCTTCTCAGATCACGAGAAACACTCATCTGGTGGTGATAAGTCCTAAGGAGAATTGTTCGGAATTGGTGAAGCTCTCGCAGGTATGTCCGCCGAAGTACTCGAAAGTCATCGCGAAGGCGGATACCACAAACGGATCGGAGATGCAAGGCGTGAATGAACATGAGAAGACACCGCAGAAAAGTAACGCTGCGTCGTACGAAAACGAAAGAAATCCCTTGTTCATGTGAGTTATTTTAATTTACGTACGTGAAATCGTTTTACTGTCGAATACAGATGAAAGATACGCGATGCTTGCAGGAAGAACTTTCAAAGTGCAATGCAGCCGGAGACGCTTGTTTCTTCTGGCGTGACGGACGACCCGGCCGAAATATCGGAGTGTAGCACTCTGCTGCAGTGCCACATGTGCGGCGATCAAGGTTTCACGACAGAGAGATTGAAGGTATGACGTACGCATAAACATTTCCTAGATATCTGTACATTGCAACGTAAAGCTGCTTTCTAAATCACGCAGTGAAATAAATACAATTTTCACAGGAACATCTGAAGTCCCATCGCGGTGCCAAAGAGTACGAGTGCTCGGAGTGTTCCCAGCGATTCTGCACGAACGGCGGTCTCAGCAGGCACATGAAGATGCACACGAACAAGCAGTAAGCTCTTGAATTGATTGACCGAGCAACGAGAGACTTGTCTCTCGAATACGTTAACAATAGAAAAATTTATGAATTTTTTTCCTTACTTTTTCGCACAGGCGATGGAAATGCACGACCTGCCAGAAGATACTGGGCAGCAAACTGCAATTGAAGCATCACAACAAAATGCACACCGAGGCTTGGAATGTTTCGTCCATGGAGCCGGACAGCTCCCAGAAGGATCTCATCTCCTCCGGTCTACCGACGATAACGACGCTGAACGTCCGAGTAGATCCGAACTCGTCAGTTTCCGAGAAGGTTTTGATGGCCACGGTCGCCGAGAAGAGCATAGACTGCGCTGACGTAAGTACATGCAAATATTGGCACTATTTCGCTAAGTCTCGCATTGGGCCAAGTGGTTCATCGTTGTAATATAATTTAATTATTTATTTACACAAAGATATTAATTCAATATTTACATTTAAATTTTCCTCTAAATTAATTTAATTTAAATCCTATCAACCCCTAACTTTATCCCCCCTCCCCCTTTTAATTTTAATAATCTTACTAATTTCTCCTCTTATCATTTATTATTATTTAAGATTTTATGTTAATAAAAACTTTAAATCTTCAAAGATTAATGTATGTTGTTTAGGAGAATGTGAAGAAAGAGCCAAGGGAATACACTAATAAATGTAAGTACTGTCCGAAAACGTTCCGTAAACCAAGCGACCTCATCAGGCACATTCGCACGCACACGGGCGAACGACCGTACAAGTGCGAGCACTGCAGCAAGAGCTTCGCGGTCAAGTGCACTTTGGACTCGCATATGAAGGTCCACACGGGCAAGAAGACGTTCTGCTGCCACGTCTGCAGCAGCATGTTCGCTACGAAGGGCAGTTTAAAGGTCCACATGCGATTGCATACGGGTGAGAGTCATTCCTTGAATTATTTTATGTGTCATTGATTTTTATGTTTTTTTTATTTCCAGCGAAAATAATTGTAATTAAATATAAGAATCTTGCTATTTAAATATTTCAATTTTTTAAACATTGAAGAATGTAAAACGTGAGAATTTTATCTGGAAGAAAAGTGATATGGCAACCACACGTCTTAAAATCTTCCAGGCTCGAAACCGTTCAAGTGTCCCGTGTGCGATCTCCGATTCCGCACGTCGGGTCACAAGAAGGTACACATGCTGAAGCACGCGAGGGAGCACAAGGGCGGCGCGAAGCGCAAGCCGAAGCACTCGAAGATCGCCGCGGTGGCGGAAGCGGCGGCCAGCCTCGAGAAGATCGTTTCTCTGGATAATATGTCGATGACCACGACGACGACGGCGACCGCTGCCGTGATCAACGACGAAGCCGCGCCATCGCAGCCTCTGGATTATCCCGCGTTGGAGCAGACGGTGAATCTCGATACCGCGGTGCACCTGCCGAATCAAATCGCGTTCAACCACGCCGACGCGACGTCGACGATTCTCAACAACAATTCCATCCTGTCCGTGAACGAGAACAACGAGCTGGTGGCGAATCTGCAGTTCTTGCTGGCGAACGGCCTCGTCACCATTCAAACGGACGACACTCTGCTGACGCCGCAGCCGGCGGCGAACGACGCCGCCGGAGTGCCGACCAACGTGATCGAGTTGGTCAATCCGGATCCCTTCCAGGAGGCCTGCAACCTGGGTAACGCCAGTCACGTGGTGATAACCAGCCAGGTGCCGACGGAGACGACGACCGCGGAGACGAGCAGCGCGACGGTCATTCAGATGAACGACTGCATGCCTCCTGTGTCCATGATACAGATGCAGACTCCGAGTACAAACGGCGCCGGTGTGTCCGAAGCGAGAACCAGCGATCAAATGACGATGACGACGACGACGACAGCGGTGGCGAGGGCCGCGGCGCAGCCCTCCAAGAAGGAGTGCGACGTGTGCGGCAAAACGTTCATGAAACCGTACCAGCTGGAGCGGCACAGGCGCATTCACACGGGCGAGCGGCCGTACAAGTGCGAGCAGTGCGGCAAGTCGTTCGCGCAGAGGTTCACGCTGCATCTGCACCAGAAGCACCACACCGGCGACCGGCCGTACGCCTGCCCGCATTGCAAGCACATGTTCACGCAGAAGTGCAATCTGCAGACGCATCTCAGACGCGTCCACCAGCTGGTCATGCTCGACGTCAAGAAGCTGAAGAGCGGCCAGCAGATGCTGGGGGCGCTTCTGCAGGACAATCAGGACGGCGACACCAAGCTGCTGAACCTGGACGACATACTGGTGGTAGATTTTCTCAAGTGAATGTCCTCCAGGGGGGAAAAAAAAGTCCCTCCGAGAAGAGATCGACCCTGTGATCCGCGAGCAAATCGCTTTGTAGGTGTGTAACATAATATGTACTAATTAAAAATGTGCCGCAAATGTGTTTATCGATAATTAAAAGACTGCGCTTTCAAGTGGCCGAAACAGATGTGGAAAGAAGGATTTCTAACGTTTAAGCAAATGATTAAAGCTGTGATGTATGTTTTGCGTATATCGTTGACGATGTAACAATATGTTTTGCTCGAGACATTTATTTAATACCGTTCTAGCTGACTATTCAGTTCATTATTGTTGCATTTTTTTTTTATCGCCGATACACACATCCGTAAAATTGCATGAAGATTTTATTTTTAGCATCGACACACAACCGACATTAATTTTTATTTTACCTTCTTTCATTTAAAATAAAAACGCACTGTTACACACACACACACACACACACGCACACACGCACTGTTTAACTTAATATAGATAAGTATACAAAACTTCACGATGCAGAGCAACAATTGGAACAACAACAAAAATAAGGGGAGCTCAGTGCTGGAAGTCGCAATCGATCTCGAGAGCGGGACACCCGTCGGGATGGTTCTTGTGAAACCAGCAAGGTTTCACCTTCCTCAAAGGTGTACCAGCGTTCCTCCTCCTCTTCCTCTTCCTGTCGACGGTGCCGGGTATCCTGAATTGCACTTTTCCCTGAGCGACGCAGAAGATATGGCTGTGATTCTTCAGTAGGGTCTGCAGCCCGCCGCACTCGTTTCGCAGCTGCTGCAGCGTCCCGGGCGCGATCAGCTTCGCCACGTCGCCGATGCCGATCTGTCCGCCGGCGTTCCACGTTTCACCGGGTCTCCGCTCCAACGGTATTCTGCGACCGGCGCGGAGGAGATGCGCCACGACCACGTTGACTATCTCGAGGATCAGCTGTTTGTCCAACTGCGTGCAGTTCCGCGCCCGTTCCGTCGAGTCCCTCGGTTTGAAGCTCGCGGACCACGGGTCGCCGTTCTCCGCCGCCCCGCTCTTCGCACCCTCCACCTGGGACCTCGCGTTTATGATCCTCTGGATATCGGCGTCCAGCGCCGCGGCGTTCTCCCTCGCGTAAGTCCGCTTCCAGCCGACGAAACAGGTCCGCTTGGTCGACGGGATTCGCAGTCTGTCCGCTAACGTGAGGAAGCCGCAGCCCTCGCACACGCTCCTAACGTACGCCATGTACTCCGAGTACTGGCTCTCGGCGGCGTTGCGCCGCCGGTACTTGCTGCCGTCGAATTCGTAGGCGCAGCACGGCAGCAGGAAGAACCGGCACTCGTAGGAGCTGCGCGCGGCGATCACGGGAATCCACGGGGTCAGCTCGTCCGAGTGATTCCCTATGATCCAGTCCACGTCGGGGAAGAGTGTGTCCGAGGATGGAACGATTGTGCCGACCTGCAAATACATGTGATTCTATCGAAATAAATTGAAGTTATATTTTAAAATAAATATTAAATTATAAACGAATTGTAAATGAAAATGTTATAGCATCGTTAAATGTTGTGTCAGTTTATAAATTTGTTGATTGTCAATTTCTAATATTGAACGATAAAAAGATTATCCACAAAATTATAATAAATTGTTAACGAAGGAGCAACACGGACTTTGATCATGGACTGACGTGATATCCGAATTGAATTTATTCAAGTAAGTACAGTAGATTGTGGCGAATTCTTCACGCACCTGTAAACGAGTGCTCTCCGGAAACAGGTCCCAGATCTTCCGCTTGCGCAAATCGATTCCCGTCCCCCTGTGGCCCTCGCTAGACAGGATGTAGACGAGAAGGCCGTTTCCGCAGCCGAGATCGACGAACGACTGCAGCTCCCGCGTCCCCCTTTCCAGCCTCTCCTTCTCCCAGAGCAGTAGCAAGTAAGTCGCGATCGCGACGTCCTCGTAGACGAACTTCGCCGGGTCCGTGTTCTCCGGCCAGGCGTTCACCATTCCCGTGCCGTACTTCTCCTTCAGCCGATTGTACAGCAGGGTGTACTTCTCGACGGGGACGAGACCGAGGGAGCGGATCCTCGGACCGTCGCCGTCGTCCTCGCTGCCCATCCATCGCGTCAGCCGCGGAAAGAGCTTGGACTTGAGCCAGTCGCGGCTCCGGTCCTGATTCTCGTCGTCCGACCTGCGTACCTCTATGCACGTGGACACGCGCTCGCGATGCCGTATCCTGTAGGCCGTGCACGGGCCCAGGGACTGCTTCCCCGGGACGATCGGTTTGTGGAGGCTGGTAACGCCGACCGAGCCTTTGTCGATGAACACGAGCTCCAGCGTGGGCGAGAATATCTGCGTGTTGCGAGGCAGCAGCTTCCTCACGCGCAGACAAGCCTCGCCGTCCGCCGCCGCCGCCTCGATCGGATCTGCACGTCGAGCTGACCGGCAGTACTCCGCGATACCCAAGACGTCTAATAAATATTTCATATCTCCCGAGGACGAGTCGCATTCCAGATCACCAGGCTGGATCCGCAGCTGCCCGACGCGTTCGAGGATATCCGGAACGTCGCGGCTGACGACTTCGGCCGTCAGCAGCTCTCGGGACGCCAGGATGCGACGGTTGACGACGTGAGGGTTCCTCAGCCAGATCCCGATGGCCTTCCAGAACTGTGAGTCACTGCTGTCGGTGTTCCCACTGACAACCTCCTCGAAATTCATCCTTTTCTATCTACGATATACTAATCTGGCCACGCGTGCTTCACGTAGGTTAAAATACGACTTGTGTGTCAATATTTATCATTTGGACGTTGGAGTACTGCCCGGCTGATTGTACTGCGGAGTGTAAAGAACAGGGCACGGATTACATGACTGATTCGATCGAAAAATTTGATACATCAAGTCGACGGGGCGAGGAATACCTTTTGTATCACCCACTTGGCGTCCAGCAGCGCCCGCTCCATGATCTGCTGCACGCGTTCCTCGTCGGACTCCGAGACGTGCTGCCTGAAGCTCTGGGAACAACGAGTAGGTCACGGATAACAAAGGCTTATCTGATTGATTTGTCGCAACGAGAGAGATGCTTTTCTCGCGAAAGTTATAACCGCTACGAGAGATTCAGTAGTTCAATATTTCCAGCTCTCTCTCTGATTACAACGTTGAGCAGGTTATCCTTATCGGAAAGTCATTTTGTACCTACTTGCTTGATCGAGTGCTTGTAAAATTGCTGCGTGTGCTTCGGCAGTTTTTCGCATTCGCGCAACAGATATTTGTACAGCTGTTTAGGCTTGTTCACCGTCGCGCTGCCGAACATTCGGCTCGCCATCGTTTTGCGGGAGATCACGTCACGAAGCGCACGTGGAGCCGCGCGAGTTCCTTTCCCTCCCTTATTGCTATTTTCTATGTATGTACGTATGTACATACGTACATACATAGTATAGTACTGTGTATTGATAGCAATTCTCGTAGAATATACCCGCTATTGATAAAATAGAAAGCACAGATCACATCTCGTTAGGCTGTTCAAAAGCAGATTTGACAATACTTATATGACAAATTATGATTTTGTGCTGTCAACTACAAGATTGCGGTATTAATTTAAAAAAAACTAATCGGTGAAGATATTAGTCACACAAAAATGAAAATTTTTTAGTTAGACAAATTATGATTTTGTGCTGTCAACTACAAGATTGCGGTATTAATTTAAAAAAAAAACTAATCGGTGAAGATATTAAAGTCACACAAAAATAAAAATTTTTTAGTTAGACAAATTATGATTTTGTACTGTCTTTTGTCAACCACAAGATTGCGGTATTAATTAAAAAAAAACAACTAATCGGTGAAGATACTAAAATCACACAAAAATTGAAAATTTTCAAGATACAGAAAAATTAAAGAGGCGATTAAGCTTAGAGAAATGTTATCTCTAATCTTTCGCATGACACACATTCCGCGAAGAAGAATGATTGGCATAATTTTTTTCAACGTCTTATCTTATAACAGCGACGCAATTACTTAGCAGTTCCTGCCTTTCCTCTGTGACGGTTCAACGATATTACACTTAATTGGGCCAATCACGATCTTCCCCGACAGACTGCGATCATAAAAGCACGACAAAAGAAAAAAAAAACACAAAAGCCACACTCGTCGTTCGATGAATAAATACTTATATACAATTTATTTTTGATGATGTCATGTGATGATGGAGATGAAGTGTTACAGCAGATTACAAGTCTACGACTACTGCGCAGAGTCTGCGAAATCCTTTTCTGCAGTCTTAAATTCATATGCAATTCCGTAATGCAATAACACACAGTAGAGAATTACCGGTAGAAAGTTTCAAGTAAGATCACAGCAAATCTTGATCCTAGCGATCCCGAGTACGTACGTCCGTCATGCTCGCCGAATATACCTCGCGCGTCGTGCTCGCTAATTTACCTCCTCGCTAATTTATCGTATTTGATATTCCTCATATATCGGTTGATATCGCTCGTATAAACGCTACTACATCACATACGCTTATATAATTATATATATATATATAAAAAGAAAAACGTATTTTACGAAATATCATTGTTCCGTCACTAGAAACGGGGGTTCGCTTATACGCTATATAAATTCTATGTGTGTGATGTCACGATCATATCGTCGATCTGCAAAAAGTGTTCGATTAAAGCTACCGTTACTCTACCTAAAATACCGATATATCAAAGATGTTAAAAAATAAATATATATATTTGTATATATACGAGAGGTCGCAACGAGTAAAAAATATACAATTGTTATACGCTATGGTGGTCGCGTAAAAAAAGGGGCCACCTAATATCCTTGACGGTGGGATAGGAGGAGGAAGAGGAGGAGGGCTGGGGGAGGAGGGAGGAAAGAGAGAGAGAGAGAATGGGCAAGAATTTTCTATCGCGACGATTGAAGCAAGGATATTACGTACACGAAAAATCACAACCAGCGAGTAGCCAATTATGCCTAGTAACAAAAATAATGATTAATACGATTAATATTACAATAAATTATGCCGTGCGCGGCTTTCAGGAATTTTACGAGGGCGGCACTCGCCCGCTTCCGTCTGTCAGAAATCGTTAATTCGACTAATGTTTTGCTCCCGACGAAGTCACTCGTGTCGTTCGTAAACTGTACCGCAATACTGTGTATCGTCGAGCAACCCTTAAATCGCGGATCGTTCATTTGCGCGAGTCGTTAGGCGTCGTTGCTTCCACTGGCACGGTACGACTTCACTAAGCTAATATCGTATATTGGCATTTTGTTCTGGCAGTTTGTTAGTTTTGGTGAGAACGCGTGAAAAACGTACGTGTAAAAATTTTTAAGTGCATACAAAAATTTGTCGTGTTAGACGAATGATGCAAATGGAAATGAATGAAACGCATTGAAGCGTCGGCGTGTAACAGGGTTGCTCTCGACTCTCGCTCGCGCGAGTATCTATTAATAGTCGCGTCCTGTCTAAAATCTAAATAACAAAGTACGAGCTGCTCTATTTTTACGACGAGATAATCCACGATCAACGCTAGCTAACCGCGTATGGTATGCCATACTTGGGAGAGGGGGGGGGGACGACATGATGATGCTCTGACAGGAAAGGAGGGCGACCGCCCATGATCACAGAGGGATTTCTAAAGAAGTATAGAACCTATCACTTAAAAGTAAAATTGTTTAGGTCTCGCTCGGAGTCGGCCGTTCCCAGCAGCACAACCATCTACGCCACAACGGGGGCGGCTTCCTACGCCGGTACAGCAAATTGGCGCCTCCGCGCCGGGTATTGAGGGCACTGACTATCGCCTGATCGAAGGCCTCCTTGAGGTCGTGTTGCGTCAACGCAGACGTCTCCACATAATTGACGGCGCCTAGCCTGTGCGCCAATTGATGGCCCTGAATAGTGGTGATCGCCGACTGACCGTATCTCGCCAGTTGCAGCATCAAACATACGTCCGATCTTAAGTCACTTTTCGTCCCCACCTAGAAAATTGTAAACATAACTGAATATAACGTGACATATTTATACACATCGAGCGCGAGCGTGGCGTAACGGACGGCGCACTGGTCTGTTGTGCCAAAGGTCTCGGGGTTCGATTCCCCGCGGTAGAAACAACAAATTTTTCATACACAGCTCGCGTCTCTTCTCCGGAGGTCTGACAAACCACGAGAGAAAATATCCTTTACCGCTCTCAAAAAAACTGATTTTCGGAATTGGTTTTAAACTGTAGGTCCCATATGCCTGTGTATACGTGCGCACCACATATGGGACCTACAATTTAAAATCAATTTTTTTAAAGCAGTTTTTTTGAGATGTACGCATATGAGGCATATGAAGAGAGTGATAGGCCAAAGCTCAACTTGGGAGCTGCAGCGTCATTGATAATAATAATTATACATATTATTAATACCTATAATTAAAATATGTGAATATAAATAATATATACTATATTTCTTTATGGTACATATTATATTATAATACCACAATTAATATACCATAATTGTATTATTATTATTATAAACTGTAGCTGATCGTTACAGTTTATGATGATAATAATACAATTATGGTATTATATTGATTGTGATATTATAAGATATACCATAATTGGAATCTTATTGTGATGTCGATAATTATATTATAATAAATTATATAGAAATATATTTTATTAAAAAATTAGAACTGGACAAAGATCGTACCAAAATGATTGGAGCGTTGGGACAGTATTTCCGCACTTCATTGATCCATCTGGAAGCCACGCTGTGATAAGACGAGGGGCATACGACGCTGAAGCAAACTAGGAACACATCTGTCTCAGGGTAGCACAACGATCTCAGAGGGTCAAAGTCGTCCTGGCCTGCTGTATCACATAGCTGCACATTCAGCGGTTGTCCATCGACGTTTACGACCACTAGACAGATATTACAAAAATATTAGTATTGTTGGCTCGATCTAAAATTAATGCTTCCTTATCCACTTGCTTAGAATAAAATGTCAAGTGGTGTAAAATAACGAAACCACAATTAAAAGATCAATTAGGACGGGAAGCAAATATCTTTACTACGTGCATCACTCTTTCAAAATTATATTTTATACAATTGAAAGGTCAATTAGGGAAGCAAATATCTTGCAACGTTTACCATGTACATCACTCTTTCAAAATTATATTTTACACAAGATGCCTATGTTGCTTCGAGATATCTACAAAGTGCAATCACGAATCACAATCCTGAAGGCTGGCAGCTGCGTCATTAGCGGACACATGGGCAAAACTATACACACCGTTGTAATTGTCGAATGCGGTTGGCACGTATTCCCCGGGGAAGCCGTTGGTGGAGTACGAGACCACCAGGCTGGTCTTGCCGACCGCGCCGTCGCCCACCAGGACCACCTTGATCCGCTTGTCAAGCGGAGTCGCCGGATGCTCCGTCAAGTTTTGATTCTGCGCTCCGGCGCCGATAGCCAACGAGGACGTCGTCGTCGCCGCCGTCGCCATCGTCACCGTCGTCGGTGTCGGCTGCTGCTGCTGCTGCCTGGCAGCCTGCATCTGCATGGTCTGTCCGCCCTTGAGCAACGGCCTCGTCCAGTTGGTGTGCGAGGACGGCGGCATTGTCTCGCTCTTGATCTTACCGCAGCCCCGACCTTTCATGCGTCCGAATTCGAGAGCGCGCGCCGTCGACGCGGATATACGCGACGGGATACCTCGTCCTCGACGTAAAATACCTCCGTCTCCTCGCGGCACCTCGAGGACGTGGACGACGGTCTCCTCACCTCAGGGCGCCGCTCGGCCGCAACGTCGCGTCGTCGCGCACGTCATTCCTCCGCACGGGGGGATATACGCGGCGTTCGTCGGGCTGGCGAACGGGCTGCTGCTGATCCGAGGAGTCCGGGATCACCTGATGGTCGATCGGTCACCCTGGTGCGAATCTTCCGCGGGGCCGAGGCAGACGCGAGCGGGTGCGCGGGACCGAGATAAAGTGCGAAAACAATGGTAGGGACGATGGGAACGCGGAGCGAGCGAGCGAGCGAGCGGGGGAACCCGTGGTCGCGCGAGGCGCACAAAAAAAGCCAGTCCGAGCGAGCGCTGGTCCGACGATTCACCTGCCGCGATGCGGAGCCACCTGTTACCGCGCCCCCGCCTCCTGGTGTGCGCTCGCCGGTGTCGGCCGTCCGTCCCGTGTGCGGACGCACGCAGACACGCACGACCCGCCGCCCGCTGGACGCCGCGCGCGCGCACGCGGCGCAGGTGGAACGACGTAACGGCGCGCGTCGCGCCGCGCCGCGCCGCGTCCTTCAACTGCCGTGACTCCACTGACTGCCGTCAATCTCGACCCTTTTTTTATGTCTATTTCTATACCAATGTAGATTAATTTTAATCTTGGTTTAATTCACTGTTTATTTATTTCTAATTTTTAGAACTGGAAAAAGATATAAAATAAGTTAAACCGAGAATTAAAGTTAATCTATATTGGTAGAAATGAAGTAAATGGTAGAATTAGATATTTCTACCAACGTAGATTAACTTTAATCCAGGTTTAACTTACTTTGTATTTTTTTCTACTTTTAAGAATTAGAAAAAGATAAAAAGTAAGTAAAACCATGTATAAAGTTATAATCTACATTAATAGAAATGGACATTAGGAGTTTTAGGACACGCATGCGTCGTGTTCGTTATTTAACGCTATATACGCATATGTTAAGCGTGACAATTAATTAATCTGCTTGCGCGCAATCAAAAGAAATGTATGCGAAGCTGGTCGGAATTAGCGCGATCCGCGATGGCAATTAATATAATTTGAAGGTCGCATTATTTTATTGGTGCAGTTTTCGGCGAGGTTGCAAAATTTTCCGCGGCGATTTCTTCGTTCGAGATACCTGCAGGAGATATTTTTCCGGCTAAGCCGGCGCCACAAAATTCCAAAGATTCGATGTTATTCGTTATTATCAATTACATATCTGCCTATATTAGTTTTATTCAGTGAAATATTGTGAACTTTAAAGTTCAACCGCGGATCTGAAAGATCGTGCGGCATCACTTCAAAACTGCGCGCGCATTTATTTAAACTGGGGGAGCCGGCTTTACGGAGCCGGGCTGGCACCTTTGTGCCCGCCGCAGCGACGCTTGCATCATACGACTTATGGGTTAAATAGCGAGTCAACTGGGCCGCAGAGAGAAAGGATGATTAGGAATAGTGCGTCGAGACTGGCTCTCCTTGACAGGCACGTATCTCTAACGCACGATTGCGCGGGTCCGCGTCTCTAACCCGCGATCTTGCCTCCGAACATAACCTGTCAACCTTCTTCCAGAGGATGCCAATGTTGCTGCTCCACGCCGAGATGCCCGACGTGGCTGGCCAAGCGACCCGTCACGAGCGTCGCCGCGAGATTCGTCAAAAACACCGGCCGGAGATGGCGATTCATCGTCCCAACCGGGGTCGGCCTGTCGCTGCTCGCGGTGACGCAGTGGAACTACCTGCACGAGCACGGATACCGGATCGACGTCGACGACAGTCCGGAATTGCTGAACGACGTTGTGGTAATGGATATAGCCGTCCCCCCTCTCCCCCGTCGAATCGTCACGTCGTCCAGATGTGACAAAAGTTAACGAAATGTAAAGTCCTCTCGCCGTAGGCGACGTGCTACTGCTGCCTGCCGTTGAGGACGACCAGCAGAATATGGGGCTGGCTGACGAGCATCGACCTGCCGGTCGGCCTCAGACCGACGCTCTATGGATTTTACGCCAACATCTTTCACGCCAATCTGGACGAGGTGGAGCTGGATCTGTCCGCGTTTCCGAATCTGGTGGAGTTTTTTGTGAGGAAGCTCAAGCAGAATGCCAGACCGATTGCTCAGAATGCGATGGTAAGCATTTATCACAGGCGTTGATCGTAAAGCGACGTCAAAAATACAAAGATGTAAGAAAATTGACCAATTGTTAGTCGATTATTAAATTAATTAAATTTAATTTAAGCGGCTCATCTGCAATGAGACTTAAGATTTAATATTTAAGAAAATTGATCAATCACACAATCGGATTATTCATCTCACGTGAGAAGAATAATCGATTGTGTGATTGATTAATTTTCTTAAATCTTAAATCTCTAGTCTTATTGTAGAATTGATCAATCACAATTATTCTTCTCACATGAGATGAATAATCCGATTGTGTGATTGATCAATTTTCTTAAATATTAAATCTTAAGTCTCATTGTAGATGAGTCGCTTAAATTAAATTTAATTAATAAAAACTTAATAAAAAATTAATGCATCTGCAAATTCCTCCTCAGACCTCACCTGCGGACGGTAAGGTGCTTTATTTCGGACCGGTGACCTCCTGCCGCGTGGAGCAAGTGAAAGGAGCGACGTACGACCTCAGGCAGTTTCTGGGCGACCCGAACGGTTTTACGTTGAGTCAAATCGCGAAAGAGACAACGATGCAGAAGAACGATTACGTTGATTCACTCCTGAAGAATCCTGACGACAACAGATTGTACCAGCTGACCGTTTACTTGGCGCCTGGTGATTACCATCGGTTTCACAGTCCTGCCGATTGGAACATAAAGTTCCGACGGCACTTCCCAGGTGTGCCTCGCCTCTTTAAAGTCACAGCCCCGCATAGTGAAGTCTCTCTTTCAATTTTTCTAAGGCAACCCCCGTTTTTTCCTTTTCTCAGGAAAGCTACTCAGCGTGAATCCGAAGGTGCTCAAGTACATGCCCAACTTGTTCTCGCTGAACGAGCGCGTTGTGTACGTCGGCGAATGGACGGGCGGCTTCATGGCTTACGCGGCGGTCGGGGCGACGAACGTGGGCTCCATACGCGTCTACTGCGACAAGGGGTTGGCGACGAATACGCGCCACTGGCCGGCAACCGTGCACTGGCAGGAAGCTAACTTTGATTGCGCGCGTGTCGCCAAGGGCGAGCCGTTCGGCGAGTTCCGACTCGGGTCCACGATCGTGCTTCTGTTCGAGGCGCCGCGGGACTTCCGGTTCTGCCTGCAGATCGGCCAGGCCATTAAGGTCGGTCAGGCGCTGAGCGCGTTTTCCAGCGACGAGCGTGACAAGAAGCGGGACAACGAGCGACAGCACCGGATCGTGAACGTCGCGCAGGATTGGAGAGATATATGGCAGCCTAGAGTACGGAGCGAAACGAACGAGTAGAAGCTGATTCTAACCAAGGAGAATTGAAGAGACGTATCGGCATCTCGCGCGCTCGCGTCTCTTCGAAGTCGAATTGTAGGCGCGATAAAGTGAACACTAGAGTCACGAGGGCTCTAGAGACTCAGTTTTCTCGAGTGAGTATCGATCCTGTGATTATCTCTGTCTACTTGTACGTAGTCATGTTCGTGCGTGAGAAAATCATCTCTCACGCGGGCTATATGAAATTACATGTAAATAACATCTCCCGCTAATTACCCTCGTTTGTTACTTTAATTGCGTGAGTGCCAAGCATCACGTCGCAAGCATCATGATTTATAAGATAGATTTGACACAGTTGATTTATTGTTAGGACCGGATTATTATGTTGGAGTGTAGACATGTGCAGCACGTCTCTCCTGAAGCTTCACACGATCACAAGTGAGGCACCGAGACGCAAGAAAACACACTTTTCTTTCCTAGGTGCGTCACCACCGATAGAGGTCGGATCGTAAACTGTTTTAGTTGCATGCCAAATCGATCTTTGTTTGCAGTTGAGTCGGCCGGTCAAGGCCGGCTAGGTGAAACACTTTCCTCAATTAAGGCTCTAACTCCCCCCCTTTTTTTTTTAAACCAGAAAGCAACAGCCACGTGGTATATCTCAAGTCTCCGTGCGTACGAAGGAGTGTCGGGGTCTTGCTGACCCCGTTTATATTTTTATGGCAACAGTATTTTTACCGATCCTCTTTATCGTTAATATTAATGTCGCTTCTGGAAAACTCGTATTAAATCGGGAATATCTTTTGCCCCGGACCTGTCCAGCGCGTGCGAATATGACTTCGCACTTTAGAAGAATTAATTATAATGTGAATACTTGATCGCGCATTTTATGATATATCTATTTTATGATATGCAACTCGTAAAATAAAAGAGACCAATTATAAAAAGTAATCGTAATTTTTATAATATAATTACTTTATCCAGACGAATTTACTAACACAATTGCCGTTTATTTTGCGCATTTCATTATTTTTATTAAATAAATTTTTGATATTGAGACAACAATACTTTAATATATACTATCTTGTTTAATATATTCCGTTTAATAATTTTTTTTCTAGACTCTAGAAAGTCGTGAAAGCCTTTCCTTGTCCTGCCTAATTGTACCTACGCCACGTGAGCAGCGGCCATTAGAAGCACGACTTTGATGTACATTAGTTCCACACATAGTGCGCTCTCCAAAGTAAACATAAGCGATATAATCGATGACAAGCAGTTAACCGGAAAATCTGAAATGACGGGCATTAGGAGAGGCAAGTCGAACTGTTTGCTCACACATTTAAAGCTATCACTATCTTGAGATCTTGAAAGAAATCAATCACATCTTAATTCGTTCGCTTACGAATTTTAACACGCTAATTTAAATTCATCTCCATCGCAAATTTCCCTTCTATCTTAGATCTACCTTTGTAAATTTTGGAAAAGAGAGATAGTTTAAATTTATCTTCTCCCCGCTCACATGAATCGCCTAAACTTTAATACATCATCCCGCGCATAGAACATATCCGTGTCCTCTCGAACAAAGCTCCGTGCATGCGTCGTTTATCATTGCCAGGAGCTTAACGTCGGGCTCCCGAGGATCTCCCGAGGAAGATACGCGCCGGTGACGGGAAAAAGGAGGAAAGTCGCCGCCGAGCTGGTCGGCGGTCGCAAACGTCAAAGCGTCGTTCGGCGGATCAGTGAGCGTCGCGACGCCCGCGGCGCAGGTTGCACCGCCTCCTCTTCTTGCGGCCCGCCGCAATAGTACGTACCGGTGCGTCGGGCAGGACACCGTGTCGCGCGGCACCGCCGCGGTGACACCGCGTGGCTGGGGTGCATATCGTGGCGACCACGCGATATTTTTCTTTGTCCTTCTCTTTACGAACCGCCAAGGCTCGACGGGCAACTGCGGGCGATTATTATGGGGCATTTGAGCGGCGGCTAAATGGGGGCCGATGGACATTTTCGCGTGACCTTGTCCCTCAGGAGGGAACCGGGCGCCGGTCCGGTTTTCTGCAAGATGGAAACGTCCGCCAGGTTCCGGCAGCTGAAGACGGTGAAGCTGAGCTGCGAGACGACCTACCGGCTCGACATCAGCTTTAAGCCGCCGCAACTGCTGCAGTGGGTACAGTGAATGTGCAAATTATATACATATATGTACGTCGGGTGCCCTCATCTTTCCACCCGTACTTCCCCGCTTGAATCAAATGTCAAGTGTTTTTTTTTTTCTTTGTAAGGAGAACTGTCGTCCCGCATCGCGTGATTTCGATGATCGCTGGTTCAGCCGACGCGAGTCGTATATATTATTAGTTTCGCCGCAGAAAAGTAAATGTGTCAAACCAAATATAACGTGTCGTTTCTGTTATAATTTGATAGATCGGTTGTCTTCGTTACACAATGAAAATTTAACTATTGACCAAACTTTAATATATTTAGTAACCAGTTCACGTACTATCCTTGCTCGATCCCGAATATACTCGCAGTCCGTGCTCGCGTTATAATGAATTATTTGATCTTATTCGGAGTTATTACTTATCAAATAAGTAATAACTAAGTAACTACTAAGTAATAACTTAAATAAGTAGCGAGCGTTACTTCCCCCCCCCCTTTTTTTTAAGGGGACCTATAAACCACCGCGAAAAAGTCCCACTCGACTAATAGCAGTTTATCAGAAATTTATACGATCATTTTCAGCGCGAAGATGGGGAGCGCGGTAGGAGCCGGTGATAAATTTCAACGTCGGGGGCTCCTATGCTCCAGGGACGAGGATTACGACTTCTCGCTATATGTTCAGATATAGAATCTCTAATAATGCCAACTTAACCGTAATACTAAAAATAAACTCGACTGTCGAATACACAAACTGAGTTTACTCTCCTGAGTACTTAACGAAGAGAAAAATCGCTAATCCACATCAAATACTTCGTCCTGTACGGATCGTATGTAAAGTGTGTCAACGCTCGCCGTATTAATTCGCAGAAATTTTCTTCAATGTGCCGAAATAGAGTATACCTCTAGACACTTTCATTAATCTAATTAATTAAATTAATTTATTAATTCTAGAGGTAATTATGTAGCTTGATTCTAGCATTAGATTTTTCGGTACTCACTTATTCTAAATATAAAGCCGATTAATGTTAAAGCTAATAAGTATCTAATTAGTAAGTTAATTTGTGACATTTACTTAGGCGGTAGTAAATTCAAATTAATGTTTATTATTTTTAAAAATTTTGTTTTAATTTAATTTAAATATGTAAGGGTACACTTTTACATTTGAATGAAAAGCACGAAGAAATTTTTTCAGCTGATAAATTAATCGGATTCGATAAGATTTATGTCAAGATTCCGTATATGTCGTTCCGATAGATTCGCGGCTTTAATATTGCGCAAAAAATCTTACCTATTATTTAATTTTATTTATATCGCATTGCATCGTGAAAATTTTCTGCACAGATCGAAACTTATAACATACACGGAACGAACGGGGTCATACTTGGAAAACTCACACCGGTGCTTGAGGATCAAACTCGGGAAAGTTTGGAGCGCGCAAAGTTAAAATCGAATGAGCACATATATATATATATGTATGTATGTATATGAACGCTACGAACGACGACGACGATCGGCCCAGTCGACACGAGCGGATTGATTTGCACAGGGCGGTCAATTAGGTATCGCGGCTCATCTCCGGGGCAGGCGTTTACGTTTCTCCCCCTGTCGCTTTTGTGGAACGAGACCGCATTACGTGTACGTGATCGCGGCGCGAGATAACTACCACCCCCCTCCCCCTCCTCCGCGCGCAATTTCTAAACGAGCACAAGCGAGTGCATAATCCTGGGAATCGGCGGGTACGTTAGCGCGAGGGGATGGGTGCTTTAAACGGGTGCGAGCGCACCAGCTGTGCAGTGGCACACCGGCTGCCCGACTCCGTCGGCGGGTATAGGGCGCGAGGAAGACGGAGGCGTCGTCATCGCCTTGAACTGCGCAAAACTCGTCCCCTGCACAGGTCTCGGGAGGAATCGATCGTGATTTCACGTTGCACTCGTGCGGATCACGTGCCGCTTATAATTGGCTGATCGATGATACAACCCGACTGCCCGCTGATGAGGGTGCGACGTGAACGATCAACTTGTTGTGTGTACGACACAACCGCGGGACCGTCTTATCGCGGAAGCGCGCTGAAACATGATGGATGTACCATTCGTATATTATACATACATATATATATATATATATACCGTCGCGATCGTGCGCGCCGCTTAATGAATACGTGTCATGAATTCAATCGGGCTCACAGACTTGAGATATTGCCCGGTTACCCCCTTTTCCCCCCTTCCCTGGGTAACAGGAACCCGCTACCCCGATAAGTATCGCGTTGAGAACGATCGTATCGTAATTGCGGCAATAAATCGTAATTACAGTTCGCCGGCGGAAGACACCGGTGATACCGTATATAAGCGTATCGAGATGATCCGTAAGATGAGAAACGTCAGCCGAGACAGGCGAGAATTAGTGGCTGTCGAGAGAAAACTGAGACGTTTTCGAGTATGCCTAGATTAAAACGTATAAGTATCGTCTAATCTTTGTGATACTCGATACAAAAGCCTCAAAGCTGCGAATGCGAGACAACACAATGTAGGTATATATACACGGAAAGAACGATTTTGTTGGAAGATCAAAATTGGATCTGAAAATAATTTTGTTGCACGGAAATCAAAATAATTTTGTGGAAAAGTCAAACTGATTTGCTAAAATATCAAAATGTTTAACAGCAATGCTTATCATTTTTGAGTTTCCAACAAAATTATTTTGATTTCCGTGCAACAAAATTATTTTCAGATCCAATTTTGATCTTTCAGCAAATCGTTCTTTTCGTGTAGGAACTTAAAGATCGACGTGAGGGGATCGAGAAAGCGTATAAAGGGATGTGCTGCAGTTGTAGCTTTCGATATAATTGAGCCGCGATAAAGCTGCAAAGCGGCAGATGTGTTATTGATAATTAAACCTGTTACTTTTTAGCTTCCTATATATTTTTTTTATTTTTTTTAGCTGTCAATGCAACATTCCGCGGTGATTTACGGCGAACAGGCGCGATTTGCACGTGGATTTGCACACGTTGAATTCGTTGAATCGAATATGGAGATTACGAGCGAACAAACGCGATGCGCATAAATATTTCAGCTTGCTCCCCGGCAGCAATCACGATGCCGGAAGTGTCCGCGTGATCTTCGAGAAGTCACGAAAGCGCCTGTAGCTCGCGTGCGCGCGGTCTCGCGAATTAAACGGGCGCCGCGTGCCGCGCGGCACGGCTGCAGAAATGGAGCAGTTTCCCTTTGTCATTTTTCGGATACAATGTAGAATCCCCCTCTTCCTCCCACCGCCGCCGCCGATGATGGAAAGAAAATCCGGCTTTCCCTCCCGCCACCGCGCCGGGGGCGGTATCGCCGAAATCTCGTGGAATTTTAAACAGCCGCCGTCGCCGCCGCCGCCGCCGCCGATCATTAGTCCGAATCACGCGATGCACTCTCGCGCGCTGTGCATGATGGCCTGCTTTTCGATTTTACTTACAAGTCGCCGGACGTACGGCACGACAATTTCCATTCCCCCGGAGCGGACCGGACGAACGTTATACCGCTGGTTGTTACGAAAACAGATTAACGATTAATTCGTCTCAACGGTATACACACGTCACGGATTATACATTCAATTAATAGTTATACATTCAATTAATTATTGCGTACGTCTGCACAGCGCTCTACCACCCTACCCTCGCACGCGAGGGAGGGGGGGGAAAGAGGATTTATGCCTTACTCATACCAAGTCGCGCGATTAAAGTTTCGTAATAATAAGCGTCGGGAAGTTTGCTGTCCTTGTTTTTGCCGCGGTAATATTCCTTTATGGACTTTATGGAAGTATGGCAGGAGGACGCGAAATGTAGACACACCGGCGAGCTTATGATGTTACAAGCCGACGGGTGTGTTGCATTTTTCACGAACGATAATGCTATATCGACCGTGTGCCTCGCGCGCCTTCAGACGCCAGTCCACGGCTGCAATTCCGTTTCGGCTCATCTCTTATTTTAGATGTAGCTCTTGCATCGTGCGCATGCATTTTTAATAAACCTTCCTTAAACCTGGCGATGTATCCCGTAAGACGCATCTCCGCCCGTCCAGATCTGCGCGAGGTGTGTCTTGGATTTTCAGCGAAATTTTTCGCATAATTCATATGCCTGTGAATCTCCTGCAATTTATTTCTCGTTTTGCAAAAAGCAACGTAAATCTCGTTTTATGTATACAATTATATTATACACGGAGAGAATTTTCTTTTAAAATTTACCCTAAAAATCATGTTAATTGTGAGACAATATAGTATTTAGGTAAATTTTACTGTGCACTACAATAAATTTTACTGCGAAATCTTATTGTAGTGCACAGTAAAATTTGTCTAAATACTATATTGTCTCATAATTAACATGATTTGCAGGGTAAATTAAAAAAAAATTCTCGCCGTGTATGTATACGTTGAAATTTTTTCTTAAACCTGTTTTCTCCACTTTTCTGTGAGACATTCATTTTCTTTGCTTCTCATTACAACAGAACTTTTAATTCCGCTTCTTTAATATCGCCAAGTTTAACGTTAATCGAGCGACTCCGTACAAAGCTAGTCTATATGGAATAGCAGCGCATTTACGTTTTATGTATGATTTTATAATGATTCGCGAATTTCAAAATATTTCTCCGACAAAAGTCGCTTAGATTGCTCCTCCATCGTGCACTGTACATTGTTTCATAATCCATTTTTCGTGCTCGCGAGGATTTATAAACCGTTCATTTCTAGATAACGATCCGATTCTTAACGCGCGCGGCTGTTTATCACGAGCGATAAGCCGATGCACGCAGCTGATACGCGCGGTACGTGCACGGTTCGCACGCACGCGGGTCATTTGCGCGCGGCGCTCTCCTCGCTTTTGCCCCTTCGTGAAAACTCTAAAAATAAAGCCGATCGTGAGTCAAAGTGCGCCTCGTGCGGCCATATCAAAGTAGACCGTTCTGAAAGATATATAGATCTGTCGATCTAAGGATCAAAAGCGTCCAAGAATACCGGCCGGCCTGACGTAAGATCCAAATCCGCGCGGTCAGGATTCAAGGATCTCCATGCAAGTAGATCGGGAACGATCTGCAGCCACATGCGAGCATTAAAATGCAACAACGGTCTTGCAAGGATTAAGCAATCATCCTTGAACTTTTTTTCTATCCAATAATTGTAAGCGCTTTTAGTTATTAACGGTAAGTCTCGAAGTCTGTGCAGCTAGTCAACGTGGAAGGGGATTAAGAAGTACAGTATATGTTTCTAAGGTCTTTCATTAGTATAATCACATTTCATTTTTATTACGTAATTCTTCTTCAGTAAAAACGCGCAATTCCTCTTTTTTACCGTGTAAAACTATACGTGTGTTTTAATCTACGAAAGGGCGTGACATTATTTTAATTTTTTTTTTATAATTGATTAAAAAAGTGCTTGAAATATTCGGAGACCCAAGTTCTCGGACGAAATGTAAACTTGACATTCGCATCTTGATTTACGTTATTCTTGCCAATTCAGATCGATATTTGTAAACACTGTAAACGCGCGGGATTTTTACGACGAGTTGACTTATAGGAATGTTGTCGGTGTACACAATAATCCGTCGATCCGTTTATCTTGACGTTATGCCAGGCGTGGGAAAAATATTATCAAAGTACACACACGTGTTAACGATTGTGCCACGCAAGACATCTATTTTCGCCGCTAAAAAGAAGAGCTCCACCAGTCCAGTTGTGGCAGCGCGCGTTCATCGCGCATCGAGACTCGCGTCATTTCCGTTGCACTCGTTCGAACTTTTGTCGGCTTTCTCACTTTGCAGACAGTCAATATGCCGAATAAGCAAATCATGTTCTTTTAAAAATAAATAACCATCATGCTTTGTCGTGAAGAAATGAGGTCGTCAAACAGAACGTTAGCGTGAGGATGTGCAGTAAGGGAGCTTCTCCGTTCGTCCGTTAAAAAGACATGCATCTCTCTGTCTTCCTATTTCTTCACTGCAATCCTTATTTTACGTTTTAAATTATTTAAACAAAGCATTATATAGGAATAAGAGTGATCTAATTAAATATAAACAATATTTCTTTTTAATATGATTATAATTTAATTTGTGCAAGAATTATTTTATGGAATTATGAAAAATTCACTGAAATGATGGAAAATTCAATGCAGTTTCTTCCTGGGGCGTTATACCGTATAGACGAAATATAAAATATCTATAAAAGTAAGAGAAATGATATAAATGTAACTGTGAAAAAGGATGAAGAACTATATACATTTTGAAGATACGAAAACGGGTATTTTTCGAGAAAAATTGTACGAAACGTATTTTCTAAAATATTGTTTCGATTTTTCCAGGTCTCTGAGCATCGGCGGGAAATTGGTGGAGGCGGTCGAACGCGCGAGGAACGCCACGGCATGCGCCTACAGCGCTTATCACAGCACCAAGGATATCACGGCGAGTGCGCGTGGCCATCGGGAGGATCTGCCGATCGCGATGAGGGTCCTCGGCTCCGGCTTCCTGACTACCTGCCTGCAGATCAAGTACTACCGGCTGGATGATCAGAGCCATTGCGAGTGGGGCGCCCGGTTGCACTGCATCGAGCTCGATTGCTCGAGCGTCGAGGGACGTCTCGTCACGGTGGATCGGGAGACCTACAGAAAGCTCGGCATAGAATCTTAACGAAACGCCATCAACCGTCTCACCGGCACCACCGGCTCGCTGCCGGCTCGTTGCACCAACGACGAGGAGGAACCCGACGCCGCGCCGCGCCGCAATCGATGCCTCTCGCACGCGATCGGCTGAATACTTTACGCTCGTAAACACAGGTTGTACCAGGGCTTGTATTCGGATGAGTTGAGGCCCGTACTTTTTTTTTTGCCTGGACAACCCCGACATAAGCATAAAGATAGAATCGGTAATAGCGATAACGAGTCTATAAAATTTGATAGCTTCTACTTTTTAATTTGAAAATTAAAATTACCATATTATACAAATTTTTTCATTGCTATAAGGAATCTAAAAATTTTGCCTACTTAATTGCATAAAGCTTGCCTTAAATATGGCCCTTCGAAAATAGGTTCTGGGATGATAAAGTTAATCGTCGTGATAGATTGTGTGGGATGAGAGAAACTTCGTTAGAATGGTACTTTCAATTCAGTGCGATGAATATAAATTGCGTAGAAATTTCGTGTAAGTATTATCACGATCGACGGGTAATTGAGATTGATCATCGCCAGTTGGCTAGCAACATTGCTAATAGCGCGGTGGATTAGGTTATTTAGAGAAGCCTGGCACAAACTGATCTTTTGAGGCTTCCTCTTCATCGGGGACATCGAAACTTTATATCGAAAGGATCGCCTGAACGAAATTAAATATCGTTATTGTATTTTAAAAAATTAAAAAATTGAGATTTAAATGTATCTTATATTTAGAAGTTTCCACAGCGCTTCTGTGCGTCATATATAATATCGATTGTATTGCACAACTAGTAGTGTAACAATTTTATATATTCTAATTTCGATGCAAAATAAACGTGTAAAGAACACAGTTGTTAAATCGTGATTGTTTTTGGCCGATATTTTTCGTTCTCTGGCAAGGGATTAATATGTTAGCATAACGGCAGGAATATGCTGAAAAAACAAAGTGTAACCCAAACACAACGAATAATAATACATTTCATTTTGAGTACAATACCACATACGTATCGAACATGCGCGCGTCAATGATTGCCGATTATTTTAGAAATACGAATTAGGCCAAATAAAATAAAACAGATTAGTTGTCAATAAAAAGATTGAGAATAATGAAATATCTTCAAATGCAAGTAGATGGATTAGTAAAAGAGGAGAGAGAGAGAGAGAGAGAGAGAGAGAGAGAGAGAGAGAGAGAGAGAGAGAGAGAGAGAGCGACGATAAACTGATGATAAAGAAAAAGATATTATTTTATATAGATTATATAGACTTAGATTGTGGAATTATTATACGATCTATTTAAAGACTTATCGTTAAATAATGATATATTCAAATAATCGAATCTTAATAAATTTCGAATAAATAAATACAATTTTCTTTCCAAAGATATTTGAAAAAATAGAGAAACCTGTTCAAAAAGCTTCAATCTCGATTGAATAAAAAAAGAAAGACTCGTCCGAAAGCGATACAGAGAACAAAGGCGAAAGTGATTAAAATCAAAAGATCAGATCAATAAAAACAGTAAATCTATTTGCGTTACTTGCACTTTCGCATGCAGAATCTGCGCTTTCTCTTTCTTCAACGAATGTATATTTATCTCGTTTTAAGTGAAAAAATTTTTGGGAATTTCTGGCAACGCGAACAAGCTTAGCGAGACGGAGAATAAAAGTGCAAGAGAACGAATTCATTCAAAATCGAACATACGCGCGTCATTGATTACCGATTAATACTTATAATTGTCAGGCGAATCAATCGCGAGGCAATATGACACGGTGAGAAAAAAACGGCGTTTTTTTTTTCTAATCGAAAGCATCGACAGAAGTTTCACTTGTGTGAACGGCGCGGCGTCAGCTTTCGTGAAACTTTGCGATCGAAGTGCACGATGCACTTTCGCGCGTTTTGTTAACGCCATGCGTTCGCTTAGATGTTTTTCATTTCCGATAATTCGCGCCTCCTTTTCTTTCTTATCTTTGCACTTCTCGGAGGATGGAGGATTTTTGTAAAAAAATGCTCGCCCGATATACGCGTTATTGCGCGTGAATTAATTTTAGAAACGTCCTCGGAGCCGCTACGACAGGAGCTCGAAGCACCTCAATACCCGAAAACTTTGGCAATCAGCGAAGTGACCAATTAACGCCTCTACGCTTACTGTAATTGTGCAGGTCGTTTCTACTTTCTCTATACTACGTTTAATGGATTTAACGAAATTATCGTTATAAATGTACCGCATGTACATATACAGGGTGATTCTCGATTATATTTATACTTCAGAGAGCGATATCTAGAACAGGAAAAAAAAACGTCATACGTACGCGAACACGGATTAAACGTTATTTTCAAAGTTACACCAATTGTGTGGGCGTACACGAGGGCGCGTGTTTAAATAATTCATACGCGCGCGCGCGCGTATGTTTGTTGTACTGGCACTGCGATCACAGTCTTTTGCTCATCCTAGAGTAGGCGGCGAAAAAGAACTTACAATGAATCAAGCTTCCGCAATGCTCTCGGAGAATTTTCTGCGACCTCTTACTCTTAAATTCATTGAGATATAATTAAGGATCACTCTAGTATAAAATTTAAAAAGATATATATATATATATATTATTTACATACAATAAATACAAAATCACATGTTGCGTTTGTTCTGTTATTGTTACTTACATTATTTTATTCATAATCGCGGTGGTACGTAGTGCAACAATGCGTCCGCGATCTCTCGGTTCCGCAGCTTCTCCACCTGCCCGCGCATTCGCACCGCCAGCCTGTTCGAGCGCCTCAGATACATCGCCGAGTGGTGCGTGGCGATGGCGAATGGGACCGGGCACCACGTCACCCTGACCACGCCGCGGACCAGCGCCGTGATGTAGCTCTCGATGAGCGATGTGTCCTCCTCCTCCGGATAGAGGTACTCCTTCAGCGGCAACGCCAGCTTCTCCGGCGGCAGTTTCAGGTAGCGTAGCGCGGCCGCGTGTTCCGACCACAGCAGCTTCCGGTAGTGCGAATCGTGCCGCTGCGCCACTGGCACCAGCACCGTCATGGCGAAACCGTCGTCGCCGTACGAGCTCGAGCAGAAGTGCTCGCACAGCGCCGTGAACAGATCGGTGAAGGAGCTCAGCCCGGGTAGCTCCATCCGGAAGTTCAACCGCGTATGGTATCTCTTCAAGAGATTCGACAGGACGTTCGGCAGCAACGTAGACACGTCGCCGTCCAGGTAGACGGTGTCGCAGAGGTACACCAGTACCAGTCTGCTGAATCTCAACGTGGGCGACAGCTTCTCCATGAGATCGGGCAGGATCAGTGCCAGGCTCAGCACTGTCAGGACGCTGTCCTTATCAGCCGGCTGCAACCTGATGTCGTTCTTGCACTTCGTGTATATGTGAACCAGCGGCAGGAAGAGCCAGTCCTTCGGCATCGCCGCTTGGCTCCAATCGCCGTTCGGCGCGGTGTATCTCGCGTACAGCAACGCCGCGTCCGAACGCAAGCCCGTCTCGACCTGATCCACCGTGGACGTCAGATTCAATTTGGCCAGTTCGTTGGTGACTATCCCCAAGTTCACGTTTCCGTTCGACAACGCGATTTGCAGGAGCCTCCTCACGAGATCCGTGGCGTCCGCGGGCAACGCAGAGATGAGTTTGATGGCGATCCTCCACACAGTTTGCGCTGTCCGATTGTTGATTGCGTCCCCGAGGAGAGATACCGCTTCTACCACCGCTGTCAAGAGATATAACTCTGTTCTGCTGTACCACGACCTTTCCAAGCTCCATTCGGCCGTTTCCAAGTCTTGTATGTACTTGAGGAAGCACGGGTGTTCGAGTATCGCACGAATTTCTGCCGCGCGAGAGTTACTGCGAAGCGCGTTCAATACCGCCGCCAAGAACGGTATGCATGAATGTACCGACACGATCGGCTGCAACTCTCCGTTCTTCGTGAGAACACCCAAGTTTGGAAGACAGGATGGCTCCCGCTCCGTAGCCGCGTTGCAGTCGCTCAATAAATTCGAACTGGAACTGCAAGAAAATAAATACGAGTGTTGTGAGAGTCGTCACTTTCGTATGTACGTTTCGAAATAGGGGAAAAGAAAACGAGTTGAAAAGAAAATGCTTACCGAAGAGTTGAGAAAACGTGCGGATTGGACAGCCACGTTGTTTTAAATGAGGATATCTCGTCAGCGGCGGATAAACTCTCCGCAATCAATTTCATGTCACCCCACTGAAATTTACAATATTTTATATTCTCGAATACTGATAAATGTTAAGATAATAATAAAGTTGAAAAATATTAAAGCGACATGTACAAGATACAAATATAGCTTTAATATTTTTCAATGTCTTCTCAAGTAATTATTTCTTAATAATTCTCGATAAACTAAATTGAGTAATAATAATCGCTCTCACCGTTGCATTAGATACCGACGAAAATTGCGTACTCCACTTCGCTAGCAACGTAGAGATGTTCGGTTTTAACGTTTTTTCGTGACCCGCCACAGCAATCAACGCCGCGGCGTGCTCGCACGCCAACTCGGACGTGTTTTGAATATCGTGATTGCTTAATAACAGCTGCAATTGCGATACGAGAGTTAACCGGGCGCCCGTAACACTGTCCAGGCCTACCTCGTAATGCAATAAAACTCGCCAGAGTCGGAGGCTTTCGATGCTGAGATTTATGTCATCTTTCCTCCTGAAATATTATATATTTAATAAAATAAATATATGGAAATTATATATATATATATATATACCTATATGCATATGTAAAGACGCGTGAAAAAGCTTACCCCGTTTCGCTGCTAACGTACGTCAGAATGGCTTGGATAATTTTGAAATTATCCAATTTCTGCGCGACCGGCCTCTTGCCATACGTGACGAGAACGCGACACAACTTAATCGCCTTAACTACGGGGATCCCGTAAACATTATTTATCGTTTCCTGCATCGCTGTAAAAAAATTCAGACTCTTAAATAATGCCAATAATTTTTATCCCCCAAATAAATTTTAGATTTATTAAAATCTATTTAAAGATAAAGGCGATAAATTTTTTATGTATTAACTTTAAGCTTAATTTACCTAGTCGGTCTACGGACAACGGTATAAAATTTTGGACGATGGTGTCTAACAAATACGGCGTGGACGAGATAATCAGTGCCGTTATGTGCGAGTGTCTCGCGAGGCGGATGAGTATCTCCAAGGCACACTTTACTCCAACGGGTGGTGGATGCATCTCATTTAAGATGTACCTACAAGCAATTACATCTGAGTTAGCTTCGCTCTTTTACGCATTTGAAGAAAAATTCAATGAAAAGTCATATAACTACAAAGGTCAATTTTTGAGGTACAATTTTTGAGTCAAAGAATCATAAGATTATCAATTTTTTTTTTAAATTTTATGAATATATAAGTAAAAATAATGACAAGTTGCGCGTACCTAATTCTTAATAAAAAATCCGATCTCAATAACGTAGCCGCGGCATCCAGCTGCGCCAACTCGTGATCCTTCAGACCACTCGTGTCCTTGTCCTCGAGTCGAGGTGTCAGGGTGGGCTCCGCGAATTCGGCGAATCCGTGCAGCCTGTCCAAGCAGACCTCGTCCGCCTCGCTGATCAGGAAGGCTCTGAGCGCTTGCAGAGCCGCCGTGACTACGGCCACCGACGTGTCGTCCAGCGAGAACCTCAGCAGCAGCAGGATATTCTTCTGACTGAGCGCGGTCAACGGCGCCGGATGCAGGGCCTGGTCGTACCAACCCTTGCGCGTCTTCTCCATGATATTGGCCAGAGTGGTAAGGGCGGTGCACCGTTGCTGTTGAGTGGAAGACCTGCTCAGCTGCAGCAACTCCTGAAGGGAGTATCCGGGACGTTCGGGTTCGTCTCCGTGATGATGGAGGCCTCTGTCCACGGTCAAGCTCTCATCCTTGTATGGCAATAAAAGACCTAAAAAAAATATAAAAAGTAAATGAGACAGAAGATAAAGATGAAGATAAATGTAATAGAATGATTTGATATATTCATTGTCGAAATCAAATCATTAAAGATAAATGAAGGTAAATGTCGTAACAGAATGATTTGAAATATTCACCGTTGAAATCAAATCTCGCATTGTACTCTTCGGTCGGCGCGGGCTCGTCCTTCTTCTTTTCCGGCAGGTCCTCCATCCACTTCAACTTTTCTGGTTCGGGAGTGTTCATATGCAGCCATCCTTTCTGTTTGCCTTCTTCAAATATCTTTTTGAACAGTTCCGGTATGTCCGAAGGGTCAGCCTCGTAATCCATTTTTGTATCCGCATCATCCGAAGACAATTGTGTCTTTTTGCCATTGGATACTTCTGCATCCATTGTCGTCTCTTTTGCAGTTGAAGTGCTCGTTATATCATTCTCGCAGTCCATTCCTTCGTTATCATTTGACGAAAGCTTGAGTTTTTTATCACTGGATACCTCCACGTCGATTGCGATTTCGCTCGCAACTGAAGCGCCAAGCTGCCTACTGTCCCGCTCGATCGGTCTTTTCGCGGATTTATTTTTCTTGTTTCTTAAAAATTGTATTAGCTTGGGATCGAGAGTCTCCTCGAGCTTCCTCTTTTCCTCCAATATCTCAGCTTCGCTCATTTGCGCCAGCTTTTCCACATTTTCCCTGTGAATTTCGACGGCCAATTGATCCTCCCTTGCAACCGCCCCTTCCTTGCCGCGGTGGAAAGATTCGTCCCTCCGAACCGTCGCCGAATCATCTCTCACGGACTTCAGCTTTGAAACTTTCTGCCCGAATAAGCTCTGCTTACCATCGATCTACAGGGAGAGTGACAAAATGATGACGATTGGCATAAAAAGAAAAAGAACAGACGTGCTTCATTCGGACGTACTTTTTTCATAAGCGACGTGTCGTCGGAACCAAAAACCTCGGGGAATCCCAGCTCGACCGCCGTGGGGACGCGACTGTCGTTGAACTCGTACTTCTCGATGTCGAATTTCCTCTCCATGACATTGCCAAGTATTACGTTCGACGTCGCCACAGGCGTATTCTGCACCACGTCCTCCAGCCTCCCCTTCGCCGTTTCCCGAATCTTGTCCCTGACAACCGGGTTTATCACCTCGCCGCTGCCTCGCGAGGTGGACACCACGTCCCGCTTCGCCCCGGACTGCCGCAAACTGGAGAATCGCGACCTCACCTTGCTCGCGCCTTGGGCATTGCCCGAAGCGGGCTCCCTCAAGTTCACCACCTTCACGGACGGCTGTTGCCTCGTCCTCAGGAACTCTTCCTGCTGGCGCAGAAGCTCCTCCTCGTCGTCGTCCGCCCTGGGCCTCTTGCACGCAGCTTCATCAGCCATCTCTCAGGTTATGTTACAACCTCTCTGTTACTCTCGACAAGTTTATAATCATATGTTGCAGCAGAGGATAATCTGAAAATCGAAACTCGATGATCGCAGTACGCAAGAAACGTTGTGATATCGTGACATTGCTGCGACGTGACAATTTGCGAACGTTACTGTTAATAGTGTTAATCCCGTCAACTTGCCTTGCACGACGCGACACGTTCGCGCGGCTCCGGCGGCATGCGGCATCCGGGATCATCTGATCGTCTCGAACGTCGCTTCTAGCGCCACAAGAAATGTGACAAGAAATGCAGCACGACCGCATTTACCGTCCATAGGAAAAGTATTACCGACGATTGTCGAAAAAATTCTCGGGATATGTCATCGGAACGGCCTCGATTTGCGCGCGCTCCAGGAATTCTTATAAATAAAACGTACTCATTTTTTTTTCTATTTTGTTTTATATATATATATATATTTTTTTTTTACATATTTTCGATTCGGACAGGAAGAAACTGTAACTTCATCATTGATATGGCTCGTAATTTAAATTACTTTATTTATCTAGGCTGGAAAACGCGATACACGCCGATTATCGCAATTCGTGTGCGCCAGACGTTCGCTGATCAGGAATCTCAGGGGGATCGCGGATTAGAACGAAATTTAAGCCGCTCGATAATCGATTATTCTCGATGATTGTTCGCAGCTAGCTACGCCTGCTGCGAAAACTTGATCCAGCGACTATTGCGTTATACTCAAAATAAATATAGCCCTTTGATCTTCTCTGCCTCTTTAAAGTTTATAGATATACGTATATATCGTTAATTACGTTTCAGATTTCTTGCAGGAATTAAATATACGTATAATAATTTATAAAACAAATGACTTCACGTCGACACTCGCGAAGTTAATTGTATGTTATACGAACTAAAAGAAACAATTTCGCGAAGTATAGCCCCTTGATCTCTTCTATCTCTTTTAACATGTGTACAATCGCTCACTAAAAGGTTGCGACACTTTTTTTTTAATAGGTTTCGAATTTATATTTAATATACGTAATATATACTTTACAGATAACTAATATTTTGCAAATGCAAACCACGATGTATCATCTTTAGTCTAAAGGCAGTATAACACCAATCGTGGTTCCACATTTGCAAAATATTAATGCGTTTTGAAACCTATAAAAAAGAAAGTGTCACAAGCCTTTTAGTGAGCGAGTGTACATTATTATACTTCAGATTTTGCATAAATTAAATACGTAATTTATATAAGGAACAACTACAACATCGAAGTTGTACGAACTGAAAGACGATTATCTCGCTAAGATATAAATACAGTCCCCCTTGCTCTGCTCCGCTTCTTGAAAGAAATACAACGTGTTTACGTATAGATATATATTATTATGTTTCAGATTTTCCATTAATTAAATACACATAAATTTATAAAACATAATGATTTCGACGTCGACACGCTCGAGGTTGATACGAACGGAGAAACGATTCCGCGAAGATCCCTTTACTCTCGGAAAAGTATCTCAAAGTAATATAAGCTCAGAAAACAGAAATGCAAAGGGGGGGGAGGAGACTGGCTCCCATATGGCCAGCAGCCCTCTTCGGAAACGCTAAAATAAATCCACCGACCGAACGTTCCTTTCGCTTGGAAAAATACGATTTCGCCTATATACATATATCGGATTTATCGTATGATTGCATATGTGTTCTCGTATTCTCTTATAAGTATATATGTACACATTCCCATTGCGCACTCATGCGTTCGCGTAAAGCTGCGAGATTTCTTCGTCGCTCGCGACGCAGATTTGACGACGAGAAAACAGCCGAGGAATCCACGTATCTACGGTATAATAATTTCGGTTATTGCGTTTCTAGATGCAATATACATTTCCCCTGAATTATATAACATAGGTACAAGAGCGGCGAAATATCGCTTCCGTGGATTTGCGCGACGATTTCCGACAACAGAAAATATCACTCCCTTTATCTCCGCAAAATATTCGTGTCTCTTTGAAGGTTTCAAATATTTGGAATATAATTAAACGTAATTTTCAAATAAATCCGCAATGAATCTTTACCGAGGATACAATTTCCTTTCTTTTCCATTCCAGTCAAATCGATTCAGATTCCATTGGTGCAGTCTAATGTATGTCGGAATGTATTTTTTCTCGAATGAACGGCCGAGACAGAGCTTATTTACAGTCACGTGTATTTACACTAATTACAAGCACCACAAACGCATAGTGATTCGCTTCGGGGGGAGGGGAGGAGAAAGGAAAAAAGAAACGATATCTACGTGATGACTTGCGATAGAGCTCGATCTGCAGTCTCGTACATGTGTCGCATGAAGGACGCTCAGTCAAGAAGAACAAGCTCAGCGATCGTAACCGTCGGTGTTGCGTTACTTTTCGGCGCGGCGTGACTCTTCGTCGAATTGGATTCTCTCGCGAGACGGGTGGAAAGAGAGGAGAAAAAAAACGGCGGGCGTTTCTCTTGCTCCGCACGAGGAGATCCGTCCTCTCTCTCTCTTTCTCTCTCTTCGCGAAACTATTTTTTATTCCGAGGGGAATAGATACAAAAGTCTCTCGCTACAGTTATGTATAAATCGATCTCTATGGCTCGCGTATCAATTGTATAATCGAGTCAGTTTAGTTTTTTTTTTAAGCTTGTCTCCTTAGCCATTCACGCAGCTTCCTGTAAACGTACACGCGCATGCACACCAGGAGACGAGAAAGAGACGATATTTATATATAAGGCACAGAATACACATTATTATATTAGATATATGTATTACAATTATATTATTTCGAAATGGAAATGTGCTTTGATATATTTATGTGATGTTTTTATCTTTCCTTCTCTAAGATAACTGGAGACAAGAAGTTGAATATTTTTAAGTGCGATTCGAAGTGAGATCATATAATTGTAATACATACATACACATACATACATACATATATACGAGCAATATATACATACGCGCGGTTGCACAGCCCCGATAAATTAAGAGAAGGCGAGGAGATAAAAGGAACTTATATACGGTGTAAGTGGAGCTCCATACTTTACAGAAAACGTTCTCGGCGAACGTAAACTGCCGTGTCACGCGTCACATTTACACTTGAACGCATCACATTTATGCGATACATATATACATTACATTTATATATATATATATATATATATATATATATATATAAATTCCCTGAGAATATTAATTAACTTTTCCCACATAGCTTCTGGCTTTAAACAAAGGTGATATGCAACGTAAAAGGCTCTACGCAAATATCTTCGAAGTAATAAATTTAATATTTTCACATATAAGCTACACCGTGGATTATATTTCCCTTGGAAAAGTTAATTAACATCCTCCACGGCGATTATTCATTATTCATTATGTATGCGAGAAATCATTTAACATTCGGTTTAAAAGGACGCCTTTTACAGCGGACGAAGCACGATTACAGAAATATTAATTACTTTGTGCCCTAATATTATCACAAAAAAATGAGTCAGCGTCTTACTCCGATTAGAACCGACCTAGCTAATCATTCTCGACGTATTTACTCACTGACTCAACTATTCCCGTTCAAGTCTTAATAATTACGAAAGATCGTATGTACATTCGCTGGTCGCATTACTCGGGGGGGGGGTGGATTGACGATAGAAAAGATATATCGTTTACATTATGCATATTTATGCTCCGTATATATAATAACGTTACCTCGCTAAGAAATTGAGTTGTCTCATATTTTATATTACCATAATCATTATGGATAATAATTCGATTAAAGATTTGAAAAGGAAACGGTGAATCTGACGATGGCAGCATTGTTAATCTTTTTGACGATGTTGCAAGGAGTACGCCTCTAATAATTCTCAACTGATTGCGCAAACTCGATGGAGTCTATTAATATTCAGAAAAGCTTCCGAAATGTTGGTGGATTACCTTCCTCAAAGCTACACTACTCGATCTTAAGTGATTTATGTTACACGATAGAATCTTGTGGAACGTATTGTTTTTGGATATAATTATACCTTTTTTTTTTACATTAAACAGGCGCCTGTGGATGCAAGTATAGAACAGTACTGTAGACAGATGATAGACAATAAAACGTATCACTTTAGGGTACTTAAAATTACATTCGCTCGCGAGATCTCCGAGGTTCAGTGACCGTATTATTATTTTTTTGTATAAGAAAATTGATATGTAAGATTCTTACATATATAAGAGGTGTAATTTTCCTGGTTTTTTTCTTCAGAATATATGTGGTGTTGCCTCTTATCGCAAATGCGACGAACAAGCCGCATCCGACTGAACTACTAATCGTTCGCAATCCGACCAAGATCGCGTTCCACCGTTGTCTGTTTTCCTTCGTTCGCGAAAACACACGATTATCCGTCACGATCGAAACGAGATACTCGAGTGGAGTCCGAAAGTATGACGTTATGCTAACGCAAAGACAAATAATTGATGACTCATCGATCGCCCGCCGCTTCTTGCCGGGAGGAGTCCTAGAAAATTTATATCAAATATCCCTCAGTCTTGGACGGTGATTTTTTTTTCCTTCATTCATGAATAATTCCGCGCTTGCTAAGTTCTTGTTTCTCAATGTCTATAGTCAAAAGAAGAGCCGTTATTTGCCGGCGAACAGTTCGGACTGCGAACTTTTAATGCATTTGGTTTATCGCAAATTAGTTCAGTCTAAGTTCATCAGTATATTATAAATTGAAACTAGCGTATTAGAGGTTCCAAATATGATGTGAGTTAAATTTCTACATAAAGAAGAGAAAGGAGAGAGAAACGAGCAGACCTATTGTTTGAAACTCAAACGTTATTTAGAAGTTATAGAAAAACGATATATAAAATTTAACAGCAACAACTTTCATTTAATAAATTGAATCGAAAGGTTACAACAAAAGGTTTTTAACAATAACGAGATAGTGTCGTGAATTAACTTGAAAATATTTACGGAAGATTTGCTGAACATTCGAGATAAAGAAGGATAATCGACAGATAAATGTTTGCTAGCTAGGGTTATGTAACGTGAAATTTTATGAAACTCTTCACGTAGATTACTGTTATCCAAAGTAATATTCCACAGAGATACCGTATTTGCAAATAAATAGCCGGCTTCGATCATAATGACGGTCACGATCCACGAGGAAGTCGCGTCGGAACTGGCACCGTTCGTTCGTTCAACTTTCACCGAAAGTGCAGTAGATATACTGGATGTATATGAGGCACCGTTTTCATTATGTACAACCGTACTTGCTAAGGGAGAGAATTTGTCTGTGTGAAAAATACGCGGCACGAGATTCCTTTACGTACTAGGTATCCTTTTTTTTGTTTTACGAAAGCTAGAGAATTACCACCGAGAGAGAGAATATCTGAGCGTCGCGACGTACATACATTACTTCTTTCGTGCAAATCTTTCCCTCCTTCACGTTGCCTCGACACGTTTCTCGTAAGACACTATAGCACCGACGCTGCTAACGATAAAAAAAAGTGATGGCAATGATGATCGATGATAATCGCGATAGCGGCGAAGTGACGCACGCTCATCACACGCGAGCACGACGCTTCCGTGAAACAACGACGCTGGTTACTCTAAACTCACCGAATAACTTATATAATTCGCTTGTTCGTTCGGCACCGTTCAGTTGGCGTGTAGATTGGAGGGAAGGGGAAGTGTCCTCTACGAATCGCAGCGAATTTTTTTCAAGTTCCACTCGCGAGAGGGTAGCGCGGAGCGCACGTGAACACGGTCTCGGGGTCCCAGAGCGAATCGCAGCACCGGCTCGTTGCGCATTCGGGCGGCGGTCTGTTGCTGCATGACGAAAGTCGACGACGACGATGACGACGCGGACGACGACGACGACAGATGATTCCATCGTACGGACGGGCACCTGTAGAGCACGCGCTGTCGTGCCCGCGACTCCACGGGCTACACGGCACAGCCCTTCCTCGTGCCGTACAGCACCTTCAACTCCGGCATGATAATCTTCTTGATAAGCGCATTCGTCTTGGCGGTAAGCATATCGCGATGCGGATCCTTCTTGAAGATCTTGATACCAGGTCGATGCACCAGGAAGGCGTTGTCCAAAATGAGAAAGTCATAATCGAGAACGCAAAGCGCGTAACCCTGCAAGTGTTTGCAAACGATAACTTGATAGTTGAATGCTAAATTATCAATACAACAGATAATAGAAAAAGATGGTGTCACGAATCTTATTTTAAATTTCTCAAACATGTATATTTCTTAATTTTATATATATATGTATATAATTCTAATTATATATATTATATTATAATTTCCTAATTATATTTTTATTATATTTTAAAGAGAAATATTAACGCTTATAGTTCTAAATTATGCATCATGGAGAGAATTTTTTTTTAAATTTATCCTGCAAATCATGTTAATTATGAGATAATATAGTATTTAGGCAAATTTTACTGTGCACTACAATAAGATTTCGCAGTAAAATTTATTGTAGTGCACAGTAAAATTTACTATAAATACTATATTGTACCTAAATACTATATTGTCTCACAATTAACATGATTTTCAGGGTAAATTTTAAAAGAAAATTCTCTCCGTGATTATACATATAACTTATTATTATCTCGTCTTTCACCGTTTTAAGATAGTGGTTTTTTTTTATTTTTTACGACACATTTTTATTGTAAATATTTTGCACGGACAAGTCAGTTTACCTGCGTCATTTTATCACTCTTTCCCTCCCAACTGAGTCTTTCGTCGTAAAAAGGATCATTATTAGTCCCGATGAAGATCGGCTCCCAGTGTACAAAGCTGCCGGTCCTCTTGCCGACGTGGAAGATGTGCAGGTCCTCCGTCTCCGGCGCTTCCTGCCATTCTTTGCTCTTCGGCACGTTGTGGCAGCCGGAGCACAATTTCTTATGAAACGGTATGACGGTGCCCGCTTTCAGCATCTGTATCTGCAAATTTATACGACTCTTCGAGACGGGGCTTTGCGAAGAGCTTATTCGAGACGCGCGTAAACAGATCTATTTCTGCTTCCGAAAATATCCGCTTCGATTGTGAGGATTTTGTGAGGATGAAAATAAGCCAATTGGCACGTCAGATCAGCACACCTTTGTATGACGTTTCGACCTCTGATTCATCACCTCCGGTAGGTTTGACAACAAAAAAAAATAAGTAAGCAGAATAAAAGAAATGTGCAAATATATACGCGCGTCGAGATTACAATCGCTCTCTGTTACGCTGCGCTAGTTCTGAATTCTGACGTGACAAAAGGTGCATTGTGCCGTGCCGTGCCGTGCGGTACGCACGGGCGGCCGGACAATAGCGACGCTAATTCTACGTATCAAGGTCCACGGTCAAAGGAAGCTCCATTGATTCGCCGTCGACGACCCTCGCGTCCGCGCTATTAACGACACGACAGTCGTCGGACGCACCGTCGGGCCCCGTCGCGCTCTCTTTCGCGCGACGCTTAATTGTTCCCCCCCCCCTCCCCCTCCCTCCTCTCCACCCGACGGATCCGCGATCCGCATGCATGCATGAGAAATCGGCGAACGATTCGCGAACGTACCAGATGCGTCTTATTGTTAGGCGGCTGACTCTTCTCGTCCACCTCGAAGATGGACAGCACGAAGAGCTTGGGATTGGGCTTGTGGAGGGCCGGCTGTTCCCGCCGCCGGATCATCTCGAGGAACTTGACGGGCAGATTCGGGCTGGGGTACAGCTCGATGTCGCTGGCGAACACGTAGAAGGTGGGCGCGGACTCGCGCGCTATGTTGCGGCCCACGTTCACCGGATACAGCAGCTTCTTCTCGTTCTTGTACATCTTCGCGAGGCTGACGTTCACCCACGGCGGCCCGAGCGTGCAGTTGTACGTGTCGGCGGTGATCTTCTCCGACGACGGTATCTAAGACGGGATCATAAAACGAACGTTTAAAAAAGAAAACATCAGGAAGCTCGGCAGTTTCGCAAAACTACATGTGAACGTAATTGCGTTAAAATCTTTTCCTGCAATCTCTTGTATATTTTTTCGCGTTGATAAGTCATGCATATATTTTTTCTTTTCTACGTGACTTAGTGTCGTCAGTTGTCGTCGTTACGGATGACGACACTATGATAGAACATTGCATCCGACCGATTCGAGGGAAAGGAATTTATACCCAGTGCAACGACGGGATATTCATGCATGCGGGATAAGCGGTTTCCGATTGTAATCGCGATTACGTTAAAGACTCGTTTGCGAAACGCGAGCCACGCGAGCTTCGTTCCTCGCGGGACGAGACCGCACGTGGAAACCGCGGGGCTGTTTTACGATATATCCAGATACGTCAGTATCCGCCGGATCTGACGGTGCTCGTTACAACGCAAATAGACAGCAATAACGGCAACGAACAATCCCTGCAGTTCGTGGTAGGAACTAAATTTCCCCTTCGCGAACGAATTGCATATGCATAAGGTGAATTCATGCACGCACCACGTTCGTTGAAACAAATTATCGCGGAGGAACGTAAGGTCTGATATCAAATTTCTAATTAATTGCTCGTATTGCTCGTAAGCGGCATTTTAGCAGGCGAGTAAGTCGTCGATTTTTGCAAAAAGTGATCAACGATTGCAGAAAATGTTGCAGAAAATGATATTGATATTGATACTGATAAATATTGATAAAACGAATCCCGTTTTATTTGATAAAAAAAGAACAATTGCCACAAAAAAAATATATACTAAAAAATTTCAAATTCAATGTAAATAAATATTTTTGAAATTTCACGAATATGTAATTACAAATAATAATTGATAGCAATTGCGAGAAATTAGTAATATTTAGCGCATAACAAATTTAATGTTAATATTGCAGGTTTTATCATAATTTTTCTGAAATTCCAAGTCGGAATATCGATAAAGAGCAACGTGTTATATTAGCATACTCGATACTTGCAAGATGATTAGATTCAGAACTGTGTATGCAGGACTCAGGAAGGATTTAGTGAACACGCGGGGCATTCGGTAACAGGCACAAGTGGTTAACAGGAATGAATGCTCGTCATATCGAGCTAGGACATTCGCCAGATGCTCGGAAGTGCGGTGTATCTGGAAATTCGAGAGGGACACGGAGAACACTAGCCGGGACTCTCTCGAGGGATAAGTCTTTGGGTCGTCTATTTACCACTTTTGGCACGTGTTTGCTGCTGAAGAAGATGTGAAAGGTCACCAGTTGCGAGACCAGAGGACTGCCGCAGTTCCTCGAGTACCTGATGGCGTCGAGGGTCGCCGGGAAGTCGGTGCCGGGTGCGTGCATGGCGATCGATATCGGCGCCCGCCAGCGCTCCAGCAGCGGCTCCAGATTGTCGAGGAACGTGTAGTCGGCGTGCGTGGTGTACGTCACGCTCTCCCAGCATCTCACCGCCATGCTCATCGGCACGTAATTGTACAGGACCCAGTAGTCGCCGCGCTGCGCCCGCCTCGGCTCGGTCGACTTCTCGTTGCAGGGCACGGCCTCCTTCAGGCTCATCGGTTCGCGCGTGACGCTCGACGTGCCGTTCTTCATCTGGTCGTGGAAAGAGAAAGAGAGAGAGGAGGTTTAATCGCCGTTCGAGAGAGAAATTTGCATGGAAAGCGGCGGAAATACCGCGAATAGCGGCGGCGATCGCCTACAAGCCTGAATTCCTCTACGACATCCCGACGCGCCTCTGAAACCAATACCCGCCTCTTTCTATACGACGAGTTTAGATACTAAGATATAATATGCCTCATTTAATATCCCAATCGAACAAATGAAGATGTATATCTATTTCAATTATTATTAATTCAAATTAATTACGATATGTAGTATTTCTATTAATTCTCGATTACATCATCATTTTCATCGCCGTAGTAACACATCATAATAATTGGACAAGCCGCATTCAACGATTAATCTAAACGTCAGCCACTCAAGGATCAAGCCATCCAATAAGAGGGGTCAGAGAGGAGACAAGAAAAAAAAGAAGCGAGCGGCGCGAAGGAGACGGAAGGAGAGTGAATACCGTCTGATTATGCGGATGCTCCTGCGGCTTGTCGACGGTCTCGGCCTTGGCCCCGTTGGGAGGAGGCGTCGTGGTGACGAGGATGATCCCGAGGGGACGGCCGGCGCCGCCGTTGTTGGTCGGCGCCGCATTATTGGTGGCGCCGACGAGCGCGGCCGACGACGACGACGATGACGACGAGGAGGATGCGGCGGCAGCCGCGGCGCCCTTCTGGGTGCCGTTGACGAGGTTATCGTAGGTGTCCGATTGGAGCGGCGCCGCCGCCGCCCAGTTGGTCGGCGGTTCCTCGATCCACGGCCCGGACGAGCCGATGTGGGCGCACACGTACAGCAGCACGCACACGTTCAGCACCACCGAGAGGCGCAGCGCCCAGTTCCTGCGGGCGATGGCCGCGATGCTCATCCTCCAGATCTCCTCCGGATCGCGGCGACGACGACGACGACGATGTGGGAGACGCGTAGAGAGCCGGGAAGGAGTATTTCAGCGGGGAGGGAGGGGTTTCCGCTCGGGCGACGATGTCAATCTCCTCCCGCGTCGTTATCGTTGCGTCTCGGGTCGGCGGCACTCTTGCTGACGTCGACCCGCCGCGTCCATCCCTTCGCGGCCCACGACTGGTCGGCGGCGATCAGGACCTGCTCATGGTCCCCCCGGAGGCTGTCGACCGCGGGACCCGGTTGCGTGCAGCATCTGAAACCGGGTAATGGAAGGGGACTTTTGATTATGACGGAGGTCGCTACAAATTACTTCGGGAGCTTATTCTCGAACTTTAGCGAGTGCACACGCGAGTGTGCATGCACCGGGCGCTCATTACAGGCGATTTCAATAGCTCTACAGGAAACGAGATTAAAAAGTATAAATACGTCTGTTCTGTAACTATAATAAATTCCAAGTCTTGGAAAACGAAAATTGAGTCATTATCAAATCTGTTGATCTCGCTTGCTTATACATTAATTCCCTCCGTAGAGCCAATCGAGCATTTGAAAGCAAGTTCCTTATTTCTCAATAATATGGGCAAATAACATCCTTTAAATATTATAGATATATTACATCTCACAGCTATATCAGCGTTATATTAATCCCCTCTGAAGAGCCAATCGAACATTTGAAAGCAAGTTCTTTATTTCTCAATAATACTGGCGAATAATTTCCTTTAATTATAAATATATATTACATATCTCACAGCTACATCAACGTTACACGTTAATGCATAAAATCTAAAGCACGACATTTAATTAACACATAAACTTATGCAAACAAACGTCTCCGTATTTTTTATATCGCGCATGTAACTGATGCTGCAACTTCCAAAGTAGATGCGCGGCAGCGTTCGCTGCAAACAGGTACACGGTTGCTCCGCCCCGTTTCATCCCGCTTCAATAGCAACACAGCTGCGATATCTCTCGTTGGATCGCGCTCGTCTCGTTTATCTCACGATCCAGTTTATAACGCATGTCGAGGACGACTTTCCCCCTATATCTCGCATCTTCTTCCCCGTCCGACGTTACGTCGGGAGTGTCGCAACCGCGTCGCGCCGCTCCGTAACGCGACATTATCGAATCGGGCGGTCCGAATTGAGCAACGGCGGATTCCTTCCGCGATCCCGTTCGAGCCGAGCCGAGCGTCGAGCGAACGAGCGAGCGGCCGAGTGAAATCGAGAGGGAACGCGACAGGACGGTCATTATATCGAAAGACGGAAAGGACGACGACTAATAAGAGAAGCGCGACCGAGAGTCGTCGGCCTCTCCTCCTCGTGACCGATCTTGCGTCAACTACTCCAACGGCAACGGAGCGCCGAACGGGACTCACGAGTCACCGCCGTTAATTCTCGACGACTTTCACGCCGGGAAGACGATTCTCCTTTATCGCCTGTCGTCTCTTTGGTCGTGAATTTTCCGGTTGATTTCCTCCTCAGAGAGGAAGTGCCCGCAGGAGGCGGACTCGTTTACGAGAGTCTTAGAGTCTTAAAATTCCGTTTCCTTTTTCTTGTCCCTCTAATGGAGTTTTACATAATTGAGGACTCGGCGCAGGAAAAAAACGTATAGCGCGCGCGCGGGCTAAGAAGCGAGACGTCGTAGATCGACTCCGCATTGACCGAAGACGAGACTTTCGAATTAAAAAGTAATATCGTACACAAACTAGGTCATCCCGGTTGCCCGTAATGCAAGGCAAACGCTACTGAAATGAAAAGCGACGGGAAACGGGCTTTAAAGCTAGGGTATATATACTCCGGTAGGAAAACATTGTAATGGTATATTTCGTGCCGGGGGAATAATTTACGACATGCGATATTCGACCGTTATAACAGGCCGCGGCGTATTTCAATCTTAAAAGTTGGAATTATCGGCGCGGCGCATTGGGAAATTGCACGACCGCGCTCGCGCGCGCGCGATTTCTGCTTGCAAAATTTACTCCGACTTAAGAAAGATGCAGAGGCGCGTAATAAACGTCTATCTTCGTCTTCTCGCTTGTATAATAGCCGCATTATCGAGACTCGTACGCCAAACATTTACTTAGTTATCTTAGATAAAGCAAAAGATAAGATTTATCCATCGAAGAGCGGGAGGGAAAAATAAGAGTACAATAGGATACACCGATAATCGCGAAATGATAATTATAGCAAGGTTATCGGTATTATTCAACCGACAATTTTATGTCGCCGTACGGAAAGAACAATTTTGCTGAATCCAGATCTGAAAATAATTTTTGTTCAATAATCAAAATAATTTTGTGCGAAAGTCATAATGATTGCTAGAATATCAAAACGTTTTATAGCAATGATTATCAGTTTTAACATTCCAACAAATTATTTTGATAATTCAACAAAAAATTATTTTCAGATCTGTTTTTAGCAAAATTTTTAGACCTTTCAACAAAATTGTTCTTTCCGTGTACGTATATAGTCACGCAAATATTGAAGTAATACAAGATATATATAAAATGAAAAGAGATACTCGATTTCGCGGTTTTCTCCCCCCCCCCTCCCTCCCTCGCGTACAATGCGTAATCCGATTAGAAGTGATTTCCGATGGCGAATCGCCGCGCGCCGTCGCGCTCGCGATAAGAGCTCGACGCTCGATTTGACGACCGTGGTCCGTATTCAATACGAATGCTCGTTAACACGTTAACTGCCACGATGGTCGTTCGCGAAACTTTTTTAAAACGTATTCATAGAAAGCAAATGCCATCTAATATAGGATTTTAAATGACACAACTAGCTATATATAGATAACGACGTAAAATGAAAAGTGCCCTGTTCAAACTATCAAGATGATATAATGATACAATCATGTCATGCAATATCTTATTATAATATTGTTGATAATAAAAATTCTATTACACACGACATGGCTGTATTTGAGACATACAAAACACGGTGAACTTTAACCAATCGCGCCAAAGATCAGTGCAAATATCAAATAATTAACGGGGAATCGCGAAACAACGGGGGGGGGGGGGAGTGGAGGAACTGTCGTGACGCGAAGGACGCGCACCAGATCTCGCGAGAAGAAGAAGCAAAATCCGCGAAGCTGCCGCGCAGAGAGTCGGACCCCTCTCCCGATTTCATCCGTCGAAGCGACAGGTTTTTAATTATCGACTTTCCTCCAAAGGGTCGGCCATCCGTTTCACCATTGATCGCACGGGGGAGGAAAACTCATCAACCGCCGGGTGTGGGAGTTCTTTGATCGCGCGGGAACGCGCAAACACGATCGCTATTTTTAAAACGCGGCGAGCACACGCCCGCGTGTGCTGCCCCGCCTGTCGTGCAATCCTCCCGTAAAGCTCGCGCTTATATACGGAAAGTTCGTGATAGCGGATCGCGGCCGTTATCTCGCGGAAATTTTCACTCGATTCTTTCAGCGCGGCGCGCCCCCGACGTGGAAACGCGGCGGTATATGTACAGCCTGTAGCCCCCGCGAAACTTTTCTGTTGCAACTTCGTGGATATTAACACGCTGACAGCCGCGTTTTCTGCCACGTTTATCAGATCATGTTGCGCAACGACTTACAATTAGTTATCTTCAATTACATTATGTTGTAATTTTAAATATATATGTATATATATAAGATAGATAATATATGTATGTATATATCTAAAAGTTATAAAAAATGTAACATAGTTTCATTTAATGCAATTGTACATATGTGTTTGTAAATCAAAATAAAATTACGTTATAACTCTTTTAGATATATATGTATATTTTATAAGATATATATATATTTTTGAAATGATCTTTATATAGAAGATCATTCCAAAATAAATCACTTTAAAGTAAGAACACGATTATCACAGGATTTATACGACGTTCAAAAAGATTTACAAAACCAAATTTGCACAACTGCTGGCGCAACAATATATACTAAGAACCGTTTTATGATAATATTGTATGTGGAGTAAGCTGTAAAAATTGACCCATCACAATCGAGTATTCTCCTCACATTTGACTGTGATTGTTCAATTCTTATGGCTTACGATATATATGACATACTGTAGAACGGATTTAATCGTAACGGCTGCCGCATACACTTTCCGTAATAGTAATCATAAAGATGTACCGTAAGAATTGTCAAAAATTCTCGACTGTGATTGGCTAATTTTTATGGTACCTCTTACGACTACTGTTGCAAAAAGTGTGTGCGGCAGCCTTAATACCTAAAGTTTCCTTAAACCCTAACACGCCAGTCAAGGGCCTGGAAAACCCTGTCAAAAACTTTAATTCCCTAACAATATGGGATAATTTTAATTTTTAAGATTGGCAGTACTAAAAAAAACTTTCGAGAACATGTTTCGAGAACACGCAGTGCAAATGTTTGATTCATTTTTAATTGTGGTGCAGTGAGAACTAAAAATTATTGAGTATTCAGAGTGTTCTTTCAGACCTTTATTGGCATTTTTTCGCGATCGACATGGAAGTAAGTAGATTTTTTAATTCTTTTCATTTTGTGACAAAAGCCTGTTCGTTGCGACTTCTATCCCTACAAGAGACACAGGAAGACAAGTTTTTATGTCTATCATGTCAAACCCCACGATGCGAAGAACATCAATGATGTGTACAACCTGCGTTCCTAACAAATAAAATAAAACTATAAATTGATATTTTTGGTCCATTGTTTAAAAAATTTTTTCAAACATATTTTCATTTTTATTAAAATTTCATTTTCATTAAAATTTCATTAAAACATATTTCATTAAAATCCTTTTCAATTCATTTCTATGTATTTTATTAAAAACTTATTAGAAAATAAAATATTAGAAGTACAACTTATTAGAAATATAATCGATTAGAAAATGAAATTTTTCAATTTCTTCAACAATCAGAATCATGAAAGTAATAATTAACTTTGGAAATTGGATATGTTAAAATTATTGGAATATATAATTATTTTTTCTTTGCAACATTATTA